CCCCCCCCCCCCCCGAAGGCTTGGCTTGGTGGGACGAGATCTTCCTGCCCTCGAGTTATCGCAACAGGCTAGATACAACGGTCTCCAAGTTGTTCGAAGAGATTCATGACCTCCTTCGACTTCAATCTCGATACGAAGACGACATCATTACACTCCTACAAGCTCATGGTCTAACCAGACCGGAGACATTTACGGGCTTGGACTTTCGTGCGCGGGACTGTCGGGTGTTCGACCGAATGGCCCGGCTGGTTCGATTAGACGGAAACGTTCCGCTGCTTGAGGTGATGATTGAGCTCGTTGGGACGTTGGAATTGGAAACAACAGAATACTTGAACCGCACTTGAAATGGCCGACCAGCATAACTTACGTCTATAGTCCAACGAAAGCAGCAGAATAGAAGGAATAGAGTATCCGTTGCCGACCTGTCAAGCCGACGCTAGTGACCAGGTTATTTAGAAGAATTAGCCCTCGAAAACGTAAGAGACGAAATAATTTGGTCACTTTATGTCGGCTTAGGCTGGCTGGCAGGCTACTTTATTACGATAGCCTAAGCCTCGAGATGATTCTCCGACGCGGACCTGGTCTTCTTCTTTCGTCTCCGATGCTTTCAGCCGCTATTTCTTGTGATTCTGGCGATCGAGCGCTCCAGGTAGCATAATGTAACCAAATCGTTTTGCGTCTTATGGCTCTCGGCGGCTAATTGTTCTCATATTGACAATAACCTCCACATTCCAGACCAACATGGTCTGCATGGAGTGTCAACCAATCCCTCGGTAATAAGCAAGTTTAAGAATGGGAGTCTAGACCCATATTTGGAGCCCATTATGTGCTGCCACTTTGTTGGTAGCAGAAAGAGTGACATCAAGAAGTGCTGCTGCAAGAATAATGCAGTCACTGAACATGCATAAACAGCATCTGGGTGGCGACTATATTATGTATGACCCACCAACAAAGTCATCTTTTCCGCTACCCCGAGTGACACGTCAAGCGAGTGCAACATTCTTTCCGGCCCAATTGGTCCATGATTCCCCTCACCAAACCAGATCCGTCCTAAAGCCCCCCACAAACAAGTCTTCTTTATCCAACATTCCCAAGCCTCTTTTTCCCTCCCCCTTGTTCAGTTTTCCCCCTCACGCAAGAAAATCCCTTTCGAGACCTGTTGGTTTGCGTCAATTTCCTCCGTCACCAACAAAAATCCTTCCAAGCAGGGAGAGAAACAAGACACTGTGGAAGGACAATATGACTACATCTTCCGCTGAAGCTCCTGCGGCTCGGTCCGATCTAGCGTCGGCCGTCGAGTCGGCTCCGGCGCCGCAGCCAGAGTTAGTTCCCGCTGCTGATCCACAGGTGAGTTTACTGTGACATGACATGATGCAGACAAACACTGACTCCTGTAGGACGGCGATGAGACGGATGCTGATTCTGCTGTTGGTGATGACGCGTGAGACATCTCATTTCCCTTTTTGTCCGCTTTCGCTTACTGTTGTAGCGCGAGCTCCACTGCTTCTATCACGAGCAGCATTCTTGAGTACCGCACTATCCAGGGTCGCACGTTTCATAGTGATCGACACCCTACTGAGTACTTTACTCCTAATGATGAGCAGCAGTCTGCGTCGATTGATATCAAGTGAGTTTGAGGTGAAGGGTTGTGAGGTCATGCTGACGTTGGGTAGTCATCAGGCTTTGACGCTGCTGTTGGGTGGAAAGTTGTTCCTTGCGCCTATTAAGGACAATGTGCAGGTATGTGCATGCATCAAGGGTCATGTGGTGTGTTTCTCATCGTTTAATAGAAAGTACTTGATGTCGGTACTGGAACTGGTAAGTTTTGCGTGAAGTTGATGGTGACTTAGCTAACAATCATAGGTATCTGGGCCATGTAAGCTTGTCGTCTTATACTCCTCACTCATATACTTACCTCTTATAGCGACTTCGCAGATGAATACCCCGAGGCTGAAGTAATCGGCTCCGACCTCTCCCCCATCCAGCCTACGTAAGTTCCTTCCTCCATACTTTCAACCTCAACTCACATCACTAGTTGGGTCCCCCCGAATGTCAAGTTCGAGATCGACGACGCCACCCTCCGCTGGACATGGGACGATAACACCTTCGACTTCATCCACATCCGTTACCTGTTTGGCGCCATCAAGGACTGGACGTCTCTGTTCAAGGAGGCCTACCGTTGCTGTGCAAAAGACGGCTGGATTCAATCCGCCGAAGCCGATGTGCACATCCGAAGTGACGACGGAACCACTGACGACCTTGATGTTCTGAAGCTCTGGGCTAAGCTGTTCACTGAGGGTGGAAAGCTGCTTGGTAACTCTTTCTTCGTTCAAGAGGGCGATTTGCAGGAGAAGGGTATCCATGAGGCTGGATTCACCGATATCAAGAGTATTGAGTACAAGGTGAGCTCTTTCAAATGTGAATTCGGAGGTGTGTTACTGATCTTTCTAGTTCCCCATTGGCGGATGGCCCAAGGACCCTGAACTCCGCGAAGTCGGAAACTTTGTCCGTGCCACTCTCGAGAACGATCTCGAAGGTTCGTCAATTCCATCTCACCATCACCGCCCTCACTAACATCATTCAGGCTACACTCTTCTCCTCTGGAAGACCATCCTCCAGTGGCCCGAGGACGAGTACCAAGTTTTCCTTATGGAGATGCGCAAGTTCCTTCGCAACCGCAAGGTTCACCCTTACATGACCGTCCGATATGTCTATGCTCGCAAGGCAGAGGCTACCTAAGCTTTGAAACGATGGTGCGATTATATACAGGTGGGAAGCAAACAGTCGTTTACGTTTTAGCGTGGATGGTGCTGGGTATCGTAAAATATAAATAGTGCTTCATTCGTTGAGACTTTATCTTACATCACTATTCAAACACCCGTTATATCCGTAACGACATTACATGCTTGTCACAACCCTACTTTCTTAACTATGCAGTAATTGAGGTGCACACCATGACCCTGCATTGCCGATAAAATAGGTTCGAACACTAGACCGGTAACGTAACCACTCCCTGGCGTTGCAGCCAATTCTGGTCAGTAAGCGTGCGCGTTCATGAGTCCTAAACAGCCCCGAACCTCAGCTCCATGACTCGCTGGATTGGCGGACCAGTAAATTTTCTAGTATCGGCATTACCCGTTCATTTCAAGAGGGCGATACCATTTGAGCGATTACGAAACCAGAATCGAAAAGCGTAGCCCACCCACAAATTCCTATGCGATATTTGATCGCTTACCTGCATTCTAGGGTAGCAACCAACATGGGTGGACAAGGGTAGTCTACAGCAAGTTCATCAAAGCAACACACAGACATATCACAGGGCAAAATAAAGACTAAGACACCTCGATTAAGTTAACAAACCCCTGGTTCAGCTACGTTAGCCAAGACAAACACTCGATCGGACAAAATGCTTGGCTAGCCCTGTGCGCGGTTGATTGGATACGGATATAAGCACGGAAGGGGAAAGGGGAAACATTCAGGGGTTTGGAAATCCAGACCTGGCTGCGGGCGTTAAAGGAGCGTGGTGGAGCTGACGAGAGACAAAGAAATTGGTCACAATGCGAGTGAGCACATGCTTGAAATGTCGATTTGAAACCAATGGCATGACAGCTGAAAATGCCTCATGGAGGCCTCAGCAAGTGCCATCTCACGACGGGCGATGTTTGCTACAGGTTAAGCGGAAGAAGCAATTAAGCATTGGTAAGTAACGCGACTTTAAGGCCGTTGAAAAAGTGTTTCAAGACCAAATCCTCAACTAGAGGACACGAACGATTGAGTTCGGATTGATGAGCCTGATGATGGCACTGAGATGATTCTGATACAGTAGTCCCCCCACTTCAGCCACGTTCCCTCGCGCTAACAGAATCAAGCTTTTTTGACTCCGATCTTCCCTGGGCGCCCGCAGCGGTCATCTGAGCCCCCTTGACAGCCATTGGTCCATTCGTAACTTTGCAAAAAAGCAGGGTCTCACTTCAAGGCACTTCTACTCTCGCCTTAGATGCTACCTGGAAGCAAGTATCCTCCTTGGACGAGTCATCAAAGAAATGAAACACCCCACGAGGGCGAGGTCAAATCCAGTTAGCTAAGCAGGCTGTGTAACCTATTCAAGCTGGACTGTACGAATGAAGCAATCCGATGATAGTGTGGGCAGGAAAAATAAATTGCTCAGGCCAAAAACAAAAGGCCCTTTGCCAACTTGTTTTCCCTTCCTCGCTCCTGCATCTCCTCCATTCCGTGCTGTCATACTTTCCCAACTCCAAATCTGCTTTTCACTTTTGCCAAAAGTCGCCAAGATGTATCGCCCTCCTATAAACTTTCTCACTTTGCATTGTAAGGTACTTCGCGATACGATCGACATGTGATTGCTAACGGATGAGCGGTGTAGATGCGTACATCATCTTCATGGGCTTGCTGGCCCTGCCAATTCTGTATCCCTATGGGAACATGGATGCTATTGACGCGTGGTTCTTTGGAGCCAGTGCGTCAACTGAATCTGGATTGAACACGTCCGTTGCCGATTATCCGTTGAAGCTAAAAGTTACTGATGGTGTGTTTGTAGCATCGATGTCAAGGCGTTGAAGACGTATCAGCAGCTTTACATTTACTTCATTCCTATTTTGACGAACCTCGGCTTCATCAACATCATCGTTGTTGTCGTGCGTCTTTATTGGTTTAAGCGACACCTGAAACGTCTTGGTACGTGGCTATCTGTCTTTTGTTGACGAAGAGGGCTAACTGTTTTATAGCACCGCAGATGGTCGATCGCCGAAGCGAGGACGTTGAAGATGCCTACGATGAATCGAAGCTCAAGACCGACACCACCGGCAAATCGACAGTAGATACAAGTATCCCTGTTGGGACAGAAGGCGAGGCAACAGAACGAGATGAGCAGAGGCCGGTCGCTCGTACCACAACTATCTCGTTCGATCCCTCTTCCGAAGCACATACAGGAAACACCACTTTATACATCCCAGGCCCTCGTGCTCGCGAACATGGTAAGATACATCGCTCACCTACTTTATGTCATCGTGGCTTACAATCGCAGGACAACCCATCGTCGCAAAAGCCCATGGCGATGACCATTACGACGAATCCGATGACGGTAAGTTCCCTTCTCGACCCTTCTCGTCCGTCACTAACACCCTCCAGAAGACAGAATCAAGCCCGTACCCAGCACAGCATCCGCTCCCGCAACATCCATGCGTCGCCGTCGCCGTCTAAGCAACGACGATCTTCAAATCACGGCCGCCAAATCCATCGACCGCGTCGCCAACGTCGCTGCCTCGCTCCTAATCCTCGGCTCCCAAACAACACGTCCTCGATCCGTACACTCAACCTCCCAACAAAAACAACAACTTGAGGTCCCTTTCCTGTCGCGTCAGGCTACCATCGGAAGAAATTCGCAGTTTAAGAATTTGACTGAGCATGATCGGGAGGTACTTGGTGGTATTGAGTACAGGACTTTGAAGTTGCTTCTCAAGATCGTGACTTGTAAGTAAAGCACTTTGATGCTGGAGATGTGTGCTGACTGGTTAGGTTACTTCTTTGGTCTTCATCTCTTTGGAGCTATTTGTCTCGTCGGTTGGATTCATACCGCGAACTCCAAGTATACCGATGTTCTTGATGCCGCTGGTCAAGACAAGACATGGTGGTGAGTACCGCTTGACCCGCTACCTTGCCAGTCCTTACTGACTTTGCTAGGGGTTTTTACTCTGCCCAAACCATGACGGATAATCTTGGCTTCACCCTAACACCCGACTCAATGATCTCCTTCCGCGATGCCAGATGGCCCATGATCCTGATGAGTTTCCTCGCCTTTGCCGGAAACACTCTCTACCCCGTCTTCCTCCGGCTGACAATCTGGATCATGTCTAAAATCACACCCAAGAACTCCACAACCCAGGAGTCCCTCACGTTCCTTCTCAACCATCCTCGTCGATGCTACACTCTTCTCTTCCCTAGTGGTCCAACATGGATTCTATTCGGAATCATCTTCGCTCTCAACTTCGTTGACATCCTTCTCATTATCCTCCTCGACCTGAATAACCCAGAAGTATCATCTTTGCCCCTCGCCGCGCGTATTCCTGCGGCTATCTTCCAAGCTGCTTCAGCGCGTCACACCGGTACAGCTTCATTTAATCTTGCAAATGTCAACCCGGCTGTGCAGTTGAGCTTGCTTGTTATGATGTACATTGCCATCTTTCCCATCGCGATCAGTATCCGTGCGTCGAATGCGTACGAGGAGAAGTCGCTTGGACTTTGGGAACACGAGGAGTCGTTGAATGAGCAGAACAGCAAATCATATCTTATGACGCATATGAAGAACCAGCTTGGTTTTGATCTGTGGTACATTTTCTTGGGAACATTCTGCATCTGCATCGCCGAATCGAAGAGGATTGCAGATGTCAAGGATCCTGTAAGTTACCACTTTTCTTTCCCAGATGTGTTTATACTTACCTTATCCTTTTAGTCATTTTCTGTGTTCGCTATCCTTTTTGAAGTTACTTCTGCCTAGTAAGTCCTCTTGTAGCATCCCTGATCCTGCTATAATTGACACTCGTTTAGTGGTAATGTCGGTCTAAGTCTCGGATACCCAACCGTGGCCACCTCATTGTGTGGCATGTTTGGAGTCTTTGGCAAAGTCGTCATCTGTTTCATGATGATCCGTGGACGCCATCGAGGTCTTCCTTATGCCCTTGACCGAGCTATCATGCTTCCCACTGCACGAGTTTCGGAGAGTTCTGAGGACGCTTGAAGGAACGAGACTTTTGCTGATAGCTATACATTGGGGTTACTTTCTAGATAAACGCTTAGAGTATACAAATGAATGGTGACGTCCTTTGCTACTTTTTGGTTATTGAAGTAATATTCTTTTTCGATGTGAAAGGGCTTCTTAAGCTCTGGGATCTCTGGCATAAAGCGATCGCCCGATTTGGAAGTGTTGCCGCACCTCTTGTTGGTCCGGAACAACCCCATCCGAATGCCTCCGCTGTTGTTGGTTCAAGTGCTTGGTCATGCAACCGTCAACGATTGCTTACGCTTCACTAGAATACCTTGCCTCAACCCGTCTAGTCAACTCACATCATTCATCTGCCAGGCTGCCAAGATTTCCTCTTTGTGTTCTGCAATCGCCATACGTTTGCGAATTTAGAGCGTATCATCAACGCGTAAAGCCACGGGCCAGCAAATATGGCCGAATCCCTTCCATGCCCTTCATGGATTTGGTCCAACAATTCCAACGTCCAGTACGTAAGAAGCCGAAACGGGGCTTTAGTTGACCTCTAATCGGACTTCAGTGCCGCCAAAGATCGGACATGGTTCGGCGCCGATTATACGCCCTTTGACTCCATGGTCGGCTCCATGGCGGGGGAGACCCGTACGCCCGTTGTGGGGATCGGCACCGTCGAACTCCCCGTCAAACGGAGCCCCAGCGCTACCGGCCCACGATCTCACGGCATCCTACGACTGCGCAACGTCCTTCACATCTCCACACTCATTTGCAATATCATTGGAAGTCCTATTTTAGACGAATACACCGTCCATACAGGCTTCGATGATAAAGATACGAAAGGCACCATCAAAGATAAACACAGTAGGAGCGCCGCCTATTTTGACCCCCGCATCAAACCTTTTCAGGTGAGATTGAGCGGTCCACCTATCGGACCTCGGGTTGGCCCTGCTCCATTTGAAGTGTCTAAATTGTACGTGATCAACGTGCTATGGGCCGACAGTGAACGGGAAAAATGGGAGGATCACCGCGCCAGCGAAGCTTTGCAGCAGGCGGAGGAGGTAGGCCCACTTACGACAGAGGAAAAGCAGTTTCTCAAGGATCACTGGGGCAACGAGTTCAAATTTCTGATGAGCCACGGTCTCAACATTAATAAGGATGACGATCGTGAGGAGGGCCGTGTAGTCCTCCGGGCCATCATGGCCGGCAGTGACAGCGACGACAGCGATTCGGGTCTGGACGACCCTAACGAATACCGCCCGGAGGTCCAACTAGCTGAATCGTATTTTGACGCCGACCAAGTGAAGTTCATCAATAAGCATTATGGTGATCCGCTCACATTCATGATCACCTTTGGGCTGAAATTCTACAAGGCTGATGACTGCCAAGAGGCGAGGTCTATTGTTGAGAGCCTCATGTATCCCGATAGTGACGAATAAGCACTCCGTCAGGCCCTACATGAGTGGAGGAAAGGTTCTAGAAAAAGACCGGTCGGCTTCACAAGCTGTTCAGTCAATATCAGACTGACGGCGATAGTGGAGGACTAAAAGTGTCAGGTCAGGCAGAGGCTAGAGCAAGAGCGAAGAGACGGCACGGAGCAGTCAGGCTGCTATAAGAAGGGTTCAGACTTTTGTTATCTGGTGTATCCTACCTGTGACTAGGTGGAAGGGCACCATTAATCCTCGTCATCCTACAAGAGGTTTCTAATGGCTTCTGTATGCGTCATTCTGCCAGTCAGATCTGGAAGTGTTGAGATCATCGTATTGGTGTGTTCGGAAAGGGAACCATGTGATTGGTTGGTTCTCGCCCGCTGAGTCACAATCCTTCAGGGCTGCTAGTGGACGTTACAGAGGAGGATCTCCCAGGGTAGAGCGCTTTTAGTGGCTGCCTCGGATTTGGGAGCGCCCTATTGGTCCAGGTCTTTATGAAATGACAAGCAGAAGATAGATCATAGCAAACCAACCCGGCGATAAGATTGATTATGATGGATGATTATGCACCTTGCCGGCATGATTTAATGGAACGGTTGTATTGATAGGTAGGGTCGGTCTTGGGGATTTAGTGTAGGTACTTCAGGGGGATTAGCCTGTTCCTTCGCTTTGCCGATATGACCGGTTCGAACAATACGGACATATATAATATCCTACCGTTCCTCCATGATGTTCTCATGGGATGGCACCTCAGGAACTCTACCGCTCATAACCATCAATTCTTGACTATGACATCAAACACTCTCTTCATGTCCCCGGAGGAGTCAGCCCGGATCCACACAACCATTCAAAACAACAGCAAACAACGTGAAGAACAGAAGGGCCAACCGAGAGAAATTCAAGATGCTAAAGCCTTGGTAGAACAAGCAGTTTCGACGTCTCTCATGCAAGACCTCTCTTCAGCGGCGTTCAGCTTCGGTGCACCCAACAAGAGGAAGGACACAATGCCGGCATACGAGATTGGGAGTCCTTATCTGCCTTGCACAGAGAAGCTCGAGGATCTTACGCCGATGAAGCTTTTTGACCTGAGAATGGAGACACATCATAGAGGATATTTTCTCCTCCTACGCCGTGTTTCACCTGTTGTCATGTTGAAAGCTTCATCATGGGCTGTCGTGCGGGACGGCTCGGAGGACGTCGAACGACTTGAGATGTTTCTTCATAAATCCCAACATGGGCAAGATAGCTTGGACACCGCCTCAGAGTTCATTGTGAAGGAACCTTACTACACTCTCAACACCAATGGAGAACCCACCATCCGAGTTGATCATCCATCAGACCTCATTATGACAGAGATAAGCGAAAGCCCCGAGTCGTGGCGGAAGAAATATACCGGCAATTCATCGCATGAGCTACCTTCAGCCGAAGCCTACAAACAGAAGGGCAATAACGCGCTCTTGAAAAAGAAGAACCATGCTCAAGCGCTCTTCTACTACAGCAAGGGCTTAGAACTACCACATCATGCCCAAGCAGACGCCGCCGTGCGCAATGATTTGTACCGGAACCGCTCTTACATTAACCTTCAACTCCAGCGGTTCGAAGAGGCAAAGTCCGATGCCCTATCTTCCATTTCTAACAAACCCAACGATGAGCTTGATGCGAAAGCTTACAATCGTGCCGGGCTAGCAGCCTATAGTGAAGGTAATTTCCCCGAAGCCAGAAAGTACTTTGAAGAGCAGGAGAAACTGCAGCCCGACGACCAGCATATCAAACTTCACCTCAAAAGAGTCGATGCCAGACTTAAAGAGGCAACTGAGGGAGTTTGCAACATGGGTAGAATCGTCAGCTCGTTGACAAAGAGCGGGGGTCGACCTGATACTGCATCGTTCGATGGACCGACTGAGATCAAGAGTAGCCCTGGTGCTGGGCGTGGCTTGTTTGCTACGAGGGATATACAGCCAAACGAGATGATCATGTGCGAAAAGGCCTTCTGCGTTGCGTGGAGTCACGAGCCTGGAACATTTAGTGCGTTGGTATGCGATACCCGAGAAGATGCTGCCATCAAAGTGTTTCCTACCGGCTTGCACAAAGCTGTTGTGCAGAAGCTACTCAACAATTCATCTCAAGTTGGGAAAGTGTTGAAGCTTCATGGCGACTATAAGGGCATGGGGAGTAACCTGGTCCAAGTCGATGGTGTCCCTGTGATCGACACATTTGGAATCCACGACATTATCCAACGCAATGCATTTGGACCCGGTCAACAAACCGAAGATGAGGACATCAGTAATGCAAGCACAGGGTTATGGATTCGAGCTTCATACCTCAACCACTCATGCATCCCAAACGTGAAGAAGGACTTCATCGGTGATCTTATTCTCTTCCGGGCTACGAGAAAAATTGCAGCTGGTGAGGAGATTACCCACGCTTATGACGAGTCAAGCAGTTACAAAGTGAGAAAGGCAGCTATCAAAAGGACGTGGGATTTTGTGTGTCGATGTCCGCTGTGTCTTGTCGAGGAGAAGGAAAGTGATGATGTGCGACAGAGAAGACGGGAGGCAGAGGAAAAAGCAAGGCTGTTTGTTGAGATTCATAATCCAGCTGATCCAAGCAAGTTGCTGGTGAGGAAGGCGAAAGTGTTGAGACAGGCACTGAGTGAGACGTATGACGGTAAGGCGTATGAAGGGCTGCCAAGACGGTCGCTTACAGGGATAGATGAGTGGCTTGGTACGTCTGTCGCCCGCCAGTCGATATAAAAAAGCACCCTATGTGGAATGCCAAGCTTATTTCCAACTTTCAATTGAGCTGTGGCAAATTTACGTTTAAATTGGTAGCCAGGACTTGCTGTTGTTGGGGCCGCTCTTGCGAGTCCTTGTATGTTTGCCTTGCAGTATACCTAGGGCTGTGCACGGCGATTGCGATTGTGATTGTGATTTCAACATCGCTCGTCATTTCCCCTCGCTTACTCCGTGTCAGTGCCTGATTGGCAGTCAAGTTTCCTGGCAAGACCGAGTTTAAAAGGACCTTCATGACCTGATTCACGACTATACCATATCCAACAGTGCCTTGACGCTCATACTAGCATCTCGTACAAGATGAATTACAGCTCCGAAATGATTACATCAATCAAAGAATGGTTGTCCATCTGCGATAATTCCCATACCGCGTGCAAAGATCCATCGAATGCACAGTCAGCCAGGCCTACTTGGCTAATCGATATTCAGGACCAATGTATTGTACAAGGAAATGCGCAAGGAAGATACATTGCTCTCAGTTATACTTGGTCCGATGTCATGGGTTTGCCCAAGGATGTGGAACCCCTGCAACTAACCATTAGCAATGTCCATGAGATGAAAACACCCGGCGCCCTTCGCAAAGAAGCATCGAAGTTACCCAATGTTATCAAGGACGCGATGGAGTTGACCTCTGGAATGGGAGAACGGTGGCTATGGGTGGATAGGCTCTGCATCGTTCAGGATGGGCCGCAGAAGAAATCGGAATGCATGCGTATGGACCATATTTACTCTGGCGCATATTTGACCATTGTTGCTGCTACAGACTATGATGGAAGATACCATGATGATACTGTTTACCATATATCGGACATAGACAATATGGCTATTGTTCCAAATATCATACACCTCTACAAGAGGCTGAGACATTCAAGATGGGCTCAGAGGGCTTGGACCTACCAAGAATACATCCTCAGCAAACGGGTCGTCTTCTTCCTCAAGACGGACTTCTATTCGCAGAAGACGGAAATCTTTTGGCAATGCGAGATTTCGATCTGGGACCAAGTTTCTCTCCAAGCATATCAGGATAAACAGTCATCAGTTGCAACACTTATGGCGGCGACACACTCGACAGTTCTCAGAAACCTCGGAACTCCAGTGAACCCCGATTTCGAGCTATATAGAGATGTAATATGTCCCTACAACGGGCGGTACCTCTCCTATCAGGAGGATGGTCTATCTGCATGTTTGGGAATCCTAAACAGGCTTGAACCAGCATTTCCCGGAGGCTTTATTTTTGGTCTTCCGAGGCTTTATTTCGACCATGCCCTGCTTTGGCAGCCACTCAAAACGCCTTTCCTTTGTGGTTACTTCGGAAATCAGCTTCGTCGATTATCGACCCGTCGACCGTCGCTACCGTCCTGGGCGTGGTGTGGTTGGCAATGCTTTGTTGACCCCACGAGCCTCCTAAAAGCCTTCAGCCTAAGTCAACCTTCGGATCAAATATTCGGAACAAATCTTCGGACGTTGGAGAATCTCGTTACCTGGAAGCCCGCCGGCGCAGACGGCAAAGATAGGAAAGTCCTAAGCCAAAGATCAAAACCTTCATCTTCGCAGTCGAATCTGATAACAGCCCGAGTTGCAAGCGCATGTTTCTTTTCTGCAGCCACGCTTGCACTTGCACGGTGGGGTGGCCAAGCCTATGATGACAGTTTTTCAGCGTTTACTAGAGCTTCTGCTAATACAGTGCTCGGTGAAAAACCATTGAATGATTTGCCAAGAGTGGTTGTCGTCCAAGACCACTCTGGTCTGTTCTCAGGGTTGCTGCGGGTAACAGGAAACTCGACTCGTGAAGAAGGCCAAGAAATGAAGTTCATAGCCGTTTCCCAGGGACGTGCAAATGGCCGAAATCTAAACAAAAGCTTCGAAGAAAAGGTTTTTCGTCGAAGTAGATATCATGACGGAAGGCCATTTCTGCCGCTCTACGATGAATATGAGCGGTGGATAGGCATTCATGTCGACAGCCCGGGCACTGTGACTGCTCATGGAACGTATCATGTTACTGCAGAAGGTGTCTGTAAGCCTAGTTTTGACCCTCCAGTTGCGGTATATGACGATCAGACCGTTTATGAGTTTTTTAATGTTCTCTGGGTCGAAGATGGGGAAGACGGAGTCTCATACAGAGCCGGCTGTGGCTACGTGTTGAAGGATCGCTGGGAAGGAATGGCGCCTATTGAAACAGACATCACCCTTGGCTAAAGCCATCAATGCAAGTCGGTCAAATAAAGCACCGCCTTTACAGTCAGTTGATTAACTCTCGAAACACTTTCCGCATTCGTCTATGTAGTCAATAAGGTAGCTCGAAAGGACTTCCATAAACGATGTGGTGGAAGGATTCGTGCAGCCATTGCGAGCCTGGATGGGTTAGCGCTGATCAGGCACTTGGCAGGGCATTCTTCAAAAGGTCCTCGTGCCATCATCATTCTACAGTAGATAGACGAGAAGACAGTGAGTGATAGGATTCACCGTGAAGGAGAAGAAGGGAATAGTGAGAGATGCGCTGTTGGTTAACATATCTCAATTGTTCTCAAGATACTCGGGTGCGTTTGAGATTTAACTTAGCGGGCAAGCTCATTCGGCTAGCGACAGGTGACAGGGCTGTTAGCGCTGGATTGTCCGCTAAAGGTCAACCCGGACCGTTTTACGTCACCATCTACAGTGGTCTGCGGCGTCTGCCACACCAAATCAACCATCGCGCGATGAGCTCCTCAGCTGTAAGGATAGACTCGGCCCCCTCCCGGTCCCGACGGGAGATGATCAATAGTATATCTCGACCATCAGCCCGCTCTTGAGAATTCCGATAACTTGACAAGTAAACATCCATAAGTTCAAGCATGGGAGTCATACAAGAAGTCAACACTGCTGTAGCCAGCGATGCTCCACCACCATACACATCACCAACAAGCGCAACCCGTCCCAAATCATCCTTCTTCAAAGCCCTCACATCGAGTCTCCGCTCCAAACCCGATCCCCTCGTCTCGGCCCTCTGCCACGCCTCCTCCCGTGGCGATGAACAACAACTTCAAGCTTTTATATCCCAAGGAATAAACATCCACGGCCGAAACGAAGATGGAAACACACCCCTCAAATGCGCAATCCTACAAGACCAAGCAGGTGCTGCACGAATCCTCATTTCCGCAGGCGCAACGACTAATAAACTCCCACCGTTATTCAAAGCTGCTGCTATGGGCAGTCTGAACGTAGCCAAAATATTGCTTGATACTGAGGATGTTAATGCGGTTATGAAGAACGGACAACCTTGTTTCGTGGAGGTTGTTAATAAAGGGAATTTGGCGGGTGTGCGGTTTCTTCTTGAGAATGGTGTTAAGGCTGATGCGACGGTTTGGCCTGGTGGAAGCCTTCTTGCTCAAGCTGTAAAGAAAGGCCAAGATGATATCGTCGACCTTTTATTGAACTATGGCGCCGATGTTAATAGTGCTGATATCAACGGAAACTCGGTCCTCAACATCGCTATCCAGGAAGGCACTGCCAAGTTGGTAGGAAGACTTCTCGAACAAGGCGCCCAGACTCAACCAGCGACTATTCTCTGCACTACTGTTCTTGAATACACGATCAACAAGAAGCGTCTGGACATTCTGAGACAACTTGTTGCTGCTGGTGTCGATCTTGGATTGACAGATGCGCACAATCAACCCATTCTCATCAAAGTCATCAGGAACTGTCTTCTCAAACCCCAAGACAAACTCGAAGTCATCCGAATCCTCCTCGACAATGGCGCAGACCCTAATACAACAGATATAGTCTTCGGTCTTCCCGCGCTGTGCCACGCCGTCGAAACAGCCACCCCAGAAATCGTGGAAGAATTGCTCACGCTCGATGCAGAGACCAAAATTCGCATGCTAGGTGGACAAACGATGATAACATACTCCATCGACGTGAATCATCGGAACCACATCAAAACTCTGCTCGCGTATGGTGTTGATGTTAATGAAGTTGACGGTTTGAATAGAACGCCGTTGATGTTGGCCATTTTGAGGCTGGATTTTAACATGGCTAAGATGTTTATGGATCATGGAGCTGATCCTGCTGCTGAGGTTAATGAGGGTGCGATTAAGTTTATTAAGGCTTTGAAGAGGAGGGATTTTCTGGAGATACTTGGTCTTACTGGTGAACCGAGGGTACCTGTTTTGTCTCCTGCTAGAGCTGGGCCTTCTTCGCGCGTGGTTGAACCACCGGCTTCAATCGAAGAGCAAGCACCTGACGTTCCGCCGCCTTCGTATGAAGTTGTCGTCGGAAAGGTTTGAATGGCTCCTCTAGCGTTGCATCTCATGAACTCAATTGACTGATCTTTTCTAATGCCGTGGCGCGTGGTAACCCCGAAGTAAAGGTGATGATGACGCAGTGTTGACATAAGCTCGGGGACCATCATCGACTTTTTCTGTGAGACCCTCAAAAACGCGAGCCTTAGGTTGATACACACCAAATTACCCCTCAAACGACGTCCTCAGGTTGGTAGTCTGATTAGAAATACAATTCGAGTATTTAATCAATTAATCTTCTCATTCAGTTCAATTTCTTTCTCTCTTCTGCGTCCAGTTCAATTGCATCAATTGACTACTCAATTCCCTTTCAATTCCATCTTGAACTTTGCTTCTTATTTATCATGAGCAACAACGAAATCGCTGAGAACGGATGGACCGCCGTCCCTGTCGACGCTGGTAAAATGTTTAAGGATGGCCCATACATCAATGAGCCTGAATACTTTGATATCAACACCGTCCAATTCCCAACCGATCCCATTGTCGAAAAGACTCAAAAGCACGCCAGGGACAATCTGCAGAAGCAGACGTACAATCACTCCATGAGAGTCTTCTACTGGTGTAAGTCCCTTCAACCTCTCCTATTAAAGGGTAGTCAATTGACTGACTAACTTCGTCAGCAACCATCATCCTCAGGCAGCAATTCCCAGACCACAAGTCCCTCTCCCCCTCAACCCTCGCCCTAGCCTGTCTTCTTCACGACATCGGCACCACCGACAAGAACATGTCCTCAACCCGTCTCTCCTTCGAATTTCAAGGCGGTTTCCAATCCCTCACCCTTCTTCAAGACTGGGGTTCAACACAAGACCAAGCCGAAGCCGTCTGCGAGACGATCATCCGTCATCAGGATCTCGGTACAGAGGGAAACATTACGTTTCTGGGCCAGTTGATCCAATTGGCTACGATTTATGATAACGTGGGTGCGCATCCCAACGTAGAGGATTTTGGAAGGATTATTCATGAGAAGACTCGTGAGGAGGTGAATGGAATGTTCCAGAGGGAGGGTTGGTTGGGATGTTTTGCGGATACTATAAGGAAGGAGGAGGGGTTGAAACCTTGGTGTCATACTACGCATATTCCCAACTTTGCGGAGCAGGTTGAGGGGAATGAGTTGCAGAAGCCCTATGAGTGAGCATTACGGAAGGATGGGTCAAGGTAGCAGTTTTCAGACACTCATTTATAATTTGTCTCTTGCTTCTACTGATATACCTTCTTCTAACGTCTCGCAAACATCATCTCAGATCTGTAGACCAAAACTATCCTAGTACCCAGAAACATCCGGCCACTCCGTCTCAATACCCTCCTTAACAATAATATCCCTAAACTCCCCAAAAACCTCACTCTTTCCCTGCACATCATGCGGCGCCACATCCCTCTCAAGACAAAAAGCAGCCAACAACCCCGCCGCCTCACCAATATTCCACTCAACAGGATGCAACCGATAACATCCATTAGTAATATGCGTGGTCCCAATATTCTTCGATCCAGCGAGCAAATTCGGCCTTTCAACTGGTATCAATGCACCGAGGGGAATTTCGAATGGACAGCATGCTACATCGATGTAGTTGTCGCCGCCTGTGGAGGGGTGTAGGTCGATGCGGTACATTCCTACGCCGACGCTGTCGGGGTAGTGCACTGCGCCTTGAGACCCTCGGACTGAGAGGGAGAGATCTTGTTCCGTGATTGTCGTTAGGGCTTTTATGCGTCTGGATTCGCGGACGTAAGGTGCCATGGCGAGACCGTGTTCTGTGCCTGTTATGTCGCCGCGCAGTCTCAGACCTGGATAACCTGTTCCTTTGCCATCTGCCCTTGGACAGTCTGTCTGGAGATAGTACAGCATACTATACGACAAACTCGCAGCTTCAGCCAAACGTTGCTGTAGTTCATCTTCCGACACGTCGATGATGGGCTTCTCAAAGTAATCGATCATAGGCCAATTAACAAGACAAATATCAGACTGATAAGCGCCAGGTGTAAAGTTATCTTTTGCCGCGATACGTCGGAATGTCCAGAGATTCATGTCTCCGCCTGACTTGCGCTGATCAGATATGACCGACGCAGGATCATCGTTGGGATTAGGCGTGAATTCTCGCTCCACGATTTCCAGCGTTCGAGGATGTGGTGCTTTGAGACCGAGGAGCGGCGCGCCCCAGAAATCGGGGTGGCATTTGCGCCAGTAGTCGTACTTCTCAGGTTTGGGAATCGTGTTGTCTTCGCCTTCGATATGGTCCACTGCGAAGCAGATTGACACGGCTTGTGAGTTCTGAGGTTGCGCTTCTTCGGGTGCACTCGGTTCGCCAGTATCCTTCTTCGATTCGAAACCAGTGACATAAGCAGTCTTTGTCAAAGGTAACAGATCTCCCAATTCTGTTGCATCAATGACATACTTTGCATCAACCGTAAACTTCCCCTCGAGGTCCAACTTCCTAAACGTAACAGATCGCACAACCTGCCCGAGCATATCACAAGAAACAGCCTTCACACGTTTCTTGACAGTAAGCAATCCACTCCCAATAAACGGCATAAGCATAGCTTCAATAACAGCCACCGCAACCCTGGGCTCATGACAAAGCTTGCTAACATGTCCAGCACCAGGATTAAGCTGCGGTCTTCGCCTCGCGCTTTCCGTCAAAGGATAATTATCGCGATAGTACTCTCTAATACCATCTCTAAGAGCACGATAGGAGCGCGTAACGCCGAATTGCTCAACCCAGGTGTGTTCATCTGGAGGAACGGCTTGGCTTGTTAACTGACCACCTAGCCATTGATATTCTTCCGTGAGAAATACGCGTTTTCCTCGTCTGAGAGCGCCGAGGGCTGCTGCGACGCCGCCTAAACCGCCGCCGACGATGAGGATGTCTGTTGAGAAGGATTTGGGACGGGTTTGGAGATGGGCTGTCTGCCATGGTTCTTGGTGTAATTCACCCATTTTGCGTATAGGCGCAGATGATCAATTGAAGCGAGATGATAATTCTTAAAGTGTAAGTATTCTCATTGCTGGGAGGTGGCTCTTTTGTAACATGTTTGCTTACGATCAACAGTTTGTTTTCACTGATCTACATTCTCCTTCCCAACCCGACAATCCCCGTGAGGGGTCACACCAATATCACAGCACCATTATGCAAGCCCATCACACGACCAACAGTTGCCAAGACAAATGTTGTCTGACACAAAATATGCATCCCCCGCCCTCGGGTACTTTTTGCAAATCTCCCCGATCCTTGATCCACAACAAAGACACACTGCCAATCTACAGTACTGTACAATGGCAGAGACAGACACGACAGACGCGCCACGCAAAAGACCTCGTCAACCGACGTCAGATCCCAAATATCCTCGTAAACGAAGTGTAAAAGCCTGCCACGTATGTCGTGCGCGAAAGACAAAGTGCGATAATGTGCAGCCGACATGTGGATTCTGCGCGTCGTTGAATATTCCTTGTTCGTACGATAATACGGAAAAGGATCATTCGCAGTATGTATTATGCTTGTTTTGGAGGGTAATACTGAGTAGATTATAGGTTTGATCCTGCTAGTTTGGAGATCCTTCGGCAGTTGGGGCTGATCATCACGTCGCAGGATGAACTGGCGCGGACTGTTCAGGCAATTGCTGCTCAATCGCATGCAGGATCAGGTCTGTCTCAGAGTCAGAATCTGGGTAGCAACTGTGACGTGACGGCACAGACGCAGAGAACTGTTCCGACTGAGTGGTTCGCTGGACAGCCGGAGTCAGCGTCTACGACGCCTGCTTCTTCGGCGAGTGTAGCTGCTGTGAGATGGTTCGGGATTCTGGCGAATGATGCGCCGGGTGAAGTGTTCACAGAAGCAGATGCTCTCCAAGGGGAGCTTCTAGATACATCAACAGATGGACAGACCGAAAGTGATATCACTCCTTTGCAGAGAGCCACTCGGGCAATCGATGCACAACCCGAAGTATCTGATAGAAGAAGCAGTGTCTCCGAGGAGAGTCTGTGGCAGGCTTCTGAGAGCATATCGCTCCTCGATCAAGAACAGAGCTTGTTTCAGAATTTCCTGCATCGGATATGTTCATGGGTAAGTCTATTATAACCACTCTCAAACACCACTGATAGTTCTAGCTCGACCTATTCGACCCAGCCCGGACATTCTCCACACGAGTCCCCCATCTCGCCGTCCGAAACGCGGGTCTTCTAAACGCCATCCTCGCCCTCTCAAGCTACCACCAATCCCTCGACACAAGTCTTCCACCCTCTCAACGTCCCGACCAAAACATCGCTTTACAATATTACTACCAAACGCTGCACTACGTCCAAAAGGCAATGCGTTATTCCTCTTACCAAAATAGTCAAGAACTTATGGCCACAACGCTAATGGTATCAACATACGAAATGCTCCGCGGGTCACGACAAGATTGGCAACAGCACCTTCAAGGTGTCTTCTGGATTCTAAGATCTAGACAAATTGAAGTTGAAACGAGTAGTTTGGAAAGTACGACTTGGTGGGCTTGGCTAAGACAGGATATCTGGGTTGCGTTCAGGGAGAAGAGACGGACGTATAGTACGTGGATGCCGAAGAAGGGATATGCGGAATTAGATAGTCATGAGCTTGCGTCTAGAGCTGTCTGGATTATGGCGCAGGTCATTAATTTCTGTGCTGTGGATGAAGTGGAGGGGAGAGTTGGTTGGGCGAAGGCTTTGAGAAAGTTGTTGGATGAGTGGCAGAGACACCTTACGGTTGAGTTTTCGGCTTTGCCTACGATGGGGAAGTATGATGGGGAAGTGTTTAAGCCTCATCTTATCCATCCACAATGCTTTGGTAGGTCTCATATCGAGATACTGTACGTGGCTGACAGGAATAGGCCTCGCGGTACAGCTTCATCATTGTTCTCGAATTCTCATCAACGCTCATGAACCACATCTTGATGGTATACAAGGTTTGCTAAAGCGCCAGAAGGAAATACAAAAAGGTATTGAGATGGTATGTGGGATTGGCATGACGCTTACGGAAGATGCATCAAGTATGCTATCTTCGCAATGTCTCTTCATCGGTACGTTCCCGTTACATGAATCTGAAGTGTTATTAATGGTTATAGCTGGCATGTTCATGCAAGATCCTCGTCAAAAGGAAGCCGTTTTAAATATGTTGGATGCTTGTCAGAAGAGATGCGGATGGCCTACACCTTCATTGAGATTTGAACTAGAGGCAATTTGGAAGAACCCTGATGCTCTGTGGTAGATAATGAAATACGACACTGATCTTGAACGTGTCGTTTGTTCTATCGAGTACACCTTTGAGATTCACATCTCGAAACCGAATAATGAGAAGTCACATCTCCAGTAGTCCCATGAACAATGTCTCACTTGGCATAATCCAACCAACATAATTCCGAAAACTCGCATAAATACGACGTCAGCACAGCGCGCCATAATTCCTCATCAGTCACTAACCGACACTCCCCGAAGCCGATGATCCCCGCGCCCCGGATGATCGACGTAGCAAACAACCTCAACCCCGCATTGTTCAATCCCGGAGAATAAGGGTGGCACTTATGCATCCGGGCCGTGTGACTCCACTACTTAAAAGGATGCTGTCGTAAGATTTATTTCCGTTCCTTCAAGATCCTTTTCTTTGCGAGAAGTGAAGTTTGTTGTGAGAAGTTGAAGACAAGATGACGATACATGGCATGTTCAGGCGCATCGTGCGCAACGATGCTATTCTCGTCGATCCGCCTGAGATCTACAACTGGCGAGTCATCGCCTTGACAGCATCAGTAAGTTCCCCTTCATCCACTTAACGAACATCACTAACAACCAAAGGCATGTTTTGCTGGAGCACTCTTCGGTGTAGACGCCGGTATCATCGGCGGTGTTCTCGCCATGCCCGACTTCAAACGGTTCGTCAAACCTTTCCCCCTCATGACAATTTGCTCATATCTCTAGTGAATTTGGTTTCGACAATCGTTCAGACAAAGCAGCCGCCGATCTCGCCGGCAATCTCGTAACGACTATGCAAGCCGGTGCCATTGGCGGCGCTTTGATCTGTAGTCCCTACGCTGATTTGAAAGGTCGAAAACCAGCTCTTCTCATGGTCGCCATCACAGGGTTCGTGGGAGGAATTCTCCAAGCGTTTTCGTATGGTCATTTATCAGCATTCTATATCGGACGGTAAGTCTCACCTACTCGTTAAAGGGCAGGCTGTTAACGGGATTAGGTTCATTGAAGGCATTGGTCTCGGCGCAGGAACGATGCTCGCACCAACATACGTCTCCGAAAACTCCCCCCGCGCCATCCGCGGTTTTCTAGTAGGATTCTTCCAACTCCTCCTCGTGCTAGGCGGCATGACAGCCTACTTCATAAACTACGGCTCCCTCCTGCATCTCCCTGGAAAAGCAACATGGATGGTCCCGCTAGCCTGTCAATCCATCTGTCCCGCCTTGCTCTTCATCAGCATGCTCTTCTGTCCCGAGTCACCACGCTGGCTTGCGTCAAGAGACCATTGGGAGAAGGCTGGCGCTGTGTTATCTGATGTGAGGAAGTTGCCTGTTGATCATCCGTATATCCAGCAGGAGTTGTTGGAGCTCAAGACGCAGATTGATCAGGAGAGGGCTGTCATGCAGGATACTGGTTTTTGGGCTTTGCAGAAGGAGTGTTGGACGCTTCCTTGGAATAGGAAGAGGGCGCTTTTGACGGTTGGGATCGTTACGTGTGGGCAGTGGACTGGTGTAAGTTTCGATACCTGATCTGGTGAACATTGCTGACGAGTTAGACTGGCGCTATCAATTACTATGCCCCAACTATCTTCAAGGACCTCGGTCTGAGCTCAACTACAACCGCTCTCTTCGCCCAAGGAGTAAGTCTCTCACTCTCAAAACCTACAATCACTAACATATCAGATCTACGGCGTCGTTAAAGTCGTAACCTGTCTCATCTTCATCTTCTTCCTAGCCGACTCCCTCGGCCGCCGTAAATCCTTCATGTTCGGCGGCGCGATCCAAGCATTCTGCATGTTCTTCATCGGCTTCGTAAGTCCCCCTCGCCAAACTTAATACTTCATGCTGATAAGATTAGTATTTGCGCTTCGGTCCTGAACCTGGAGAGAACGATCATCCTCCTCCAGCAGGTATCGCTGCTTTGGCGATGGTGTATATCTTTGCTGCAGCTTTCAACATGAGTTGGGGACCAGTTTGTAAGTATAGTCCCACAAGAGGCTGAAGGTGATGCTGATGGTATAGCCTGGATCTACGTCTCCGAAATTCCAACGCAGCGGCTGAGGGCAAATAATGTCGCCCTCGCATCATTCACACACTGGGTTCACAATCTCGCTGTTTCAAAATCGACACCCGTGATGCTCCTACACGATCCGTACCGAGCATACTTTATCTTTGGATCATTTAATTTATTCATGGCCATCGCTGCGTTCTGGATCCCCGAGACCAAGGGTGTAAGTACTTCCTACCCACTCCACCTTCAAATGCTGATATGTGTAGATCTCGCTTGAACGTATGGATGAAGTCTTCGGCGTAGCAGATTTCTCAAAGGTCGAAGATGTGGGTATCGCAGCTAGTCGAGCAACGAGAATTGACGATGAGAATGTGGAGGATGTGCAGCCGAACAAATCATGAGCTCGTCACATAGTATATTTCAAGATTGTGGATAGTATTAAATGAACCAAGCTTAATTTTCCATTACTCGCTTCTACAAAACTCGTATCGTCCTTCACCTAATCTCGCACGAACCTGAAACCCGCAAAAAAGGACTCCATTCGCAGTACTCCCCTCACGTGGAAACGTGGAGACAAATTTTAAACGACTTTGCTTGGTCGGACCGTAAAACGAGACAAATTGATGTTGATCCGGCATTTTTTCCGGAAGACAATTGTATGATCGACACATCGATCGGACCGGAAGCATTGCCTCTTTCCTTTGCCATGCCATTTCTGCCAAGTTGCAAGATTTGGCGTAGGGCTACCATTTGGAGGCTGGGTGGCGCTTAGATAAGGATCCTTCATCTGAAAACGGTCATATTCATCTGACAGACATCTAAATACGACAAAATGATCTGACTAGAATCCTGTCAGCGAACCTTGGAAGCCAGCCACTGGGAAGCATGTCATTTCATCACAGGGCTGTCGTACAAGCAAGCATCAGACAATCCCAAGTCCCGCTCGTAAACTGATCAACCCCTAAACTAACCAAATTCGGTAAAAGCCCGACAATCACGGCAAACCGGCAGTTCAACAAACAATTCAACTCTTGGTCAATCAATGAATAGGGGAAGTGGTTGTTGTTGATGTGAAGATTTGATCAGATAAAAAAAAACAGATGCTAATGCGATGCTATTCTATCCCTTACCCCCCAAACGCCATAGAATGTAAATGCGATGATGACATGCTAGACTTATGCCGACAAGCCCTGCCTATAATGCTTGTACTCCGCTGAAGCGCCCTGACACAGGTAATGATCAGCCACTAAATCCCTCGCCCGTACATCCAACCACCCAGCAGCCGCATCCTTGATGCCGAATCCCAACCACACCTCATCGTCCAGAAATCCATGGTTCGACGGCGGAAACACCGTTTGGTTCGTGTAGTAGCTCATGCTGCCAGTCCACACGTATCGTCCGTCGCTCTCGCCGTGGTACGTCAGCTTCTTGCTCACGCTGATCATGCGGTACGGAGGCGCGGACTCGTATACCGCTACCCGTCGGTCGTACCACGTGAACGGTGCGTTGGGCGGATCTTGGCGACGCTGGACTATGCCCATCATTATGGTGTTTTGCTCGTTGGGCTCGCAGGTGCCTCTGTTGCAGAGGGTTACGCTTAGCATGGGGGAGCTCTGGTGGACGTGGCGCTCGTCGAGCATTACATCGTGCATGCATGTTTTGCTGAGTTTGCTGTGCCATGTCTTGTCGGCGGTAGGAGGATAAGGTTCTTGGACTATTGAGATTTGATCCTTCTCGCTGACGACGAGCTCGACGGGGTCCTCGGCGGAGGTGTAGCGGTACAATTGGCCTGGTTCGACCATGAGGAGGAGCTCTTGGTCGCTGGTGAAGGGGGATTGAGCGAGAGCCCAGTTCTTTTCGCGCTGGTAACGAGGATGGTTCTCTTCGCCTTCGGGAGCTTCGCGGTGAAGACTGGTTGGTTCAGCGAAGCGAATCGGCGGGAGGAGAGCGGCAGTCTCGGCTCCAAGAGCTTGTTCGAGCTCAGGCATCGCAGCGCGGACATCGATGATGAACTGGCCCTGACACATGACCTCGTCATCGACCTGATGCGTAAAAATAAGAAGAGGTTCGCCGGTGCGAGTCCAGAACAGCTTCATATCTTCAGGCCCAATGTAGCGATCCATGTCGGGTTGTCTCTGGCAGTGATGCTCAGGACCTCCGAAATCGTTGACCAAAAGTCTGGACCACTTGCCCGTCTTGAGTAAAGGTCTGCCGAGGTTGTTATACGTAAGATTGCCAAAAGTCGCGACTTGTCGGGCAAGTTTATATCGTTTATCGCCGATTTTCTTAATAACGTGCGGTGCGCGCGCGATGATGAGAAAGTGGTGGCTCGAGTTGGCATTGCGAGGAAGCTCCAGCAGGGTCGGGTTCATAATTTGATGACCCGTCAATTTCGCATCGATCTTATTGTAAAAGCCCATATTATTCCTCAAGCTGGTAAGAAGGCGATAATCGTGGTGCGCAGAACTCTTGTCATCTTGCTCGAGGTATGCTTCGGCATCGTCTTCCTCGGGGGAGGCGTTTTGGGTCGGTGACGCTTGGTGGGGTTGTTGCTCGTAAAAGAACGGTCGCTCTTGTACTGGGATAATGGATAAAGAATCTGCGATCTTGATGTGAAAAACAGCCAGTACAATAATAAAGCAGGAAGCGACAGCTACGAGCGTGAGAACGCCTCGTAGTAGGGTATTGTGAGATCGCATGTTGTTGTTGTGGTCATGAAGAGAGAGAGAGCGAAAGAGCGAGAGGCGCCAAGAGGTGTCAAAAAAAGAGGAAGCGGCTCAAGCTTTAATGTTATACGAGCAGCTGCCACAGCACTGACACTGACTGGCACCACCGAACTAAAAAACTAAACGAAAGAGGAGTCCCCGTAAAGCAAAACTCAATGCATCCACTTGAATGGACATGTCGACTGTTTTCGTCATAGGCGCCGCCGCGTAGTCAAGCTTTTGCCAAGCGTGCAGGTCCTTTCCATAAATGTGCCATCCGATCTAACCGTGCTGCGACTCTACTGGCCATGTCGAAACTTGAAACCGTATACTTGGGACAGTTACAGTACGTGTAGACACTATGTTGATCATTGGAAATGAAATGAAACATGTTTGTCTTTGATGCTGTCTGTCAACCACGTTTGGAAGGTATTGCATCCTTGCGCTGATCGTAGGCGCTGAGGCTTGCGTCTGTAGCGCGCTGGGTTAGGGAACGCCGAGCGCTGAAAATAGATGGGCCTGCCACTGTAAGGTGAGATCCATGTAACGTGTCGGGTGGCTGCGGATTTTTCTTATGGATGACGATGAATACGCCACAGACCTAAAGCAGAGACCAGCCCTGTTTTGAGCAGCTGAAAAGAGCGAAAGCGATTAATTAATTCTACAGCCGCTGCTAGACATTTTACCTGCCCCCCAATTCTTCCAAAAAACTTGGAACTCCAATTCCCTGTCCTGCCACGCAAGCAAATCGGCACTCCGGATCCGTTATTCAATCAACTGCCGTTTTACTACGTGCAATTAATTGCCGGTTTACCGTGATGATCATGATTTTGTTTGCTTTCCATTGCACGGACCCCCATGTTGTTTCCCTGGAGTAGATGAGAGCGACGTCGCACCTGCGACGATCTCGACTTGATTCTTGAAACCCGCAACGCTCAATTGAGGGGGGTATGCAATGCGCCTATTGTTGTTGGTGTACAAGATATGATCTGACACGTTGGACGAGATTTGTCTGCTGTTGGTCGTCCTTCATCCCGCTATCGATTTATAGCTCCGAAGAAAAACCTGTTCCAATAATTACTCCGTTAAAGGAGTTTACTTCAATTATTTGGTGGTCTAGAATTGACACTATTTACGATAGCTTCATCACGGCCCCTGAATACGATTCGTGACCGCTAATCTCAATACAGCAATAAATCACACGACTTTCTTTTGCATTATCCACAATCTCAATTGAAGACGGTGCTTCAGCTTGGACGGGGCCGGGGGATAGTAGAGATTTAGGTAAGGCGAACCCCATTTTAAAGGTCTGGGCTGGTCTTTTCGGTGGAAGGACTTCAGCTCGGTTAGGTGCCAAGAAGGACGGATTGGAAGGGTTAATTATTCGCGAGGGTTTAATACGAGAATTGTTGGTGATCTATTACGGGGCTGCGAGTTTGCTTGAATCATGAGGGCAACACGAGATCGCGATAATCTGTGCCACCGGCAAAAATGGGATAAGATGAAGAGAGAGAAATATACGATGATGCGAAAGAAGCAAGCAAGGATGAATGGAAGGGTAAGAGACAAAAAAGAAGCGGATAACAGTGGATTATAGCCACATGTGTCAGATGAACAGGGAGTCGAACCCTGGACCGCTCAGTGACAGTTCCAGAGGAGGAAAGAGTCTGACAACATCGGCATGTCATCTGACTCATCATTTTCTTGCCACGATGATTGGTTGGCAAAGCTGCTGCAATCGAATCGAGTTCTGTCAGCCCATGAATCCCGAAACGACAATGACGATCACCCGTTGCACTCATTTTTATCTGGCCATAATAGTGAAGAACATTTTGCAATTTTTATTAAAATTATTTCGTCCCCATATCCTTATCGTAGCAGAGGCCCGTCAATTGTTTGGGCACTCAGCATTTGGTAAACCCATGTAACAGTCTAGGGTAGAGCGAGCACTTTGAGATGTTAAATCGTCATAGAAAGAACAACCACCACGTTCGAGTTTGTTGTATCATATTAGTGGATTAGAAATTACAATTTGTTCCTTTAGTTAGAAGTAGATATTGTCTGTTCCAAAACCCGTTCAAAGTGATGGATGTTTTCACCAAGTGGTAAATTGTGACACTCTTTCAATTGCTACGATGTCACAAATTAGGTGTGAAAAGGATGGCTACCTGGGGTCCGATGCCTCCAAACATTTCCCATTTATCTAGGACTGATGTGTTTAGAATATTCATTCTTCGTCAGCAGGGGTCTTGAAAAAAATTGCAGTCATTCGGTGCTTACTCAAAAGGTAGCCATATACATGAACCAACTCTCCTACAACTCATTTGGATGAGAAATCAGAACCAACATCAGCACGCATAATGCTCACCCCAGGTAATAATCACATGCAATAAACAGCAAAATGAAGGCGCGTGGGCTGCAACGCGATTGAAACAAAAAGCACTGACCGCAGTGACATATTGAACGTTTGCGGCGAGAGAAACAAAACATACAAAAAGTCAAATAAAACAGTGAAACAGAGCTGGAACTTTATTCTTGACAGTAGGCAGCAGGGATTAGTTACTCCAAAATGCAAAAAAAAAGAATGCCACGATGTTAGAAATCGTTTTATAGGAACAGCCCGATGCGGGGGTCGAACCCGCAACCTTGAGATCGCGTACTCGTAAGAGTCTCACGCTCTACCGATTGAGCTAACCGGGCGTGGCTCTTGATGTTGAAACAAGCTTTGCTATTGGCAACCTTCAACGATACAATCCGAAAATTGACACTTCTTGATGGTGCAACATGCTACTGATCACTTGGTGGGTGGAGAAGAATGGTTACTTGTTGTATCTTGTTTATTGGGATTCTTTGCCGAAGCTATTCATACAATCATTGATCTGCTTATTCCTCCTCCTCCTCTTCCTCAGCCGCTTGCATGGTGTTGCTAGCCCAGACAGCTTCAGCATCATCACCCTCACCCTTATACAACACAACGTTTCCATCATCCTGCACGCGCAAGTAAACCTCATCGCCGTGCTCCTCAGTGTTGGAAGCCCAGGTAGCCTCCTCATCGTGGGTGCTGTAATCACCTGTCAGCACATCTTTCTGACACATTCAAGCTGGAGGACTTACTAGAGGACAAGGTTACCGTCGTCTTGCAAGACAAGACCCTTGATATCATCACGTCCTTCATCCGTATTGCCCCACACTTGCTCGCCGTCCCAGTAGATGCACATTCTGCCGTCATCTTCGATCTTGAGGACGTTTCTGCCGTTGTCGCTTGTTACAGCGTCCTCTGGATACATCCAGCTGCCATTGTCGAGTTGACCCATTGTGAATAGTGTGAAGGAGTTGTAGGATAGAGGAGAGTTTGTTTCTGAGGTTCAGTTACTCCAAAGGACAAGAAGACGCCCTTTATATGTTCCCAACTTCTGGAACAGCTGCCACTTCCCCTCGTTTCCCCTCATTTCCATCTTGCCTTTGAGGCAGTGTTTCACTCTGCAGGACGCATATGTGCCAAGCTACCCACGGGGACATGAGGCAATAGAGATCTGGAGAAGAGGCCTCACAGCAGGTTTCACTCAATGTATGTAATACGTGAGTGCATATACCAGTGGTTCATCTACTCCCAGCCAAGAACGGTAACGGCAAACGGCATCTCACGTGCTCCATAATACGGCTGGGCGAACCACAAAGCAAATATCTTCAGAATCAGACTGGGCCACGTTTTACGATCACCAAAGGAAAGAGGAGTTGGCAGTCTGGGCGCTGACGTATAATTGGACCGGTGGGAAAGGATTGCGCGTTACGCAGTATATCCGCTGCCAAGAGGCCTTGGCGTCTGCGGGAACATCTGACGGTTACACGACGACGAAAATAATGAGGAAAGAGATATCTTGAGCAAAGTGATTGAATTTACTAAACAGTATTGCGCGAGATGATAACTAATGCGTGTTGTGTCTGATGCATAGCAATTGTCCAAGGACTACCTCAGACAAGAATATCGTAACCTAGTCAATCTGCGGGGAAATATCAGCATGTGGTTCAGATAGAAAAGGAAACAAGAAAAAGATGAGTGACATACCATTGATCCGAAAAGCAGTTTGCGAAATTGGGAGCACCTCATTATTCGTTTCACCCCGTATAGATTGAATTTTGAGCGAAGCTTAAAAATACGTCCCGCCAATGATTGCAGCCGCAATGAAGAGAGACACCAAGAAACGGCAATTAGGAAGGCGGTAAAAGACTACTGTGTCTTGTCGGCCTTCTTATCGGCCCCCTCGTCGGTCTTCTTTTGCTTCCCATGCTGCTCTCTCGGGGTTATACAATCCCAGCCGTGCTGTATGCAATGTCCAAAAAGATGTAGAAGATAGACCTCTTTCATTCCTTGGAACACGGATCCTTGACAACTTCCCACTGCAAGCAATATCCAAGAAGACGGAAAGTACAGATGGCTTTCGTCCCCTTGGGATTCTTGATAACTCCCCGCTGCAAGCAGCGTCCAAAAAGAAGGAAAAGACAGCGATCCTCTTCCTTCTCCTTGCAACGCTCACTGACATGTTTCTTCCCCTTGGTACTCTTATCGGCATGCTTCTTCTTCGGGGCACTAACACCCTTCTCTTCCCGCTTAACACGCTTACTGCCGCGAAACATCTCTCTCAGGTTATCAATAATAGCTGGTCTCTGAGGCTGTTCTCTGGAGGGTTTGCAACGTCCAAAGATAGGGAAGCCTATGAGACACTTGTCGTTGTACCCAGTATGCTCGCCGGCTTTTGCTTCCCGAACATCAAGACCCCTTTTCTCAAGACTGTGTTTCTTGTAGGGTGTGCGACGTCCAAAAAAGGGGATCCCGAAAATACATCCACTCCCAGCTTCCCGCTTAGTATGTCTAATGCCATGCCCGATGCCATACTTCTCTTTCAAAACATCAATAAGACCGCCGTCCTTGACACCCAAAGGCTGAGGTGTAGGAGTTGAGACAGCCTCTGAGGCATTGGTAGAGTTATTGGGAATCTCGATGTGATATGGCCCATTCTGTTCGATGTGGTCGCGAATATCTTCGGGCTGTACACCACAAAAGTCGGCAGGTCGAACATCAGATGGCTCAGCGGCATCGGATGCAGTAGATGGACTGGGAACGGGTTCATCGACATGATTGTTAGTGTTTCTGGGCTCGACACCGCTAGGATCGCCAGATTGAACGGTAGGTGCTTGAATACTATCAGGAGGAAGGCAAGGGTGGTTTGGTGGTTGGGGCAGGCTTCGCTTCGCAACTTCAGGCTCAGAAGCGTTCTTGTCGAGATACTTGTTAATATCTTCTGCCTGAACACCACCAAAGTCACCAGAGTAAACAGTAGGTGGTGTGCCGTCGAGAGGGAGAGTAGGGTAGTTCGGTGTTTTGAACCGGTTGGGCATGCTTAGCTGTACAACTCCAGGCTCAGAAGCGTTGCGTCGGGAAGCAGCAAGACCACGGATGTTGAACTTGGACGGCACATTGGGGTCCCTGCGATTGACACCGGGCCAATTGGATCCTCCCTTAGAAGTACGTGGGCAGGGAGAAGAACTGTCACCCCCAGTCTCAGGAGAAGGCTGTTGGTAGTCACCGTGAGGGAAGTCGAGAGCTGGTGGCAGAATCTCTCCAGGCAATTGAATGTTGTCAGCGTGCTGAGCAGGACCTATCTGTGGTGGAACCCCCGCATGACTAGGCTGTTGGGGTTGTTGATAGTCAACGTGAGGAGGGAACCAAGGAGGTGAGTTTCCTGGAACCGCCTCAATTACCTCATGGGCTGGAGCAGGATGGGGTCCACCTTGGTTGGGGTAGAAAGGCTCAGGTCCATTCTGCTCTTCATCCACAACAACAGGTGCAGGTCTGGTCGGCCGCGGATCATCCAGAGCAGCGCTGAGATTCTCTGCTCGTTTGTGATGGCCGGGGATGGGAGGTCCTGGTCTGGGTGGGTAGCCATCACCTCCTGGACGGAACTCCGGGGGATCAGGGAGGTATGGAATATGAGGGATGGAAGGAGGAGCCTGATCTGGTGAACCTGGAGACACTGGTCTATTTCTACCGTAAGCAGGGTTTTCAGGATAGCCAGAGTCAGGATCATGGTGTGGAGGGATTGGTGGCTCCGGATTAAATGGATAGTGAGGAGCCGGAGCCCCAGGAACCGGATCGTAGGGATCATACGGAGAAGGCGACTCGGGCACCTGGGGGCGTCTTTGGCATGGCGGCTGTTCCGATGGGTACCCAGGAGACGGCGGCTGCTCGTATGGAGGACCATGAGGACCCGGAAATTGTGGCTCTGGGTAATGCGGAGGAGGTGGCATCCCAGGGATCTCGTCGTGTGGAGAATAAGGGGGGGCAGGTGGTCGAGGAGGTCCTGTAACGGGCGGTGCTTGCTCGTCTGGGTAGTGAGGCGACGGCGGCTCAGGATATTGAGGACCAGGTTCAGGTTGAGGCTGAGGGATCGGGTTGTATCCACCACTGCCATGACTAGGGGGGCGAGAGCCTCCAGCACCTTGACTCTGGTAGTGAGCGACATACTTGACCTCCATAGCATTTCCAATTCCCGACACAGTAGACTCATTGGGGTCACCAGGCTATAAGAAGTTAGTATGATCATTACACGGGATATTCTTGACTTACCCATTCACCACCAACAGCAACATTCAGGATAAAATGAACCAAGTTGTGAGCAATCTTGCCCCAAACTTCCTCATTGCCGATTCTATCACCAGTAACTCGATGATACTGGCGCCCATCCACAAAGAATGACACACTCTCCTGTCGCCAATCACCCGGTGCGCGATCGATCATGGCAGTGTAGGTGTGAAAATTCCGACCAGAGTCAGGAAGGTCAAGAGCGCCTGGAATGCCATTCTTCTCGTTGCAAATACCACCAGGGTTCTTATCACAATGGATAACACCCTGCGTCTTGGGCTCACCATTGACGTTCTCCAAAATGTCGATCTCTCCGCAAGTAGGCCAGATCAAAGTCCCCTTGCGATGACTGTCACCCAGAAGCCAGAAAGCAGGCCAGATACCCTGCTTACCGGCCTTAGAAGCACTACCGAGCCTGATTTCTGCTTCGGCAATGGTCTTTGCGCCAAGAGCAGGAGTAAACGTGTATGTGCTTTCGAGACGACCAGATGTCCAGCCACGCTCAGCAGAGGGATCGCGCAGGGGGACGATGACGAGGGTGCCGGTACCTGTGTGTTGCTGGTTTGCGCGACTGATGGTGTATGTTTGGAAGTCACCGTTGAGGTTCTTGTACCAGTCTTGCATGATCCATTTGGATTGATCGGGGAGGGAGCCAGCGGGACCAGAGAAGGTGTCTTCCCAGATGAGGTCGAAGCCCTCATATCCTGGGGCCTGATCCGCGGTGGCTAGAGCCACCAGGGATAGCAGGATGGATATTACGAATAATCGCATCTGAAGAGGGAGGGGTGGCAGGTCTAGGTGTGTCTTGCTCTCAGTGTGGGTGGAAGGTGATATGGACGAGTATTCGAGATTGATGTTGAGCAGGGAAATAAAGGAGAAGAAGAAAAAGAGGGACTACAGGAAAGAACAGAAACAAATCTAAAGTAATAAAATCGTGGCACTTAGGGTTGCGAGAATTAATCTCATATTCATGGCTCTGAAAGAAGGTTAAACACTTCTTTGTGGATGCGGGTGGTGATCTCGTGGGTATCGTAGAGTTTGTACAACTCATACCTCTGTGTTGTATGAGAACTGTAAGAGTATTTAGTCCTACAAAACGGGTCGGGTATGGTCATTAGCTGGCCTCCCATTTCCTAGCAAGTGAATGAGGATCTAATCCTTATCGTAGGGAATTGCTGAGCTAGGTCAAACTGACGTTTGTCCTCTCCCAGGTGTCGCCGGTTGTATTGGTGTGGCTTGCCAACCAGAGAAGACGTTGAGAGTATCTGGGTTTACTTTCGGACTACAAAGCTGGTTGAATTATCGAGTCCTTTACACCCAGCGCAACGAACCCCCTAGTCCTACTTTTCTAATAGCGCTTAGGATGGATTGGTGGGAGAGGCGCTGATGCGGGAGCTTTTTGGTGGTTCGATGCTTCTTCACACCAAGGTAGAAAGTCTTCGGGAGGGCAAAGTTCTTCCTCTTTTGCTGGGAGGTAACAGACAATCGCGAGTTGCTCTTCCCCATTGGGCATTGCCGCCGTTTTGGAAACATCCTGGGATGAGAGCCAGGAGAACCCTGAAGAACCAAGTAAACTTGGCTCAGGCGATTTCTTCAAATCAAGAGACGCCGCAGTGCTTCTCGCAATGACTGTGACTGCTCGAAAACCAGAGATTGTCAAGCTCTTCCCCATTGGGTACAGTGACTGTGATTGATACCATGCAGGCGGTAAGGAGTGGATATCACAGACCAGCGCTATCTTGAATGCGCGTAGTAGAATACGGCGCGGTCTACCTGACCTCACGCAGGTTACCCGTGCCTCGAGGTGCCTCTACGGCTACAGAAATACCTTCGTTTCATGCTGGGTTACTGCTTGATGCTGGTTTGGTGATTTCCGCTGAGGTGTGTTTTGTCTTTACTGTGGTGTGTCTGTTGTTGGATCACAATTCCATCAGACCAATCAAAGAAATCACATGCGAGGGCATCGTTAACATGGCCCATAGGTAAACTTTAATAAGAGACAAGATTGGCGATTACGGACTCAGCCCAGCGCGCCGGGTACCTACCTCGGAACTACCCACCAAGCGACCGATTGACCCATTACAAGAAGGGATGTCATGACCCTAAGGAAGCACTCAAGTGACACGCCAAGGAGACACAGGCACTGTAATTGGTCGTGCTATGCTTCTTCGCCACTGACAACACATCAAACTTTCAACTCCAACTCAATCTTATAGCCCATCCACAATCCTCTCCATCTCCCCGAGCCCATCAATCTTAAAATCCGGTCCAAGCTCCTCACATTTCTCCCCGTTTCCATACCCAAACCTACACCAGACAGACTTTGCACCAATATTCTTAGCGAATAATAAATCCGCTTCCGTGTCGCCCACAACTAAAACGTCCAGCCCTGCTGGGAACCCCCGTGCTTGTAGGGCTGGAAGAAGCACATTTGTGTAGCTTCCGGGATCGGGCTTTCTGGTTGCTCCGGGTGTGTTGTCGCCAATGATGAAAGCTTCTGGAATTATGTGGGCGAGGGAGTGGTTGGCTAGGGCTGTTTGAAGGGCTGATACGCCTTTGTTGCTGACTATTGCCATAGGGATGCCACGCGCGTGGAGGGTTTCAAGAAGGGCTTTTGCACCGGGGAAGGGAGAGACGAGCTTTTGGCCTTCGTCGTTGTAGATGCGACGATAAGTCGCTGTCCATTCAGCCTCGTCAAACGAGTCAGGCGTGGGATGCAGTGCTGTCAGGACGTCATGGAGGCCCTTTCCACCTCCGATGAGCTTCTTAAGTTCGCTTTCAGAGGGAGGCGAGTCTGGAAGGAGGGTATCGAACGTGGTTTTGATGCTGTGGATGATGGCCTGATGGGTGTCGAAGAGGGTCCCATCAAAGTCGAAGATGATGAATTGAGCAGGCATTTTGGCAGTTCCCCTCGTACTTGGTCACCAATGATTACAAGTTTCTGGACAATGAGGGTCTGTTTAGTTGCAGAGAAGGGGTGAGCTATGGTGAGTGAGGTCTTTCCAGCAAAATCCCGCTAGTCATGTCCCAGACCCCACTTGTCGTTCATGATGCGTAAGCGACATCTACCCGTCTTCATCTAGCACGAGCAAAATTATTGTTGCGCTATAGGATTTACTATCGTGTGACATAGGCATATGGCCGAAGGCGTGTCACGGCTAGAATTCTATCGGGCCTTTGAAATGAGGTTCTGTGAGGTCTTCATGAGGGCGCAACAGTCTCATTTTGGGCAAGCTGGTGGACATAACGTTTCGGCAGGATCAAACATTCACACAACAAAGCAGACAACTTGAAGTCAAAGTCATACATATCTCATTATATAAAGAAAACATTAGAAGAATATCTCACGTCTCTCAAGCACCTCCTCCACCACCACAGCCACCACCACCACCCCCTCCACATCCTCCTCCACCACCGCATCCACCTCCTCCACCACAACCTCCTCCTCCGCAACCACCCCCATCACCACCATCACCACCACCACCAGAACACGCTCCTCCAGCAGCGTTTCCACCACAGCTACCAGCCGCACAAGCCGGCGCAGCTCCGTAAGCATAGACAGGAACAAACATAACAGGCGCCATAAACGGACCGTACACTACATCCGTCAGCATTGATCAAGGTTAGAGAAAAAGGGAGGACTTACTCATGTACGGATAACCCCAGTGGTTATAATATTGGTCCTTGGGTGGAAGTTTTCGACCCTTCTTCTCAGCGCGTTTACAGGCTTTTTGGTAGTTTTCTTCCAATCGCTTATTTTGTACTGCGCGCATTCTGTTCTGGACCTTTTCGATTTGGTTGGATGCGAGGAGTGCTTCGTCGTTGGTGCGGACGGCGTTGTGGGAGGAGATGTGGGCTGAGTTGTCGGGTGGACACATATCCGCCTGTCCAGACTCGTAGAACTTGTCCGTAACTATTTCTGTTAGCCATAGTCCTAAGCGATGGAAGTGCGTGAGACTTACTCTTCTCATTATGAGAAAGCTTCAGAATCCTTCCCGCAGAAGAAACATGCGCCGCCCGCGTAGCCTCACAATACCAACAAGTACACTCCGAATAAACCTCATCATACAACTCTTGGTAAACCTTGCTCGTGTACTCAAACCCATCGTTCAACTTATCATCTTCAATTTTATCATCATGTCGCACAAACTTGAATAGCTTGCGCGTGGTGTAGTGGTAATAAGACAGAGGACTAAGTTGATGGGTGTGCCACGCCAAGTCAATGTCGAGAGTAGGAACGGCTGTTCGATTGGGGTTCTTGGAGATGATCTTGATGAAACGCTTGTATTTCATACAGCATCGCTCCATGGTCTCGCGAGCAGTGGGAGAGTGCAGCCAGTCAAGCTTACACATCTTCTCTGAGAAAATAGTCTGACGAAGGACGGCGCCAGTGAGATCGAGGGCAAAAGGACTGAAGTTCTCCCAGTATCTCGACATCATCTTTCGAATGACGACCTTGGAGAACCTCGACACAGATGCTTGTCCAGGTCCCTTTGTCTCAATACCCTGAATAGTCTTGAGAGCACTTTGTTTCATAAGAGCCTCCGTCTCAATGAGCTTGCGCACAGTCTCCATGGTAGGCGGGTTCTCAGGGTCAGGTGATTCCAGAAGAGTCTGGATCTGAGTGCGCAAAACATGTTGAATCATCCGGTTGGGAAACATGCGTTGATCAATTTTGTTTCCTGTGCGGTTCAGCATTACAACCGGTGTGCCGCTTGCTGGCCAGAGAAGTGTTCCGGGCATGGGTCTTTGCTTGAGAACGCACTGCTCCGCATCTCTGCAGAACTTTACCACGCTGAGCGTTTCCTTGGTGACTTTCAAGTTACACTTCGGACAGCGTGTTTCGAACTTGCCGTCGCCGTAGCCTGAACCGACAAGACCTGGTCGTTCTGGTGTTTTGGGAGTTTCTTCAAGACCGCAGGTTGTCCATGGAACTTCAAAGCTCGAGAAGCAGAATTTGTTAGGACACTTGAGAGTCTTTGTGGTAGAGTCACTGGCGTTTTCCCATTCGCGACCAGTCTGGGCGACCCATCTGGCCTTGTACTCGTCAGAGACGTTATAGGCAAAGGAGCCGTCAATAGCGGCGTTGACTTGATTCCACGGCATACCATTCTGCCAGAAGTCGCGAAGGCCTTTTCGCATACAATCTTCCAAAAAGTTGTGGGGGTTGAGAAGATGGGAGTGATATACCATGAGAACATCTGGAAGTTGTTAGCTGTGCATATCACGACGACACGAGATACTTACCGAGAGGTGGAAGAGCCTTTTTCTCCCACCAATCTCGGCCACTCCCTTCAACAAAACCTCCAAAAGACAAAGAGGCCTTGTCATGCATCTGATACTCATCCAACGGGTTCAGATCCAGCGGCAGAGAATTCCACCACGCTTCGTACCGATCCACAGCTCTCGCGACAAACAAAGTCCATCGCTTCTCACGGATCTTACTAAGAGACTTCTTCTTATCCTCCAGCTCAGGCGCATAACTGTCATCAAAGTGATGTTCCTCTACATCGCCATTCTCTCTAACATCAATCCTCCCATCAGCGCGCGAATCCCAAATGTTGAACAGACCGTCATGGTACCCAACATCCTCTTTCAAAGCTTCAAAAGCGAAAAGAAGACGAAGATGCGCAAGACAGACGTTGGGTTCAGGTTCATGAGGAACAGGGTCGATTTGGAGGTTTGTAAAAGGTGCTTCGATATCGAGATCTTGGTCTGGCGCTGGGCCATCAGCCACGGCTTGATATGCTGGTGGTGCAGCCATGGTGTTTGATGAATTCTAGAAGGAATGTGGAAGATATGCCAAGAGATCGAGTTGGCATCTTGGGAGTTTATATCCCGGGACTGTGCCGTGCTGGTTGCCCCATTTGTGCGTGTTATGTACATCATGAAGTGTGGGTTACGCGAGGCAGTGCATTCTTGGCTGTGAGTGGTTAGTTTGGTGATCACATGGAGATCCTGCCGAAGATCCGTAAGCAGAGGATGCAGCACTAACCGATCGGGTGCTATCGTGCGCCACTATCTGTTAGTGCAGTAGCTCTCTTGATGTCGATCACTTTAGCCTATTAGCAGGCAACAGCTAACCGCCACAGCCACCGCCCGAGTGCAGTACAGCGGCATCATGACCTGATCGCCCAGCCTCCACAGAAGGATTCGAGACCTTGTATCACCAAAACTGGGCAATTGCAGGGCGGACCGATTGCCTATTACATCATCGGTCCGTCGGATGAAATACGAATATCCTCAAAGGAAGAGCTCCATTTGTTCTGGAACTGGTGGCTGTGGGGATATGAATCACAATTGAGTGCTTACTGGGCGATTTGAGGCGCTTTTGCTTATCGGGTGCTGATGTTCGGGGATTGCCAATTACAGATGAGGCCCGTCAGCGAGGCTCATTTGGTCGCATTTGGTCATCTTAATTGATTCTGTGCGACAGGTACTGACGTGGTTTATCACAATCAGTAAAAAGTCATTCACTGGGTTTACTGGATTTAACGGAGTTTAGAAAAATGGTCGAATGCCAGTGATTGAAACACAATGACCGTCGGACAAGCCATGATCAGATAAAAAGTAAGCACCAGTCTATTATGGGACAGATCATAGATTGATAAAGAATTCTCGTCATTCAATAGGTCAATGTAAGCCTCCATCGTAAGACGGTAGTAAATAGCCCGCCCGGTGAATTCTCTCGGTCTCGGCTTTCGCTCTATGACTCGGCCAATCATTCAGCCATATATACATTCATAGCTGCCTTCCTCACCAGCAATACGCTTATACCAATCACTCAAGATTTAGCAAAAGCTCACTCATCATGGAACCATTAAAAGTTCTCATCGTAGGCGCCGGCATCGCCGGTCCCTCCCTAGCATCCTGGCTCGCCAGAACAGGCGCAGAAATCACTCTCATCGAACGCTACCCCCAACTCAGATCAACAGGTCAACAACTCGACGTCCGCGCCCAAGGTGTGCCTGTCATGAAGAAACTAGGCATCGAAGCAGCGATCCGCGCGAAAACAATCCACGAACCTGGAACGCAACTCATCGATACCAGGGGGCGTACGAAGGCGTTCTTTGGTGTTTCGGATCATGGTGGTGCGAATCAGAGTTTGACCACCGAGTATGAGATTATGCGTGGGGATCTTGTTAAGATTCTTATGGGTCTTACAGAGGGGAAGAAGAATGTGAAGCACAAGTTCGGATTGAGTGTTACTAGTTTGACCCAAGGTAGTGAGGATGACCCGAAGGGAAAGGTTCATGTGGGGTTTGATGATGGGGGAAAGGATGATTTTGATCTTGTTGTCGCGGCAGATGGCACGGGGTCGAGGACGAGACAGCTTATGCTTGGTCCTGATGCACCTGATCCGAGACATTGGCTGGGAGGTTATATCGGCTTCTTCAGCACGATCTCTCAACCTCAAGATTCCAACTGTTTCACTTTCTGCCATCTTCCTGGAGGGAAGTATATCGGGACGAGAAAGGACTCGAAGGATATGACCCGTGTGTACATGCAGATGCAGGGCCAAAACGAAGCTCTTGCCGCAGCGCACAAGTCCGGAAACTTAGCAGACCTCAAATCTGCTTGGGCGGATGTCTTCCCTGGCGATGAATGGGATTGCAAGCGTTTCATGACCGCGATGAAAACCTCTCCAGAAGCAGACGACCTCTACTCAACGCCTCGACAGGAAGTTCGTCTCCCGCCAGGATCATGGTCGAAGGGTCGTATCGTGGCGATCGGCGACGCAGCGCACTCGCACACAGCAAATGGTTTCGGAACGACATGGGGTCTCGTAGGATCATATATCCTCGCCGGAGAAATCGCGACGCTGTATAAGCAAGATCCTAGTACGGCTGTCGTAAAGGGTGTGAAGCGGTACGAGGAGGTGTTTCGACCGATAGCGGCCGCTGAGGGTGGTGAGAATGATTCTCGTGAGAAGTTGTTTATGCCGCAGAGTGCCTGGGGTATTTGGATGCTTCATTCGGTGGCGCGGGTGGCGGCTTATCTTCATCTGGAGAGAGGTCTCGGAATGGGTTCAGAGAAGGCTAAGTGGGAGGTTCCAGAGTATCCGGCCCTAGAATGAGTGCATCAGGACTGGCTGTACAGTAGTTAATATTAGGAAATTATATCGCTTCTCATTTACAAAACTCACCTCAAAAGACGAGTTCAAGACAAAGAATTGCAAAATATACAATCAATAAAATTCAAAATAGGTATCATAAATCACACAATCATCACACGCATCACACATAATTCAAAGAACCTCTACCCGGAGACTCATCGCTCGTCATACTCTCCTCTGACCGCTGCTGCATAAATTCCTGCCGCGATATTGAGTTTCCATCTTTGGTAGCACCTGGTAAGCTGATCGCATCATAGTCCGGGTAGGAGAACGCACGTTGGCCTTCGATGACCATGTCGCGGGGGCTGCGGGATCGTCGGAGGGCGATGCTGTTGGTGTAGGTGTTGTTTGTGTTGCTTGCGTTGCGGCTGGGGCCGTTGGGGTATGTTGTGTTGCCGCGCAGGCCGGGGATGAATTTGCGGAAGATGGGACGGAGGAGAGCGAGGCCGCCTAGGATTGTTAGTAGAGGATATGGAGGGGTTGTTGGGGATGGACGTACTGGTGAAGACGGCGAGATGAACCTCGACGTTGGCCCAGACCATGGCTAGGGAAAACTCAAAGGGAAATTCGCGAGAGTTGGCGGTATATCTCTGCGCTTCGACGATTTGAAATATAGAGGCGACACCAACCCTACAAAGCGTAAGTAATCAAATCAGAGATTTCAATCAAGGGAAGAACATACAAGGAACCAAGACTGAAGATAGCAATAACAGCAATCTTCTGTCCAAAAACCAACTTCATCCTAACAACCTCCCAAAGCGGCAAACCAAGAATAATAAAATCCATAAGACAATGCGTCAAATCAGTCCCTAAATAATATCTTCCAATATTATTCAGACATTTCCCATCGATAGACTTATCCCAGTACGCCTGCACAGGCATACAATGAAAAATAGTCATAAAGGTGCGGATGGTGATCCAGATGCCGCTGCACACCATGAGGATAATAATGGGCACGCGGATTGACGAGACGTGGAACAGGCGGCGGTAAAAAGTGAGTACAGACATTTTACTCAGGAATATGGACCATGAGTAAAGGATTTCGCTGACGAAGAGGATTTCGTGGGATTTTTCGAGAATGTAGTCGATTTCGGATTCGGGGAGGTGGCCGACCTTGCGACCCATATGGAAGCATGTCGTCCCTTGGAAAAGTCAATTGAGTTTTTTTTGGTGAGGAATGTAACGGTTGTGGCTTACAGACGATGAGGAGGATTGAATAACCCAGCGCCACAAGCTAAACACCCAAAATGTCAGTATGATGAATTGAAAATGAGACAGGATGGTGGGGTGAGTGTCGTACCCAAGCTGCAATAGACAAACCATCGTCATAGCCAACCCCTCTAGGTGTCATGCGCCTCGCTTTGATGCGAAGGAACAAAGCGAGGGCGCTGGCGGGCACGGGAATGATGATGGCGGCCCAGACATTGGGAACCCTGCTCATGATGATGATGAGCTACAATGAGGAGGCATTCTCCTCTACATACAGTACAGTAATTGCAATCAAGAGATGGGGAGGATGAAGAAAAGTGAGACTGTGAGGAAAAGAGGAAAAAAGAGGGGCGAGTGGAGAGATGGCTCTACCTTTATGCGACAGTGATAAACCAAAGGAAGGGTAATCGGTAATCAAGGGCCAAGAATTTAGTTAGTGTGCTGTTGGGTCGGGGTTGGCTTAGCACGTCGAATTGCCACCGTTGACAGGCGAGGGGTATCACTCAACCCAGTAAAAGTCAGGCCAGTACAACCTCAAAAAAGCCACAGCCTGACCCTCAAAAGCAAGCAGAGCTGAAAGAAGAGGTTTGATAAGGGTGCACATCTCTCCCTGCATGAGAAAATATTACGCCCTGCCACAGTCACAATCCCAATCAATAACCCTACAATTGCAATCAAACCCATCCCCCCCATCAAGTCGCGCACACCATCTTTTCCCCAGACTCTTACCAGGCCAAAACAAGTCAAGTCAAGCGGCCTTTCTGCGTAAAGAATATCTCACGCGACACGCAGCCAAGCTTTTCTGTCCACTTGTAAAGGGCTGATCATTTGACCCGCTTCAAGATAAGAGTTTCCCAACCACAGCCCAGGTTGCAATGTCTTGATTGTGAGCTGAATTGTGCGGTTGATAGCGTGCACCTTCTTAATACAGCTAGACTCTTAATGCAAGGTTTCCTTCTTTTTGTTCTTTGGAAGGTTTTTTGATTCACCTTTATCTGAAGGGATCAATTGATTGACACAGACAAACACACACTCAACCACGTCATTGGGAACTGGGGTTTTGGGAGGGAGGGTCTTTGTGGATTCAATGCTCGTTTACCCCAGATTTTTAGTTGAATCCACGTGAACAAAATCCACTTTCAAGTCTGGACTTTACCAAAATTCGCCGAGGTTAGCCGTTTGAAAAGAGGCGCATCGTCCGGCAGTTTTTTTTGGCTGCGGGGGAATTGTGAGCGCCAGGTTTGTCCAGACTTGTTGCTTTCAACATAACTGCAGGGATGCCAGGATGAGGTTATTTGGCAGCCTGCTTGGCTTGCTTATCGCTGATCTTGACTGCACAATAAGTCGCTAATGGTGTGCACTGACAGACAAACATCCAGATACTGGCAGCCTTACCAGACAGGCTGGGTTACATTCTTTGTTCTCAATTACGAATTCCTTTTTGCAAATTGATAAACGAAAATGACGGTGAGGGTTTTTGGGGGCTGTGTTTTGGGAGATAGCCCCCATTGATTGATGCAGTGAGGATTGAACAGGGCCTCATTTCACAGCCGAGTTTGTTACAGGGTAAGGCTGCGGCGTGGAAAGTTCGTGTTGCTTTGAGCAATTGACTCGGCTCTGGGTACTCGATCGATGGGTGCCTTATTGTCGCTTAGATTGTCGCATTAATTGTGCTTCGCGTTTTCGGGTTTACAGGTCGGGTTCTCTTCCAATAAATATTCCTCGATCAAAGCCAGGTTGTCAGCTGACTGTCGGATTCGGCCAATGTGCTTCTTAGCGCACGACGATCATTGAGTCCGTCGGTCGGCTTCCCAACGGCTGTCTGTGCAATTTTCTGACTTTGCAACTCGTCAACCTCGTTAGCCATGACTGGCTCTGCCGTAAACGACGAAGTGGAGTCCATCAATCGATAGAAATTGACGCCATTCAATTTGAGGATGATCCCTGTCGCTTAGTGACATGCCGATGGTCTCGACTTGTCGAAAATGCTGTCTTGCAGATGGCGTTTCTGGATAACGATTGAGACTGATGAGTAATACTTTCTGCAGCACTTTATAGAGGCAGCAACAGAAGTAACTGCTAACGCTTCTCACCTTTTAGATGATTGGTCAGATATGCCACTGACCCCGCAATCCCTTATCGCGACTTGAACGCGCACTGACGTAGCATTTCGCGTGAGGATTCTCTGTCTGCTCCCTGGACTCCTGATTGTTGTACCTGCATATCGTGAATATCTTGCTCTAAATCCAAATTTATCTCAGATCGTCAAATAAGTGCAACAATGGCAGAGCCTCGCACACCTCTCAATCCAGCAGTGGCGAATGCCATGAACGCTGTATGAATTCCAACATCATCATCTTGCTCTCAGCTAACCCGTGCAGCTTACAACCAGCATCGTCCGTGATAATCTCCATGCAGCAAATGCTCTTCCGAAAACTACACCCAAAACAACCCCGGCATCAGGAAAGAAGCGCAAAGCCTCAGAAACATCCCTAGAAGAACAAATCGAAGCATACAAAGCTGATCTCAACGACGTCCATCCGACATCCTACTTCGAAGATGATCCCCTTCCTAGCTGTGCTTCCATTCGTACAAAGTTGAACAAGCTTTTCGATTCAGGCATAATGACCAAGGCGGAGTTCAGCAGGGCTACTGGTGCCAATTCAAACTCTTTGAACAACTTCCTCAAAGCCAAGGGTCCGTACGGTGGTTCTGGAAGTACTGTTTGGAGAAATGCGTACGATTGGTTCAAGCAACGAGAAGTCGCTGGTCTGAAAATGCCTGATCCTAAGAAAAGTCAAGCAAAAAAGCAAAAGAACGCAGACGGAACACCCTCATCAGGCAAGACCACTGGTCCAGATCTTCCCGATATCAGCGACATCCATCTCCCCGATGAAGAAACAGATGAAGTACCCATCTACGACGACTGTGATGAAATCCGTCGTAAAATCAACGCACATATGACAACGCCCGGTCTATCACAAGCACAGTTTTGCAGAAACATGTACGCTTCGTTTAAGGTTCCTAAAGGAAAGGGCATCCAGTCGAAGCAGTTGTCAGATTTTCGTGGTGCCAAGGGTGCGAATGCGGGGGCTAAGAGTGCGGTTTATTATGGTGCGTATGTGTATTTTGAGAAGTTGAGGATTGCGCAGGGGAAGCCGAGGACGCAGCATTCGGAGTTGATGATGGATTTGAACCCGGGGGGTATGCCGAGGGATATTGATGATCGGACTACTTGGTTTATCGGAGCTGCGTAGGGAATGTTTGAGAAAGGAGGATCAGTGTTTGTATACTCTTGTTATGCTGTGACCTTTGTATATTAGTGTTGCTGCTGGACAGTGACTGGGATGTTCTGCTCGTGGGGCGAGCTGTTTCGTGTTTATAATCAGTCGCTGCTTCTGCGAGCCCAGAATCTCATATCACATTAATATCAGAATGGAAGTATGGCTATTCCTCTACCCCCTGCTCGATGGAATATTTATTATGTGAACTTTGGTCACACTTTCCACATATAACCAGAATATTTGTGCTGAAAATAGCCTCAATCCCCTCATGATCTGATCTGCCGCAGCGGGGTAAACCCACAACCGTACACTTTCATGACATATCATTTACGTTGCAGCAACGCCCGACCAACAGATGGAGTCTCAGGAGCAGAGCACGCTGTTGTTGGTTCGGAAAATTCATGTGTCTACGCGGCGAACAGGGCACCCCGGCAGGATGGCATGTTGATAAAAAGAGGACGAGGCAGCTTTTACTTTTTTTTCTCTCGGTCTTTTCTTGTTCCAAAATTCCAAGACTTTTGAACAATGGCAACTCATGATAGTCAGCCTTTGGTGGCCGATGAGACAGTAAGATGTACCAAACAGTTACAAAAACTTTGTCTGACCTGACTGGTGTAGACCCAACCTGACGACGACTCCCTATACGTGGAGGTACGCAATTCCATTCCCACAAAAGGCCGCAGACTGACAGCCTTTTGTTAGGATGTCCAATCGTCGACCCAAAGCATAAGCAGCAGCATCCTCCAATACCGACAAGAGAATGGTAGAACCTACCACGGATACAAGGATGGAAGTCAGTACGAACTCTTGAACCAAGTTAGCCTGCGCTAATTGTATAGAGTATAATGTTCCCAACGACGAACAAGAGAACGAAAGACTAGGTACAGAAGTTCTGACCCCGTTCCGCCGCTTCGTTGCTGATGAGGCGAGACCTGCAACATGCCATTTTCCTGCGAACTTTCAATGATAATCTGGGGTTTGCTCCGCCAAATAATCCAGATGCCGATGTCAAGAATGTCCTTGATATAGGCACCGGAACAGGAATTTGGACCATCGACTTTGCGGATGAACATCCCGGAGCTGAGGTTCGTTTGCTGTGCAGTCCAAGTCTGTGGTGTTCTAACTGGTATAGGTTATCGGCGTCGATCTGTCTCCCAGTCAGCCCAGTTTGTATGTATTTCTCCCAAGTTTTGTGAACAAGCTAACCGTTTAGTGTTCCGCCAAATGTACGATTCATCATCGACGATATTGAAGAAGAGTGGCAGTATTCCACTCGCTTCGACTACATTCATAGCCGAATGATGAATTCAAGCGTAGCAGACTGGTCAAACTATGCGGCCAAAATCTACGAGTACACACCACCTACCACCAGCCCAGAACCTTCTGAACTAACCTTCTCCAGCAACCTCGAGCCTGGCGGCTATGTAGAACTCCAAGAGATCGACGTTTTTGCAACCTCCGACGACGGCACTTTAACAAAGTCCCACGCTCTCCATCGCTGGGCGCAACTCCTCCAGGACGCATCTGACAAGCTCGGTCGTCCCTACTTTCACGTCAGCGGCTTGAAGGCTGTCCTCGAAGAAGCAGGCTTCGAAGATGTCACTGAGGCCTTCTTCAAATGGCCTTCTAACCCATGGCCCAAGGATTCTAAGCATAAGGAGCTGGGGCTGTGGAACAATGAGAATGCGCAGTTCTTCTTGGAGGCGGCGGCTATTGCGCCTTTGACTAGAGCTTTGGGGTGGTCGAAGGAGGAGGTGACTCTTTTTGTTGCGCAGACTAGGAAGGAGGTTAACGATAAGAGGATTCATGCTTACTGGCCTATGTAAGTTGGATCCTCTTTGTTTTGTTCTTTTGAGCTGACGATAAATTAGTATTTCGGTGTATGGACGCAAGCCGAAAGATGCTTGAGGGTGTGGAAGAAGAAGAGTAGCTGTGTGATGAAAAGCTTTATTTGTTGAGTATGCATTTGAGGACATATACGACTGTGTTACTTAAAAGCCTATATATTGTGGAAGAAGACATATCATTAGATTCGCTGAATCATCCCACCCTCTCAGATAATTCCACGTCTCCTACTCGTTGATAAACTCCTGTCTCATGAGTCGAAACACCAGAAGCCGTCGCGTTCCTCAATCCAATCCTCTGTCCTGAAGCCTCTTGAATAACCTGAAGAGTTACAGTCTCTTTATCCAACCCGCTCCCCTGAAACAATTTCTCAACCTCCGAATCCTTTTTAGTAGTCAAGCCACGAAGGAAGCTACCATCCTCATCATAGTTAGTCTGGGCAATACACTGCCAGATATTGTCCCCAACACAAGAAACCTCGGTGTTGAGAATAAAACAGGCGATGATGAAAACAACAAGAACTACATGTCCGCCCAAAACTCCAACGGTAGCCCAAAATCCTTCAGAAGTTCGGGGGAATTGAGCTCGGTAGAACCATGTTATCTGAGCTGTGTCGTTGTAGTCGAAATATGGGGTCTTATCGTAATACGCCATCCGACCGATGAGCGTCATTAAGTTCTGCCAGGCTTTGGCTGAGTTATTCGTCGCCCTAAGCGTATCTTGGAACATTTGCTGGTGCACCCTGTTGAAGATCTGGGGGTTCATTCGTACGGGGTCGTCGTCTCGATCGAACTGAATGCCGCATGAAGCGCACATGTAGCCACCAGTCTGGTCACTGTATTTCACGTATGGTGGAATGATGTCCTGAAAGGGGAACTTGATCCGGGTTAATTGGTTCTCCCGCGAGAGATTGTACGAAGCCATGGTCTGATTGCGAAAGTCCTCGGCTGTAGTGTCGAGCTTCATTACATGTCGTTCTCGATGGTGCTTTTCATAATCTAGTTGCGCCCGAGCATCTGTAGTATTGAAACGCGTAGTTTTAGTATTCCAGGTGCCCAAATTGGGTTCAATCACTGGCCGGTCTGACGGCGCCGTGATGCTCACGTTTGCTTCAACAGAGACGAATGAGTCAAAGCATAGGCTGACGGCTAGACGAAAAGTTGGCACCTCATATAGACGGAACGTAAGCCATTCGTCTTGACCTTTGAGTAATAGCTTGTGCTTTGTATGGCGGGGGGAGAAGTAAAAGTCCCTGGGACTTGTTGTGTCTGTTTCATTGACGATAGCCCGTCGACCCATTGCACTTGTTATGTTGATGAGAAGATAGCTGCGACCTGTCAAGAGAGTAATATCATCGCCAATTACGTGGTAAGAAGATCCTTCACCACGCTCGAAAGACGTGGTTGTGTCGCTAACGATGTCTGCGTAACGTGGGTCAAACGCTGATAGAAGCTTAGGTCCTGAATAGATGACCTTGGTTATTATGTTCCACTCGCCTGCGTCATGGGTATATGGCAGTTCTTGAGCCCGGGTGAGGGTAGTTTTGGGACCTATGCCGAGTGTGGTATCGAGAGTTCTGTTGTGCAGATCCGCGGTATTACCTGCAGAGTCACCCCCGATCAGACCCTCCGGCATGTCGTTCGGGATGAAGGTTCCGTTCAAATACCACCCCCACCCTTCAACGAATGCAACGCCCAACCCGTCGTGGATTCTTGGCTGGACGCATGCGACTCTGGAATCAATAACTGTGGATAGACCTTTGTACCGCTTGATTGATGTCCGTACAGTTGCATTTCGAAACGGGATAAAGGCTCGGTGAACAAGTCCTGTATCACGAATAGTTTTGGTTTCGCGGGCATTGGTCACGAAAGGAGACCTTCGTTCAGCAAAGGTTGGAAAGTCTTTGACTGTTTCCAGCCAATATCGTTCCCGCTGCATATCGTTAACTGCAGAGAGATTGTGATTGTCCCATGATAGTGCGGCCAAATTTCTGGTATCTTGCTCCTCGCGAACGAGTTGACCGATGCCCATGTCCCGCACCAGAGCTGTAGAGGCGAGTTGCAGAGCAGATGTAGTGATGGTTAAGCATAGCACCACTATACCCCAAAGCGAAGCTCCTCGGACATTGCCGTATAATGATTGGAGCAGGTTCATCGGCGCAGCGTTGGATGAGCGAATGACCGAAAGTTTTGCTGAGCCATCTATGGTGACACTCCGACGTTCCAGAATGATAGAAGCGAGCATCGAAGTGCACACGCTGGGAGCTAGTAAGCACAGATAACAAAGATAAAACATGATTATGTCTTACGCTGCTTGATAAGCCGCTGCTAAGCGTATCACAAGAGTTGTGGTCGTTACCAGTGGCAAAGCCCAATTATTCGAAACTATGTATAACCAGGCTGAGCTCGGATTATGGCCTGTGGGATACGACCAAAGAAATGCGAGAAAGCCTGCTGCGCCCATCATGACCAGCAAGCCCATCAACAAGACCACAATCGTTAAGATGGACAGCTTGCGCCATGGCGAGAGCTTTTCGTAGCGAATGGAGGTTTCTGTCGCGTTAGTCTCTGGCGGTTGGGGGAGAAGGCATTGGCTCGAGCGATGTGGATCTTGTAAGGATGAGGGAAGAGACATTTCGATGTATTGTCACACTGAGTGCTGGAGGAGAATTGTTCAGAAAGGGAGAAACAAATGGCAGAGTGGGTGTTAGCCAAGCTGCTTAATATGATAGCTAGCAACACCCCTGGCAAGCCACGCAGGTCTATTCCAAGTTCTGACTCGACGGCCAGGCATCACTTGCACATTATGCATCCTTCGAGACTCTCAGCCACATACCACGCAATAGAATACGAAGAGGCGGGGTTTGTGTTACCCAAAGGAGGTAAATATAGGTGACAAGTCATTCAGCTGAAAAGCCAAGCCACAAGGTCAAAGCTGGAGCCTAGTTGATAAAAGCAGACTCCATGATCAGACCCTTGCATTTCAGCTCATTGTTGAGTCTGCACTTGACGAATCAGGCTCTCACGACGCATCTCATTTTTAACTTTGATTCGTTCCAGGTACAGTCCTTCGAAGACTCCACCGCGATGCCAAGATAGAATCTGTGCATTATGGTGGCAGAGTAACAAAAAGATTGTGCTTTAAGGCTTAGAGGGCTAAAATAAAGTAACTTAAATGTTAGGCTAAAGTCATTCAGTATTTCCTCTCAGGTTCTGAGCGATCAATCCTTCTGACAATCTGACGTATATTTAGGCCCATCCGTTTATTTACATCTCAATATCTGCACACAGAGCCCGAATCGTCTCAAACGACCCAGGGGTCTCTACCCAAGAGCCCAGACAGTTTCGGATTGTCAAACAAGCTTCTTCGGCTGTTCCCATTGAGTACGCATCGGGCATCTGTGCAGCCGCAAAGTAGGGGTCGTGGAGCCTCATATGCCAAAAAATGAGGGTTATAGTTGTTGATGGATTCGTAAAGTGACGCCACTTAATCTTGCACTCTTTTGATGAGATTGGAAAGGTCTTGAATGTTGCCCATCAGGATGCCGGGTCGTGACTCGAAAATGCCGTCGACAAGTTGACCGCGGATGAGCTGGATGATCTCTGGAGGTACAGTGCCGTTGAGAGCCCTTGTGGTGTTTTGAACAGCTTGTAGATCCACCAGAATTCGTATCTTGATTAGAAGGACGGCTGCGACGTGGCTCAAACCGAGAAAGTCGTTCTTTGCCCAAGCACCGAGTGGAGTGTCAAGGGCGTCGGCGTCCTTGGCATCCAAGTACGGGAGATCCATGTTGCCCCAATCGTAGTTCTGATCGTTGGCAGAAGTAGCCCGCCATTTCATGAAGTCATATGCGGCTTGGTCCTTCTTGAGACGAATGTACAGCCCTCGAACCATATCACGAATGCCCATGATCGCTACGACAAAGTCTGAGCATATCAATGAAATGATCCAAAGCTTCTAGAACCACTTCCATGCGGCCATTACCGGCGCCACCGAAGGTCTCCAGCATCGTATTTACCATGCGAAAGCGCGCGCGCATGTAGTCACGCGTTTCGAGGATGCCCCAGAAACGACCAACGAAAGTTTCGAAGAAGTTTGTGTTCTGCCACATAGGGCTGCGGAGCTCTCGCAGTGCTTGTTCCTCCTCCGCGTGGGCCTTCCGTATTTTCTTGAGGGCGTTGCATCCCTTGTTGTGGCGGTTTCGATCGGCCGCTTGATGGAATGCTCCGCAGTAGTAAACGGCTTGGCAGGCCGAGCAACGGAGTAGTCCTTGAGTAGTCCCACAGGTACGGAATTCGCAAGCGCGTGGCGAGGGGCCAGATGAAGTTAACGATGGCAAACGACGATGTTGTTGTTTGTTCGCTTGATTGCCATAGACTGTTTGCCGGTTTGGTCTGATGCGATGGAAGCTTTTGGTCGTGTCTTATCTTGTTTTCAAGGTCGAAGGTGAAGAGATAGTTCTGCAGGTGAAGAGATAGTTCTGCAGACAAGAAAGGGCGTCAATAAATTCAGAAGTGAGGCCAACTTGAATCAAGAGCAAGCGGTGCACAATAAAGACACGGTGAAATTGTCGGTTGTTACTGATGTCGTGGTCACACATATCGTAGCGGCGTAATTCCAATGAGGCGATCACATTTGCCCCACAGACAATTCGTCTTAGACGGCGAGATAGTGATAACGTTACGTGGCCTCTCGAATTGTTCGACCTCCGGAGATATTCGATTTGGCACGGTGTCTGTTAAAGCTAGATTCTTTACATTAGTAACATAAGAAAGACTTAGAAAGCTCTACCATTGTAGCCAACAATTGATATAAAATATATCACATATCGAGATCGAGATACTTAAACAGTTCCTTTTTTACTTTATCTTCCTATAAATAGCTTACTAGGAATTAGAATACTAGAAGTGCTGATAAGGATATTAATAATAGAGATTTAGCTAGGTACCTTGTCTGTAAGAGTAGAAACTGAGTTCACTCTGTGTGGTAGTAATATGGCTGCTTTCTTCCTGGTTCATCCCACCAACTGTTATTCTGCCAACTGGGTATGCTCCGACGCATTTCACCGACTACATCTTCTCCTCGTTGCTCGATCAGTCCATCATAAGTAAGTGCTCCGCGCTTAAGGAGTAGATCTAGTATGTCATCCTTACGAGTGATCTTTTCCTCGACACTTAGCTCTCTAGCCCGCCTGATAGCTTCGGCGTAGTGCTTCCCGCCCGTCAGAATATGATCATAGTGCCTCTCTCCATGCTGAGCAAGACTGAGAGGGGTTTCGTAGGTATCAGAAAGCGGTGATAGATTGACACCTTTCTCGATAAGCCGCTCGACGATCTCTAAATGGCCGTTCGCTGCAGCCCCGTGTAGAGGTGTCCAGCCGAAGTTGTTGGCGATAGATGGGTCAATGTCGTGCTCCAAAAAGAACTCAACAGCTTCTTCGGCGCCAAAGGCAGCTGCTTCATAAAGCTCATGGCATCCTTCACGTTGCTTGAGGTCGATATCTGCTTTCTTGTCTAGCAGCAATTTGAGCACTGTAGTAGTCAGCAAAAGAAGTCTTGTCGAGGATGAATCTTGTATCTTACCTCGATTTTTCCTGAGATCAGCATTTGCAAGTAAGGGTGTTCTTCCGTTTCGATCCCTCAGGTCTACATTTGCGTCGTTCCTGATCAGGATATCCACAAGCTTGCAATCCTCCCTCCAAGTCGCGCGGTGGAGGAGAGACTGCCCGTGGAAGTTTGACAGGTCTGGTGAAACACCATGGTCTAGCAGAAGTTGGACAGCTTCGTGCTTTCCACTCTCCGCAGCGAGGAAGCATGCTGTTCTGAGGAAGGCGACCTTGATCCTGTCGACATCACTAACATGTGACCCGTCAGCCTGATCCCCTTTCGATGACCCTGCCGTATCGACGTCGTCTCTATCGTTACTAGAGCCGGAAGTTGTACTGTGACTGCGCCCTTCCCAAGCTCTTGCTGTTGTACGGGCAAGGTGGACATTGCGTCGTCCCCTACGTCTCAAAGCGCGAGTAGAGGAGGCACTAAACGACGGCCAAACTTCATCCAACGAGCTCGGGGGCGAGTCAGATAGCAGTTCGTTGTCGTTTAGCTCAGCCTCTGAAGTAGGCTCAATAGAACTGGACTCCAACTTGGAGTCATGGCCATAGTCGGTTTCGGAGTCTGACTCAGAGTCAGGTTCAGGGCTAGAATAGTATCTTGGGCGGTTGTCATCGGAATCATCTTCTCCAGTGTCCGTATAAACATATTCTGCTCCCTGTGAGACCAGCTTCAAATTAACATCAGTTGTCGAAGCACGAAGGATAGACTCCAAACCAAGCACATTGCCGGAATAGGCGTAGCGAAGAAGATCCATGTGAATATCCAATTGCAACTTCGGCTCTTTATCCATAGATGTAGCTTCTGATGGCGGAGCCTTGAGAACTTCGGTTTTCATAACGTTAGACTGAGGAAAAGACGTTACAAGAATGGTCAGTATACCGCGCATCTGTTCAAAGAAGAACAGACACAGGAATCCGAGGATCTTAAGAAACCCCTCATTGGGCAGTACTTCCGTCGTATCACCAAGTATCTGCTCGATGACCGACTTATAGTCCCTTTCCATGCAGTGAAGCAAGATGGCGTGCCCTCTTTTGGTGTTGAGATCAATCTCAGCACCATTGCGTAGTAGGATGCCAGCGATGAAGTCAAGGCCGCTGTGGAGGGCAACCACTAGAGCTGAACGTCCATAAGGGTCGAGTGAATTAATGTCTGCCCCTTCGTTGATCAATCGCGTAACAAGCCGGGAATTGCCCATATATACAGCCAGATGAAGCGGCTGAAGCGGTTTCATGGTGTTGGCGCGCCATTTTTGACGAGTTGTAGACCGGCCACTCTTCATGAACGCCGATTTTGTCTCGTAAACATTGAGTCTAAACAAAAGTCCACTGTAGAATGTTCTTTTCTCTTTGTCCGTCACAAGATTATAAGCTGCCTCGGCTACCTCGGTATTATCCTCGACGCCTACCATCCTGCGATGGTGTCTATGCAGATACTGGGCAGCGTAATCTTTCAGTGGAAACGCCTCGTGGCCTCCATTAGAACGTGGGCGTCGAGATTTCCCTACCACTCGACGGGTAAGTTCGGAAAGTGATAGGTACCTGATACAAGCGAGAGTGATCTGAGCTTCGAAGTTGGGGAACTCTTTGTGTTTGGTCTCGTTGAAGAATTCCTGGGCTGACCTGTGAACATACCGAACCCTTTCGTCCAGGTCAATGACTAGAAGGCCACAGCATTCAGAGATTATTTCTTTCTCCTGGCGAAGGTATTGAAGCGGCGGGCGACCCTTACTCTCGGTAATGGCAAGAGCGTGTTGGAGTTCCTGTACGGAGAGTAGCTTCTCGGAAAATGCCACCCATCCCAATGTTGAAGTAGCGCGAAGTGTTCGGTCCTCAGTCTGACTCTTGAGGCGAATCATAGTGTCTTTGTAGGCGTTTTGAAGATCATTCGGCAGCTTTTTCAGAACATTGTCAAGCTGAAATCGATTCTGGACATTGGAAAGAGCATCCATGTGTAGTCGTACAAGGATGAACCTGACTCGAGGTTAGTAATTGTATCTGACAAAAGAAAACACCAAAACTCTTCAGCGTACATTCTTCCAGATCGGCGTTTTACCACGTTTTTTATCTTCGCGTGGGATTTGGGATATGGGGCCAGAGAAGGATTGTTTTTGATCACAGACTCTATGTATTCGTCCATGTCCTCGTCCTTTGCTTCAATTGTTGCTGGTTCAAAGGTTTCCTGTAGCTTAGCAAGATGATTCAAGACCCGAGAAGTTACCATAATCTTCACAACAGGCTTGAGCTGCTTCAGACTCTTCAGAAGCTCGTTTCGACTGTTTATGTCGAACTCATCCAAAGCATCGACAATGACGAACATTGTCTTGCCCTCATTAATTGAGTTCAGCATTCCCTTGATGTCATCCAGACTTGGAGGCTGGACCTTGTTATCAATCTTCCCTTGGCGCCGATATTCCTCAAACTTTGCTACGATGTAAGGATGGGTATCAGCTTCACCTTGGTACTGGCGCAGAAGGCTCCCCAGCAGGTCTTTGACATCGGGGCTTGAGGTATATGATAGATAGAGATGCGTCACCATGGTATTGGTCTTTCGCTTCTCATCTTCCTTTACCCATGATCTAAGATGTTCGATGACAGTGGATCTGGTAATCATTAGTCAATGAACTGGCGGAGTAGGGCCAACTTACGCTAGAACGCTTTTCCCGGCGCCGGCTTATTTCCCGTTCAGTCAACGTGGATTTGGTAATTTGGAAAGGAATACATACGTTTTCCGGTGTACCAGATTCTATCCACCCATTGGTTTTTCCAATTCATAAAAAGCTCAGACAACAAAAGCCACTTGCCGCCAATAACCCGATCGGGCGTTTGTTCTATAACCCTCTGGTGCATACCAGAAGAATCGATGGACGATAGCCACCCGAGTATCTCGTCGCGTTGAGAGGCTTCTTGCTGACTCAGTACCGCACCTAGTGTGTTGACATCAATACAATCTCGCAAAGCCTCGTTGGCCTCGGCGAATTTGTCCAAGTCCTTGTCTACCTCATTTTCGCCTTTCAGCTTTTTTACCCATGTCTCTGTAGGGATCCATCAGTATTTCACAACTTGGAAACAGCAGAGCACCCAACTTACTTAACCGGCTTTTGACCTGTTCTGTCCCGACATTGCAGATACCCAAACAGCTTACGAAGAGCTTGACAATGCGTTTTTGGAGCAGCGCGGTCTCTGTTCCTCCTTTCAGATACTTCCCCAAAGGAATCAAAGACTCTAGACGATTCGCGATACGACCAAAGAATGTCTCCAACTTGTCAAAGTCCTCCGAAACCTTGGTGAAGGAACCGAACAGCCATGCGAATGCATTGACTACCAAGGAGGCTGGCGTAAAGGCGGGCGCGACCTTTTGGATATAAGAAGTTATCCCAAGCTAGTTGAGGATTTGGGTGACTTACAGCTGAGACCACCTGTACAGAAAACCCAAGAGCTTGCACAAATGTTTCGATGATCTCCATGTGTTTCCCAATTTCTTTGCAGGCTCCGATAAAACGGGAATCGCCCTTTCGATACTCGCGAAATCCTTCAAGCCACTCTGCAGGGCTTTTAGCGGATTCAACGCGGGGCTTCTGCCGGTAGGAGATCGCGATTTCCGACTTCAGGAACGTTTCCTCGGCCTCACGCCAAAGCTTTCCAAGCTCTCCCTCAATCATAAAGTGTGTAGACTTTTGGGTCATGATGCAGGTATGGTTTGCGTCAAGATGGTTCAATGCTGGTTTTGGGAGGTTAAACTGACTTGAGTAGGTTGTACAGTCTCAGCTTTCGGTTGTTTTAAGTCCAGATATTGGACACCTCCAAATGCATATCCTTAACCCAGCATTGCCAAGAGACCTTTTGCATGGTTGTTTCCAACCGTGGTGACTGCTCCACTTGTTGCTTATTGTAGTTTTGCTTTTGCAGCAATATATTGGACGATCAGATTACGCCAGTACCCGTATATGCAATGGCTTGTATCGATGTGCAAAGGGATCATGGAGTCGATGCCCAAAGCCAAGCCAACAGCAGCTCCGGTGGTGCCCCAGCCGCTTGGAGTGTAACCCCCAGCAGTTACTTGGAGAGTGGAGATGTTCCCAGCTGGAAATCAAAAGAAATGGAATCCCGTTAGTAAGATCTTCAACATCAACACTCTTTGTGGTCACTTTTGCGAGAGATATGATTCTTGTTTGCAGAACCTGGTAGGGCTGTAGGGTCCTATCCTTGTTTTTGGAGGGATAATGTGGGCGGCTGGTTGCCGCCGGCAAAGACTGAGGGGACTTCAGGGTCGTGCGCACATGCGGGCCTCATTTAAGAAGTTAGCTACAGCGCTTCAATCATATCATATTGGATTTTCTTGTTACGAAATATACAAGACAAATTACTATTGACGGTAGTTAAAAAAGAAAGGAACAACTAGAATGTTCAGCTTGCTACACAGCAGTTCCATAGCTCATCTTGATACTTTGAGGTAATATGATGCCATTTCGACTGGATAGAGCGGAACATTGCGAGATGGATGCTGTAACTCGAACCTGTCATATCTACAGTTATCGCGCAACATTGGCGCTAACAGCTGTCGCACAGCCGCACGTCTCACCATAAAAATGGGTCGTTAACAACAGCTGTACGTCGCCGCGGGTGTCGCATCTTTTCTTGCTCTAAGGGATCAAGCCCACCCAGGAAGGCTTCTTTCAGCTCTCCAGGGGCAAACAATATGAAGAGCCAAATGGCCACGCCATGTTGCCATGCGCTCAAGAATGGGACAGGTCATCGACTGCTCTAATCGAGAGCCGCCCCAATCAGATGTCCCGGACCGACCCTTCGTCGATCATTCGACCGTGACAACAACTTGGCACTTGAGCATTTCCGCAATTTGGCCAAGCTTCCCTTACATAGTGCCGGCCCGAGCCGCTCGGAACCAAGGAAAGGCTAAATTTACCTAACAGCGCTAATCTCGCCCGCTAAATGACAAACTCTTCTAGGATACCGGTAGTCTCTTACTACGCTACGCATCATTTTTGCCCCAAGATGTGCTTGTTTCCCACAACGGTCCAGAGTGAATATTCATCCCTGCCTTTATGCATGTAAAAATGTTTGAAGGTTACTGCTGCGCTGGTTTGCAGCTGCTATCGCTCTGCGGTAGCCCTTTCGAAGCCAACAGCTGGTAGTAGCTATATAATGCCACCATCTGCCACCTCTGACATTGTCGGCTAACTCCCAAGTATATTCCGTTAACAGGTGCAATCGTTGCGTTTTGTACTGGACATCAGCTAATCGAGACCATGGGGAGCCACCCCTCGTGATGTTATCTGGCTACAAGGTGGTGATGCGGTCATGCGAGTCAACGTGACAATTATCGCACCAATCGACGGTCAGGTGGGAACGCTTAGGGATGAGCCACAGTCACTTCAGCAGGCACTGTAAGGCTATAAGTGGTCAAGTCCAAGGTGCGATGTAACCGGGTACCTTGTCAGTGTAATGGTGTTTTGAAATGCTGTTACATGATTTCAACGACCTCTGAAGCCAAGTGTGGGATTATAGAACTCGACGCTGTGCCCTATATGGTAAGTAAGGGAATTTCGTTCGTGGAGACTGATGTTGCCATTGATACGTTGCTCAATTGTGGAGTAACTCTGATGTACTAACAATGTGCCTGATATGTACCTCCAGACTCCTCATGACACGTCACTGAAAATCTGTTCTCGAAGCCTGTGCGTGATACTGTTCCCCATCAGGATCATGGGGCAGATGGCATGGAAATGAGATTAAAATTCTCTGTCATCATAGCTCTGCAATTCGTCTACCCAATATGATAATCATCGCGTAAGACATAAATCAATGGGCATATTTGTGACTGTTCCATCATGCTCCTGTCTAATTGCCCAATCAAGGGCTAACTCTCAGTGCAGGTACTGCTTTCGAAAACATATCTTGGTTGTGCGATGCTATTGCCTAAGAGCAAGACCAGGCTGCGTTTAGAACGACAGGATCTTACAGTCTTTCTCGAAAGATCCGTCAAAGACGACCTTGGTATCAATGTGAGTCCAGACCTCATTTCCGTTTCTCAAGTACAGTCTGATCTCGCCCTTGGTAGTCTGCAAATTGGCCTTCAGAACAACGCCATCTTTGAGGTTTCCGTAAATGTTATCAACGCTGATTCCACAAACGCCGATACGGACACCGATCTCATAGGTGTCGGTGTCAACATACCCGGTTATCTGTGAAGCGTGAGTCTCTTGTTCGCCTGCTGCGTGCCTATACTGCATGTATATACCTGGTGAGGGCCAAAGCTCCAGTAGATATCTCTTCGGCTTTCGTTGGTATGTGCAGGAGGGAGAGATCTGGCAATGTCGGCCTGCTGGACCACCCACACGTTGTCGCCCTCATCGGGGGCTGTGATGGAGACAATGGCGCCTATATTCTTGTTAGCGTCTTTGTGATTCGAATTGCCAATACTCTAATATTATTACGCTCTCGTCATTGAGCATATTGGAGTCATCCTCTTGTCGTCTTACGGTGCTTCTACTGCGTCTCGTCGCTGGGATGATCAAGGTAGATTGTACGAGGACCCCTCTCAATCACTGAAGCCTATTTCTGGCAGCTTGAAGGTAATTGCTACTTCGAACACCTTAGACTTCACGGTGTTCGGAAAAGTTAATCAACACACAACTGAGACCTGCTCAGCGTCCTCAGTACGTGCTACTTCATGGAAGAGCATCGCGATCTTCTCTTCACCTTTTCAATGCACGCTCGGACGTTGCATGTCTTACCTCAACCGCTGAGAAGCATTAGTTGGCAAAGGATTTGTGCAGGTCTCAAGACTAGCCTGACGATATGCTGTCCTATTTGGGGAATGTTCGAAATGACCGAACCACAGTACTAGATAGAATACCGAGATATTCGAGTTGTTCTGAAGAAGATTAATCCAGACGGTAGACACTGGACACCAAGCAATCAGGGAAACACTACCAACTATTCCAGTAGTGATATATTCAGCTTAGCTCAATGTCAAGATAAACCTTATAGCGACCATACTCCGTTGAGGTACTTTGTGATTCTGCAGAGTCACTAGCTGCTTAATTTGTTGTGCATTTGCAGCCACTGAAAGGGGCCTCGAGACGCGATGCTCACTCAGGACGACATCATTGGATAGATTACGAGTGAGACATCAATGGTTTATCTCAACATAAGCCATAAAGACTATCGTCTTATATGCAGTAAATCTCGTCGTTTTCCCCAATCAACGGCTGTAAGATCGTCTCAGTTTGAGCTTTTGGTCTCAGAGTGGACACATCGATTGAGTTGTAGATCCAATAAGCTGCAGGACAATAGGTTTTGTCTTCATCAGCTAGCCACATTTTCCAGAAAGGGACGAGAATGTCTCAAATGGTGTCATTATGATGAAATTAATCTTGGCAGATTGCACCTCACCTTTACCGCCTCTTTCCTAGATGCAGAATCAGCTTCGAAATATCCGTCATTTTTACAAAGCAACCTTGTATCAAGATTGTAACATTCCTCCTGGCTTCAATCAAGATCTGGAGCTCTCACCGGTTTCGGTGTGGCACATAAGATACCGAAATATAACCAACAGGAGGTCAGCCGGTAAGACGGCTGGTACCGCCACCAGTTTAGCTTCCGCAAGGTAAGCTTGATACTTTCGTGGGACCGAGCAATACTCCTTACACGCTGCTTTGATCGCCAATTTGAGGTAATGATAATGGCGCTATAGAGGCAATAACTGCGGCAGTGGTTTTTGGCACCGATTGATTTCTGCAACATGGTGTGGTCGATTGTCAATGGGCTTCAAAAGCTGAAGTAGGGTATTAAATCTAGAGAAGTTCAGTCTGAGATGTTCCCAATAGTATAATCCTTACTATCAGACTCTTTTTCCTTGTCAACAAAATTTCACGAGAAATTCCCAACTTTCACTTCTGTTCAGCCGAGTCCAAAGTGCCATAGTCCAGTGAACTCCTGTCTACTGATCTAATCACACCGGACGGTAGACCTGATTTCTTGGCTGGCCGAAAGGCTCTCATGTGGCCTAATGGGTCAACGTTCAAAGTCAATTCTTTCAATGGCACTGCTCTGCAGAAGCGAAAACCCAAATTCTACGCTCAAACGTGGGAGAAGTACGCCAATCTAGACTTTCGCTTCATTGATGATGGCGATGCCGATATCAGAATTGGATTTCGCTAGTACGTACTGCAGGATATTGCCTAGGAATACTGAACGTCTGCCTACTGGATGAACAAAAACAACGACTGGGGCTCATGTTCCTACGTGGGTAAAGATGCCCAGAAGTTAGGCCTAGGCCAGAATACTACCATGAACCTCGGCGACTTGGGCGACAGCAGCCATGAAGAAAAGTGGTCTCGAGTCGTCACGCACAAGTTCGGCCATGTAATTGGCTGCGTCCCTGAGTAACAGGTGAGCCTCATCGAGTGGAATGTCGACCGGGTCATTGAAGACTGCAGAAGAATGTATGGGTAGAAAGAAGATACAGCACGGTCGCAAATCATCGACAAGTAGAACTTCAAATCTCTTGTCAAGACGGACTTTGACCCTAACTCGATCATATGTCACTGTTTCCCAGTCCCAGCGGCTTGGACCGTCAACAACATCGTTGCTCCAACTAATGTCAGCCTTTCCACTACCGACAGGAGTTTCGTGTCCACACTCTATCCTTTCCAAACGTGTAGCGAAGGGAAAATGATTATTGATCCCCTGGTACCACCCAGTACCCATCAATACCAAGGCTATAAGCTTCAATCCTTCTTATCTTGCTGTCCATCATTTGACTATCGTTTTGAAGCTTCTCGACCTGAATAACGCTGGTAAGATCCGTGTTCGTGCGGCTGCTTCGCGAGTCACTGGGGATGACTTTACTCTCAATGTCGATTCATGGGCCTACTCACAGTTGTTCAACGCGGCCGCGACCTGAATTGAATACAAAGCATTTGACAGTGATTATCAAGGTATGTCTGCATCATAAGTAAAGCATTTCCGAATACTTGGCTAATCAATTGTTTGCCGCAGTTGGAGAGTTCAACACGCTCGACAGTCGACCCCCAAACAGGTTCCCTGCCACAAGTCAAGACGGTGTCCGCCGACACCCCGAGTAATTGACTTCCGAGACGGTCAATTCAGCGAGGCTCCCAACGTCGTCGTCTGGCTAAGCGCTCTCGACCTAGACATCGACACTCCTCAAGGTGGAGAAAGTCCTGTCAATGACCCGGCCGACTCTGATACCAAGATCAGCGGGTATTGTCTATTCCTCGATCTCTATGTGCCTAAGCCGGTTTCGGACTCACCAGAAGGCACTTTGGCACCAGTGGTAGCATGGATCTATGGGGGAGCCTTTGATTTCGAGAGCAAGAACCAACTAGGTGCACTCTATACCGGACAATCATTTCTTACGGCGAGCAAGTGCAGACGATCTACGTCGCTGGAAACCATAGAGTAGATGCCTACGGCTGGTTGAATGACCACTACATGCAGACGCCCGGATCTACCTAGACAAACCTTGGTTTATACGACCAAACCCGCTTTTCGACCAGGTCGAGACGTACATCAATCAGGTCAACGGTGAGAAGTATAAAGTTTCAGCGTATGAGGAATCAGCTGGCGCCAGATAAATTCTTCATAACCTGGTCCGCGTGGGTGGAACAGTTGATCCTATCATTCGCAAGTTCGTTGTCCAGAGTCCTGCGTTCCAGTGAACCTGGGATAATTCTGTCAATGGAAGGCTTGAACATATTTACATGAACTTCTCTGATCTGGGGGGCTGTGGTCGGAGCTTTGACATCGACGTTCTTCGGAAATCTACGAACCTTTTTCAACGGTGTTGCGAGCACGGGTCTGTTCCCTGTTGGTTCGCCTGTAGATGGCGATTGGATTAGGACCATTCCCACTATATCCTTTGAAACGGTAAGTCATGAGTTTGATTTAACCAATCCATTGGGCTCCTTAGTAGAAGAGTAAAGCTAACTAGTTCAACAGTTCAATCCTAGAAAGCGATCGGTGCTACTATCATCTCACACGTATTGAACGAGACCGCCTCTTTTACACCCAAGAACATCTCTTCGGAAACAGCCTTCAATAACTTCCTCGAGTTATTCCTGCCTAGAAAGAAGCTTGAGAAGCTTCGCAAGCAGAATGCTCAGCAATACAACTGCACCGAACTTTTCGCCGGCGACTATACTAAATGCATTGTGACAACAGCTCGTGATGCTTCCTTCACCTGCAATGCTCGAGATCTGTATTCAGCGCACCCCAACATATCTTACATGATGCAATATATCTTTCCAATTGGGCGTTCAGCCTTCCAAACCGTTGACCTAGTCGCTTTGTTCGCCAACACACTGGACCGAGCCGTAGAATTGCACAGCAAGAAATTACCGCCATAGCTTGCCAAATGGCACACCAGACCACTCATCAAAACAGGTGTTGCGACTGTTTACCAGACCTACTTTGCCGCTTTGGCACTGTCTGGTGATCCGAATTTCTTTGACTTACCACTGGTTGCCGGCGCGCAGCCGCCAGCATGGAATGTCGCAGATGGCTCTAGCGATCTTTTGACAAATGTTCTCACCGTCCAGATGCCCAGCGGCCAGCCAGATTTTGACTTGGGTACAGATAATCAGCACGTAAAGGCGCGATGTGCGTTTTGGGTTTGGGTCGGTGAAGGAAATCATGTTGTTTGATGGGTTACTGGTGCAGGATCCGGATGACGATGTACATGCTGAGCTGTAGGAGTGAGCTTTATCCTGTGAACTTTGATTATCTTTCTGGTGATCTAGCAACGTTACAGATACGAAGAGCATGTTTATTCTTTTTCTTTTAACCTAGCACTTGATAGTTAAAACTGTACGCTATTAACTACTGATCACTGTGTCATTCGGGCATCGACTCACTGTGGGCATTTGTCGATCAACTCCGTCAACCTCTATTGTACAGTAACTATCTGTCGAAATCAGGATACTTCGCCTTTTCCCTTGCAGCTTTTACATGGTCACCCCATCGCTACCCTATAGGGTTTCCAGCAGATTCAGCTCTAGTGTCTGCCTGCGATAACTCACAATTGCCGATGACATGGACTTCTCCTTAGCATTGTTCCCTAATCCTTAAACTCTTATACAACTACAAAACACGTTGGATCCTGCCCCATAATACATGTATTAAATTGTAGACAGTTCGATCTTAGCACGGAGAGGATGCTTTCCTCGCACGTTGATGAAGTTGGATCATGGCCTTCATCATACTACTTAACCTAGAGTAAAGATGGTGGACATCATAAAATTCGTACTTTCAACACGAACATGCCAAGCGGTCCTTTCATAGAGGGACTGAGGGAGATGCTTCACTTCCTGATTATTGTAAACTTTGCTTTTGCAGTACTGCATCCGACATCTAAACTGTATCAGTGTTCGTTCATACAATGTGGCATAGATATGCAAAAGGACCACGAAGTCAATGTCTCAAGCCAAGGCAACAGCTCAGCGGAGGCGTCCCCTGCTGAAAGTCATGAGGGAATGTACTGCCGCCGGTATTGAAACTTCTCAAGGGAGGATTGCTTTCAACCACTTGTTTCAGTAGTTCTTTCTTTGAAAGTTCATGTAGTCGCACTTGGTTATTCTGAGACTCGGCCAAAACGCTATTGGACGGTATCCTGGTGAGACAAAAGGGACAAGAATCTCAGTCTGATCATCCTGACTCCCGGCGCACGGAAGTTAATCGCTTTGTGGATCCAAAAAGCCATAGAGCAGGGTTCCGTCCCTTGGCAAGCCACATCTTCCAGAAAGAGTCGGACGTGTCTCAAGTCGAAGATTCAGTTGTGCAGATCATCCCTTCAGCTGAACCACTTCATTCTTATTCGTCAACCTTGGAATGTAACCGTCATGTCATTCCTCCATCCAGATCATTAGTTCTCACCAGTAAACGGCTCGTGCCGCCACCAGTTTAGCTTCCGCAAGAGTGGCTCAATGCTTTCGGGGGGTCGGGGAATATTGCTGGTGCATGAATCAGCACAGCCTCGCTGCGGCCGCACGAGACAATCGGACGACTTACTGAGGTTGAATGGACACGCCCCAATAACCCGGGGCCACCTTGTCCAAAAGTTCGTTTCGAACTATTGCATCTGCCGACGCTATCATCAAGGTATCTCAGGCGTTTGCCGGAGGATCTGTGAACGTAATGTTTTAGGGATTAATATGCAAGGAAGACGGCAGAGCAACGGACTGCATCGTCATTAAAGTGCAGTCCATTATACCGACTGACATAAGAACATGAAGTTTGGGTCTAACGCGGCTGCGACACTCGCAGCAAAAGGCCTTACAGTGTCTCCATGATCGTTGTCGAGTGGGCGTGTTGATCGTCTTTGAGAAACTTACTTTATCTTACCAAGGCAGTAATATGTCTAAAGAGTGGCTGGTTCAATTGGAATAGCTCCAGTCGATCCTGCCTGCAACTCTTGATGTTTGTCTCGCTTGAGTCCTCAATTCGGTCATGCCTGCTTCTAAAACTTGGTTCTCTAATGGTGAACTATGCAAGGGCGAATTGGAATGTTTTGTCTTCCCATGTTTCTTCAATGACATAGACTCTATGTCTCTGTGAGGTAAATTGCCCCATTTCATGTCTTGATGAGATGCTGCTCCTTCTGTCTTACACGCAGAAACTAAGACAAGGTTCACATGACGTGCGAGTCTGCGGGGGAGATACCGCCTCCCCTCTGCAGGAAAGAGTTGATATCGTCCCGTGTCTGAGATCGACAAAAGGGTGTGCGTGGAGACGCCACTATAAACAATGTGAATCTGTTTGAGTGATCTTCTCACACGAAAGGTTGGCTGTGTCTAGATCAATAGCTCCACTGATGATCTTGTTGTCACCTCAGCATCTTGTAGGAACTGGGTGACAGTCGATTCAGCTTGGATGCATGTTAGTCAAGTTATGCCAAGCTCACTCACAATGCCATCTGGACAGGGTGTAGGGGCATCAACTGCGGGCGGTCCAAGCATATCCAGTCCCGAACCGGCGTTCGATAATGGTGAATTGACTTTCGGTACATTCTAGCTCCGGTAATACATCTCGGAATCCTCACAATTCTTCGGGCTATCGGCGGGGTATTGGATCTCATGAAATGATTCTCTCACTTTTGAAACGTTGTTGTCAGTCTTGACTCAAATGGGCACATTCTTTCAGTCCGTGTTTGTGACGCAAACAGTGATTGATCTGCCTGCGCCTGCCACTCTACTCTCCAATCAACACTTCCCGGTGGTCTCCCTGGCCACGCCCTGAGATCTGTTTGTCTCGGATCGATTACCAAGCTCCGTATGATCGAGCTGGTAGCGAAAGGAGAGTTGGTCGTTCTCCTTGTAAACAGTCTAACTAATCACAGTCACCCAGTTATACGTCATATAACAGTTCAACTTGTCCCCTTGAACTGAGGAACCCGATGCTTTACAGTTATTCCGTGGCTCATAACCACGATAAATACAGACTTCGCGTACTCGTACACTCAGTCCCCTGCACAAACTGTCTGTGGTGTCTACAGCAGCCTTTCCAACCTTCACTATGGCTTGGTCGGTCCGACTCTGCGTAGTCCTGGGGGCCCTCACGTCGGTGGCACAGGCTCAAGAATGTCCTGGTGCTGGTACCGATAAGGTGTAGGTCTCACCTCTCTCTTCATCGATGCCGCAGAGCTAACTTCACCCAGATCCCGTATCAAGTTCAAATCGTATTCCAATTCTCAAACTTTTGCCCTACCTGGAGACGGCGAACTCAACTTCCTGAACAACGTCGCGACCTTACAGGACTGCGCCAACCACTGTGCGGTTAACGACCTTTGCAAGGCTTCCGTCTGGAACGAAGACACCCACGAGTGTCGCCTCATCAAAGACACCGATGGTTGTCAAGATGAAGAGCCTGGCCATCACTCTCTATGGAAGGTTGGCTTCATCGACACGGACGATACCTCCGGATGTTCTCCACAAGAAATCGACGAAAAGTGTGCTGATAAGGCAAACAATGCGCGCCTCGACGCTGAGAAGAAATGCGACGCACGCAGCGACGACCTCAAGGCCGAAGTAGCACGCCTTCAGGCCGAGAACGCAGCCCTTCGCGACGCCAAGAACAAGGCAGAACGAGATTTGGCCGAGGAGAAAAACGCCAGAGAAGAAGATAAAAAACTCCACAACAGGCAGTGCCAAGCCAAACTCGATGAAGAAATCAATAAGAGGAGGCAAGCTGTCAAGGACGCGCGAGACGATGCCGAACGCAACTGCAGGTCCAAACAAGACAACGATCTTCAGAGGCAGCTTGATGAATGTAATTCCAGCCACAAGGTGGACAAGGCGGAGCGCGAACGTATCGAGAGCCAATGTGCCGAAGATCGCAAGCGTTGCGCCGACGGCTATGACAAGCTCAGTCAGAAATGCGTTGACGACCTGTCCAAAGCCAACCAGAAGGTGAAGGACTGTGACAACAAGTGCAATGACGCCATCCGACAAAAGGATGACCAACTCCAACAATGCACTGATAACCTCAAGAACGTCAAGGACCAGCAGAAACAGTCAGAGGACCAATGCAAGGCAGACAAGGCCAACCTTCAGAAGGAATGCGAGAACACTCGCAATACCGACAAGACGGCTTTGGAGGCCACATGCCAAGCTGAGAAGGATATCATCAACAAGCAGTGCGCTCATGACCTCGACTCTGCCAAGAAGCAGCAGAAACAATGCGAGAACAAGTGTCAAGCGGAGAAGGATGTCATCAACAAGCAATGCGCCCATGATATTGATGCTGCCAAGAACCAGCAGAAGCAATCTGAGGACAAATGCCAAGCTGAGAAGGAGGTTATCAAGAACCAGTGCGCTCATGACATTGACTCTGCTAAAGACAAGCAGCAGCAACAGTCCGAGAACAAGTGCCAGGCTGAGAAGGATGCCATCAAGAACAAATGCACGCAAGATGCTGACACTGCTAAGGAGCAGCAGCAGAAGCAGTCGGAGTCTAAGTGCGAGAAGGAGAAGGATGCAATCAACAAACAATGCACTCAGAATCTTGATGACGTCAAGAACCAGCAGCAGAAGGAACAGTCCAAGTGCCAGAAGGAGAAGGACGATCTCGACAAGCAATGCAGCGACAAGCTGGCTAAGGAGCAGAAGACCTCTGACGAGAAATGCGAAAGCCAGAAGGATGGCCTTCGCAAGGATTGCGAGGACCGTTGCAAGGCCTCTGCGCGGGGCAAGGATGACATCTGCTACAACCCAGGTGGTTTCACCGCCTGGCCTAACACCCTCCCGCCCTTCAACGTCGACGATACCAACTATGTGTTGAAGCCCAATACTCATGTAAACCCAGGAAGATTCTCACTACGTGAGGCTAGTTCACCAGCTGCCTGTGCCAGGGAGCATTGCAACAACGCGAGCGACTGCATTGCCATCCGCTGGGACGTCAATACTGTAAGTCAACCAAGTCATTGTTCTCATTCGTTGCTAACCATGCCATCTACCAGCCTAATAAATGTTATGTCTTTATCGACTCGCCGTACAGTCAATTTGAGACGAGTCGCATGAAGAACTACCCCAACTCTTACATGATCTTCAAGGGCGACAAGATCTAGTAAATGTTTTCGCGGACTGCTGGTTAACCCAATAAGATGCTTTGTGCGCATGTTATTAGTCGACAAATTTAGTTTGAAGCATGGATGGAGACGAGATGGATGGTCAGGAAGTGTGTAATTAGTTGTCGGATAGGAAGCAGACAGCAATCAATAGTTCCCTTTGTAAAAACGACTATCTTTGCGCGATTGTGAGTGCCATTGCTTCGTCTGTATTTGTGGATGTGGAAAGCCGCAGCACAATGAGCGTTCTGTCACCGGGCTTTTTTAGTCCCTGTTGGTCTGTGGCGTGGACTCAGCGAAGACCCGGTATTGAACAGGGCTCCATACATTACTTTCTGAGCATGGCGTCTTCCGCCAAGACTGAAGATCATCGCCCTACTGAGTGGGGGGTGTCGATTACCATGAGATGAGCTGTGTATGGCGGGGAGCTGGTCGGATAAGACCTTCTCTCTAAGAGCCCCATTGCTTGTTTCAATCAATTGTCACAGTATACCGGTATTTTTCCAAGCATAAGTGTTTGCATTGTGCTGAGATACAGAAATTGCAGCTGTCTTAAAAGCAGCTACAATAAGTAACCTCTACCTAGCAGAATTTCAACCGTCCCCGACTGCCCACCTGCTAACAACCATTCAACTGCCAAAACACATTCTGACCCCAACGAATCCGGCTATCTAGAATGCCCAATAAAGAATGCATTTAAGGGCCAAACAACACGTCATTGATCCAGAATTGGAGTGTAGTTCTGTTGTCTCTCAGCTCCGAGAATTTGGCGTCCAATTTCTCGGCCGAGACACGGAGCACGCCGGCGAATTCCGGCCGCTTGCTAACTTCCATCAAACCACTTAGGAATTTCTCAGCTTGAGGTGCGCTGCCGATTTGGTTGGCAGAGAACAGAACCGCTGTGAATTATTAGTATATTACAGTGAGTCGTAGTGATGTAAACTTACCATCGCGGGGATGGAAGGCAGCTTGCAATTTCTGCTGACAAGTAATGATGGCATTCTGCAAGGTGTCTACAGCCTCTTCGTTAGGTTCCCCGTCAGTGATGATGATGATAAGGATCGGGCGCTCGAAAGCTGCTCCTGCGTTGGTCACGCTGTAGATAAAAGGCTCGAGAATCTTGCTGTTCAGGTTTGTGCCGATCTTGGTGCTGCCATCCGGAGTGAAGCCCATTTGAGCCTTGAGAGCATCGCCCTTAAGGTTATCCCCACCGCTTGCCTTGTTGATGAAACGGATGTGAGCGCCCTTCTCATCGGTTGAGAACAAGCTCATTGTAGAGGCAATTTGACTGACGATCTCGGACTGGTTTGGCCATCGGTTCTCGTCTTGCATAGAGCGGCTGTCATCTGCACATCACATGGTTAGATTTGTCCGTAGTAATAGAGACTGGAGAGAGTACTGACCGCAATAGATGATAGGCTGGTACAAGGCCATATGAAACGACGAGGCAACTTCTGCCGAAGTAAGTCGTAGGCCGAGACTTGGATCAGTCACGACCGTATGAGCCTTCAAGAGAATGCTGTCGAGGACCGGACTGCCCGGTGGAAAGAAGCTCTCCAAGCCATAAGTGGCGACGACATCGTCTAAAATGGTTTTCAATTCTGGCTTGGTGGTTGGATATGCGGATACCGGCGCCGCTGTGCGAGGCTCAACAATCTCTTTGTTGATCACCCTGAAAGCATCGATGACACTGTCTTGGATGGGCTTCTTAGGTGCGAGGTAATCAATTGCGAGGAACGCCGACGAAACGAGGAACCGTGTAAGTGAAGTCCCAGTTGGGTTGAGAGGGTCTGGGTCAACGAGAGCCTCCTTCACCTTGACGTTCAGAAGGCGATCCGCCAGATCCAGCGCGGTCTCACCCTTGCTGTTCGGGGTTGTGACAGAAGCTCCCTTGTCCTTGAGAGCTTTGATGATCTCAGGATCCGGGTTATTCTTGAGAGCCCGCATGAGGGGAGTGTCATGGGGATAGGAATCGTCTTCTTCATCGACGTTGATGTCCGGGTGATCAAGCAGGATCTTGACGACGCGGGCTGCGTTCTCCTTGGCATCAATTGCCATATGGAGGGCAGAGAGACCATTGGGGGACTTCTTCTTGACGTTGGCCTTGTGGTTGAGAAGAAGGCGAATTGCGTAGGTATCACCATTCAATACAGCATAACCCAGGGGCGTATTGCCGTCAACAGGTCTGTTGATGTCATCGCCACTGGTCATGTCCTTGAAGTCATCTCGAGTAAGGGTCCTGTCTCTGACCCTGTCTGCAATGATGTTGGACATGGTGACAGTCATGGAATTGGATGCAAGGGGGAGGTAAAAAGCGAAGTAAGATTGAGTTGTTGATAAAACGGTAAGGACAATGTTGGTAACGAAGGGATGGGAATACGGTGGTCAAGAGTTGACTTATACGGGTCAACAGGTGTCTCAGAGTGCCTTGTTCTCAGATGCTTATGCAATAATCTGGCCTAACCCCAATTCTGCCCACGGGGTTACGGCACTCGGTCCGTAAGACAGTGTTTTGCTTTTCCCTTCCCTGTCCTTATGCTCCAAACTGGGAGCTAGGATAGCGGCACGGGTCTCTCCGCTTGACCATAGGCACGCCAGGGACGGACCGTGGCGTTCGCGGGTGAAATTGTCTCCGAGACATTTAGTCTTCTGCTGACAGCTGGAGTCATGATTCCATGTTGACATGTTTCGGACGCGTGGATGTGAAAGACATGAATCAAGTCAGTTCTTCAGACTCCAACCACACTGCTTTTTCCGCCTTTGACTCAAGCATAAGCCGCGAGGTATTGAGACAAAGGATAGATGATCTCAAGTGTCGTGTCGAGAGGCTGATGACTTCACCTTGCGCCGGGCATGTCAGGTCTTAGCTTTGTCTTTTCTTCTCATCCCTTGCAGCGGTATCTTTCCCTGAGACCCTATTGGATCAATTCCATCCAACCCTTTGACGCCTGAGGCCTTAGTTTCACATGAATACAGGCCTTGCCCCATCGTCAGAGTCTCAGGTCGCTGCCGAAAGCATGTGAATCACTTCTCAGACACTTCATTCTCTCGTAGTATTCTGTTATAAGACCGGGGCCACATGTCAGGTCGCATCATTCCACTAAGCTAGACAAATCCACTACCCAGACACTGCCATTCCCAGCCAAGGACACGTCTAGGACGATGTGACGAGACAGCACTATGTATCCGCTAAGACACGGGAACCATCTCTTCATCCAGATCTAGCACCCGTCATTCCTTAGATTTATGCAATAAGGATGATGATCAAATAATGTCCCAAACGTCTCTCTAGATACATACACTGAACCTTTCCATACCCCCCTTCCAGATATTCCTTCAAACCACCAATGAAGAGACATTCCCAAGCGACGCCTGTTTTGAATGATAAGACCGAAGTATCGGGACTTTTGGTAATCCGAAAACCGGAATCTGTCGAGAAGGGTGTAACTTAGGGGAAATCATCTACCTAAACCAGAGCGTGAAGATCCTTTTGATCCAAATACAGAAAGCTCGGCTTTCACAGAGTGAGATGGCGCAACCATTCACGTCGTCCGGGAGGAACATTGGCAAGACAGACAACAGAGAGTCAAGCAATACACCCCCTCCTGGTGATCTTTTTGTAATGGCTTCTGTGGATAATGGTCTTGGCACCTGGCCTGAAGAAGCAGAAGCTTACTCAAGGTTTATCGGACCGCCGTTTCTGTGAACCTTGTGCTTATCTTAGGGGGTTGGTGTAATTGCGGTAGTGGTCATGGTGGCTTAAAATGTCGATCACTGTACTTTCCCTTTTATTGTATAACCTTAATCCTTCTGCATTAAACTTCAGTGCAACAACAACGACATACACCCGTGTCCAGCGCTGATACTGGTACGATCGTCGATATTCTCTAAAGATATCAAGCTCAATGGAAGCATCAGCTTCTAGGAACTTTACAAAGCTTCCCTTGACACATGTGACTGTACTGCAGATCTTGGAGAGAAGCTACTAGGGACTCAAACTGTCCCGCAATGAAGCTGAGATACGGGTCGACTCCATTGAGCTTACATGCTGACGAAGAGTCTCACGAGAATGGGAGACGGAGACTTGCATACTGCATCCCGAGTGGCTCAAATCAGATGTCTTGGATCTGATCTACAATCAAAAACCATAGATTCCGTGCTTGAAGAATGCTTAAAGTATGACCCCGCTTCATACGTCGGTCGAAGTGGCTGAACCCTTCCTGCCATGTCTCGATAATAAGTCATGATCTGCGTTTTGAGCTCCCTTGAACAGCGTCGTCCTAGTTGAGCTCTACAGAATCGATGTCTCTCGTCCATTACAGTTACAACTGACACGATACCAACCGCATTGAGGGCGCTCCGGTTTGAGGCTGGCTACGAGCGGGGGATCTACCAACCTCTGGTTGCATCTGGAGGAATATGTGAAATCCGCTTTGAACGGATAATCTACCAGATGATCATAAAGTACTTATATCTCATTACATCACGCCATCTCTGAGCCACAGGATCTAAGCAACAGACACACCACCTTCCTCTTCCCTTTCACACAGAAACCCTTCTTCTTTCCCATCCAAGCCGTTCCCAGCGTTGTCACCATGACGCGCCTGAGAGACGTCGCTATCTTATTCGCCAGCTCCGTGGTCTTGGCCCAGGACCCCCATCACATCCTTGATGGGAGCTCCTCTGGGCTATTGACAACGCCGTTGGGTACTCAAGCTAGCACATTGGGCTCATGTCTGATGGGCTCAGCGTGTCAGAAAGTTGGCAAGAAAATCACCATCGATGATATTGTCATCTCCACCGACGCTCATGGAAACACAAAGTGTTGTCCCCAGGGCACCACCTTCAACGGTGTCAGCTGTGTCTATCCCAAGTCCACTGTCTGCCCTCCTAACATGCACTTTGCGAATGGTGTTTGTATCCTCACCTCTGGTCCTGTCTGCGAAGATAAGAACTTGGTGCCCACCAAGGACGGCTGTGCCTCCAAGGTTCCACCCACCTGTCCTCCAGAGACTGTTCTGGATAACGGCCAGTGTGTTCTGAGGAAGGAGCCGACTTGTCCAGGTGGAAAGAAGATTGTCAACGGCCTCTGTATCACCGATCAAGTACCCAAATGTCCTGAAAAGGGCTTCCGTGCTCAGGGTAATCTCTGTGTTCATGAAGACGGCCCAACATGTCATCAAGACTGGCTCAAGGTGGTCGACGGCAAGTGTGTGCACGTCAAGGAGCCCGTCTGCCCCGATCGTACCAAGCCAGTCGGTGGTCGTTGTATCCATGAGCAATCCCCAACCTGTCCATCCGGCTTCCGCATTTCCGGCGACACATGTGTGCACGAACGCGGTCCATCTTGCCCTTCCGGATCTACGTACCGTAACGGCGTGTGTGAATACAGCAGACCACCTACCTGCAGTGAGGGAAGTCTGATTGATGGCCAATGTGCGACCGATAAGTCGCCAGAATGCCCTTCAGGTTACAAATTTGATAAGGTCGCATTCCGTTGCCAGCGCCGGGATACACTCCAGTGCCAGGCTGGATACGTGAACCGATGGGACCGCGTCAGTGACAAGATCGCGTGCTGTCCCAAGGACTTTGGCGGTTTCGATGGCACATTCTGTACTCAGGACTACCCAGGCTCCGGTAAATGCCCTCCCAACTCTGAGCTTCGCGACAACAAGTGTGTCACTACTCCAGGAAACCACCCAGACTGTGACGGTGGTAAGGGTTTCGTTGAGAAGGGCGTCTGCTACAAGAAAGAGGAAGCCTTCTGCCAGAGCCCTCTCAAATTGCTCAAGGACAAGTGTGTCTATGAGACGGATCCCTACTGTACCGATGGCAAGCTCTCCCCTACTCGCATGGAGTGTATTATTGAAGGCCCCAACTGTCCTAGTGACTCAATCGTCATCGATGATGAGTGTGTCTCCAATGTGCACATCCCCGAATGTCCCGCTGGCCTCAAGCAGCAGGGCAACTCTTGTATCGGCGAGAAGATTCTCAGCTGTCCTCCCGGAACCACCAGGAGCGGCGACTACTGTATCTATGGCGACGTCCAGCCTGGTTGCAAGGACGGTCTCGTTCTATTGGGCGACAAATGTGTCACCCGTACCACCTCCAAGTGTCCCGAAGACACGATGCCTGAAGGAGAGTACTGTGTCTCTATCAGAAACCCAGTCTGCCCTGAGCCCGACTACGTCTACTCGCTTGAGAGACGCGCTTGTGTTCACCGCTACAGACCATCATGTCTCCCTCCTTTCTACCTGAAGAACGGACGCTGTGTCATTGACACCCTTCCAGTCTGTCCCACAGACACAGTCCGCAATGGAGATAGCTGTATCACTCGTGCCAACTGTTCCGGTGACTACACCCTGGTAGGAGATCGTTGCGTTTCCAACAAGGGACCTGAATGCCCAGACCCCTTCACCGAGTTCGACGAGAAGACCGGCTCATGTATCTCCCGTTCCCAAACACCTTCCTGTACTGATGGAAGCACTCTCTCTGGCGGCAAGTGTGTTCTCAAGGCTGACTGTCCTCCCAACACCACCCCTATGGGCGATTACTGTGTTTCATACCAGAAACCAGCTTGTCAAGATGGCTTCACGCTTGAGAATGGCGAGTGTGTCCTCAAGAAGGGACCAACCTGCCCAGCCGGCTACATCGCCCGCGGCACCGACTGTTATTCTATCAAGAAGCCTGTTTGCCCTGCAGACAGTGTCATGGATGGTGACCGCTGTATTATTGGAGTCAACCCTGACTGCATCATTCTCGGCACCTGCCCTGAGATCGCTTAGTTGTGACCTGGAGCGTATTGTCAAGGTAGCTCGGAGATTGACACATTTACCTGACGGATCCTCACTCCTTCCCTGTTTTTTGCCTTTGTCATATGTAATCCCGTTGCCCTGGTGGATAAAAAGGCACTTTGGGAGCCTTCGAAGCCAATTACCCACCGCTCGTCTTGTGCATTATCGTTGCTCAAATTTCTTTTATCCACTCACTTAGTCTTACTACTATGTTATGTTAGTTTCGCAAATAATAACGGTCCATCCTTCAAGATTACAAGATCCCAAGTGAAGTTTGTTTAAAGTCCAAAAATGAGTTTCGAGAGCCTTATCTATATGTGGGTTACACAGCCTCGCAAATACTTAGAACGGAATGTCATTGGAGCATACTTGCATATCGAAAGGCAGTGCAATAGCTTTGTCTACTCCGTACTGTAACGTTTATTAAGAAAAAATGTACATTCAATCCTCATTTGCGCTAATGTCCATATTTATATACGTTCGCCTTTCATGCTAAACCTCTAGGCCCCGAATCATCTCTTCTTTCACCTCTCCCAAAAACCTCTCTATGAAGTCTCTATCGTAGTAGCTCTTATTCCAGCTGGCCGTCAACACAAACTGATCCCTGAATGTCCAACCATGACACTGAACAGCCTTCGCTATCATCTGCGTTCCCAACCAGAAGTCTTCCACCACTACCTCTCCTTCGCTCTGTCCACCTGAGATGGGATACGTGCGATCCAAGACCTTCTCTACTAAGCCCATACTGGCAAAGTCGACAGCCTGAACAGTGGGCATGTCGGGAGGTGGAGGGGTATTGACCAAGTCAAGAATCCTTCTGATGAAAGGAGCGCCAAGATCAGCAGTGGACACGGGTTGTCCCGCGTCGTCCTTGAATCCAGAATTTCTGGCACGTCCATACGACTTTTGCAACTCCTGACAGACTTGATTGAAAGTCTTGTTCTCATTTACCACATCCAAGACAATGACAGGGAAAGCAGCGCAATATTCACCAATAGAGTACTGGGGAGTATTGTATGGTGAAGGGAAGTTCTTGCGTATGTCAACGGGGGCAAATCTCCCATAAGACTTGCACAGCGGGTGTTGAGGATATCTTGCAGAACAGCGAATAATGGCAGCATGGGTGGCGAGGGATATCGTGAGACCTTTGGCTTTGCTCCCTGCCAGTAATCTACTCGTTGTCTCTTTACCAAAACTGAGAGTGGCTCTGGTGGAGTCTCCGGGGATGGCATCACCGCTTCCCTCTCGTGGGGGAAGCGCCACGCTGGGTGCACCGGCCAACATATCAGTGTACATAGCATCTGCAGCTTTTCGCATGTAGTCTGGGGTGCTGGCCTCGTCGGAAAAGGCGTCTAGGATCCAATCGACGTTTGGTGCTATACTGCCATCGCCAACAGGGGACGTGAAACTGTCGAGTGCGGCGTCGGTGCCTTTGGCGAGAGATTGAGAGACAACATGAAGGAAATTGACCGCAATGGTCATTGCTGAACCGCCGTCCATACGCCAGTGGCTCGTTTGGAAGAGCACTTGAGAAGAGAAGGGAATCCAAGTGCAAGTCGCATATTCTTCATCTTTAGCTAATTCGAAAAGAGCTGTGGCATTTGTTGCTTTGTGATCTACTCGGAAAGCCTTGCCCAGCCATTCCTCAGCATCATAGGTCGGTATGAGTATAGCGGGAGTCTTTCCAGATTTATGACTGTGGTTTTGCAAATTGAGGACGCTTCCAAGCTGTGGATGATGCTTTGCCGTCGCCGCCCATGCTGTACGGATGTGGGGGACTGGATCAGCCACTGAAGAAGGGAATGACAACTTCAAGGCTGTGTAGATGGAAAGGTGTTCCTTTGCAAGGGGAGCCGTGGCTGTCTTGAAGTGATAGAGTAGCTTCTCGACTGTTGAGAAGGGACGAGCTCGAACATCTGGATTGGAGGCGAGGGTGGTGAAAGCTGGGTCTAACCGAGCAGTAGTGGGGTTGGGGCTGATGGAACCCATGGTTTTAGGGTAATCTTCTCAGCGATGCCAAAGAACCGCCTTCGTTTGGGATGGAGGACTTATGATGGGTGATTAAATGGATATACAGCTTTTCTTCGAAGATTCAGGATTTGAGCAAAGTGCAGTAGAGAAAGACTGTTGACAGAACCTTGAGAGCACGTACGTCCAGAGGGATTGTGTTGAAAGTCGTCTCAACGGCCTTTGCGGAGATAACAAAAGCGGCCACTGTATCGTATTTGTAAGCTATAAGCAGATGCGAACGATGCGATGGCACGATGGCAATCGGAGACAACAGAACCCTTGTACTCGGAACTTCTCCCGACGGAAGCAAGCTGGGCTGGGCAGGGTATGTTGCAGGGTAGCTTAATCCTGGTCAACTTCGAGTCCTTAGCGTGGTACATGCATGTCAGCTTAACAAAAGTCCATAGCGGCCGAGTCCCTTAGCGTGAGTCCCTAGCGTCAATCAATCCATGTTTCATCGCCTCGACATGGGATTTTCGCTTCCTTCTGCTTACTGCCAGTACCGAAAAAGAAGAGTCCTTTTTTGTATGTCGTGGTCAAATTTTGCCATGATGAGTTTCACAGTATATGTATTCATGACATTCTGGAACATGTCTCAGCGGCAATAGAAACCACCTAATTGAATCTAACCAGACTTACCCATTTTCATTGCCTTCTTTTCAAAATGTCTTCCATTGCTGATCAAACCGGCACTGTGCCTTTCACTCATCAAGCTCTGGGCCAACAAGTTGAGACCTTCTATCGCATCATCGGCGACTTGAAGTCAGGCCAGCGACCCTTGATTGCAGCTCATGGCGGTCCAGGCTCAAGCCACGATTACTTCTTGAACCCTCTTGCCAGTTACCCTGCAGAGACTGGCAGACCTTTGGTCCTATACGATCAAGTCGGCAATGCGAAGAGCACCAACTTCACCTTTGAGTCAAAGTCGTTGCCCAACCTATCAGTCGATGTATACACTGCTGAGCTCGACAACCTGGTGACAAAGCTCGGCATTCAGGAATTTGACTACCTTGGTCACTCCTGGGGCGGTATGATGGGTCTTGAGTACGTCATCAAGTACCAACCCAAGATGAAACACTTGATCTTGGACTCTGTTCCTGCTTCCGTCGAGCTGTGGACGAACAAGATCAAGGATACCCTGAATGAGCTAGACCCAGCCGAACGGGACCTGGCATTGGAACTGGACGCCGCCCAGGAATATCAGGATCCACGACTGCAGGCTATTTTGAAGAAACTGCAAGACAAGCATGTGTGCCGATTGGACCCTTGGCCGGAAGCGGCTCAGGGTTTCTTTGGCACCATCATGAGTAATCCAGCTGTCTATGCGACCATGCTAGGACCCAGCCAATTTGCTACATTGGGAGCACTGAAAGGTAAGTCAAAGCCACATTATAGCTATAGCGCGTGCTAACAAATTTCATCAGGCTGGTCCGTCGTTGGACGCTGCAAGGATATCAAGGTACCAACACTGATTCTCCACGGCGAGTATGACTGGGCAGACGACGCTGGTGTCAAGCCTCTCGTTGAAGAGATTGAGAACAGCCGCCAGGTTACACTCAAGGGATGCAGTCACATGTGTCATCTGGAGGATACAGAGGCGTTTAAGAAGGAGGTTTTTGGGTTCCTCAACAATTAGATGTAGACATAAGACATAGACAGTTTGTGCGATTCACAATAAATGCACATAAGTGCTTTCATTCTTAAATAATTTTATCCCGGATAGCCAGCTTTGACCATTTCCAATATCCTAATGGTTATATGCATGCCATAGACGACGGCGTGATAGTAGTCGCGCAATTTTCGTAACATCCATCAGATGAATGTCATTGGCCCAACCTTGCCTCGGAGAATAATCCATCTCCCGTCTTTCGCAGTTTTACCATCCTTTAGGAGACACACCTTGCGGCTTACGATCTCACATCTTACTCCGTTGACCAACCCTTGTGCACGTTGCATCGGCCCTGCCGCGGAAAATTAGCGCAATCGACAGGGGGTTCAGGGCTTAGCATCCCATATCCCGCCCCTTAGCTCCTCACCATAACCCGAGGACCAATCGGGTAGGAGTAGAAGGCCAGTGGAGTTACAAAAGAACCCGGTGTAAGATCAGTGAGAAAATGTCCTTGTTGGCCTTGCGTCTTACAGCGCAATATGCAAGCGAAAAGGCCCTTTCTTTTTCGGCAGATCCCTCGCTGATTAATTCGAAATGAATTATTAAGCCGTTGTTCACTCGATGCGCGAAGACACGTGTGTCCACATGTCCGAGAGAATGCTAGCTAAAAAAGAACATGTCCTACTCACAAACGCGACATTCAACACTCAGTTCCCATCATACAACGACCATGTCTTCTTCAACAGATCTTGACAGAGCGCCAGTCATCGCAAATGATGTTGCCGCAGACCCTGAGACTGCTTTCAAGGTAGAGACCAAGACTGAGGCTCGGGAGACGAGTACCGACAATGATAGCCAGACTGCTGAGGTTGAGTATCCCAAGGGATTTCAGCTTACTTTCATTGCCATTGCATTAGCTCTAGCTCTTTTCTTGATAGCTCTTGACATGGTGAGTGCTCTTCATTGCCGTGTTAAAGAGCAGCGACTGACCATCTTTAGACAATCATCGCTACCGCCATTCCCAAAATCACAGACGAATTCCAGGGTCTTGACAAAGTCGGATGGTACTCTTCTGCCTTCTTCGTCACCATCGGATCTTTCCAATCCTGCTGGGGAAAGGTGTACAAATACTTTCCACTCAAGATATCCTTCCTCACGGCCATCATCATTTTTGAGATTGGTTCTGCCATCTGTGGCGCTGCTCCCAACTCAAATGCCCTCATCGTGGGACGCGCTATTGCCGGCGTGGGCGGCGCTGGTGTGAGTGCCGGTAGCTACACCATCATCGCTTACTCTGCTACGCCTGAAAGACGGCCCATGCTACTCGGCTTGTTGGGTATCTCTTACGGCTTCGCCAATGTCATCGGTCCGCTAGTCGGCGGTATCTTCGCTGATAAGGTTTCTTGGAGGTGGTGCTTCTACATCAATCTACCCGTTGGCGCCATTTCCATCGCTATTATCACCTTCTTCTTCCGTGACCCACCTCAGGCAAAGCCAGCCCGAGTCCCCTTGAAGGAGAAGATGTTGCAGATGGATCTTGTCGGTGTTGGTCTTCTCATCGCTGCGACTATTTGCTTCGTCCTCGGTGTTGAGTACGGTCAAGGAAAGTACAGCTGGGGAAGCTCCAAGGTCATTGGTCTCCTCGTTGGTTTCGTTCTCATCCTCCTCGTGTGGGCAGCGAATGAGTGGTGGATGGACGAGCGGGCTATGATCGTGCCACGTATCATCAGAGACAGAACTAACTTGGTCATGTCTGGTATCGCCATCGCCATTGGCGGTTCCTTCTTCCCAGTTGTTTACTACGTGCCCATCTACTTCCAGAGTATCGATCATGCTACTCCTATCATGTCTGGTGTTCGCAACCTGCCCATGGTCATCGCTGTAACCTTCGGCATTTTCCTCGCCGGTGGTCTCATCTCAAAGACTGGTCGATACCAGCACATTTTGCTCTTCGCCCTTGGTCTCTCTACCGTTGGCGCAGGCCTCATCTACACCTTCAACCTGCACACCTCCACCGGAAAGTGGATCGGCTATCAAATCCTTGCTGGTGTCGGGTGGGGACTTGCGTATCAGATTCCTTTGACAGTAGGTCAGGGTTCTTGCGATCCCATGGACATGGCACTCATCACATCCAACATTCTATGTGAGTATCTTCAGTTTCTCTAATCATTTCCGCAAACAGATGCTGACAAAATACGCAGTCTTCCAATCTTATGGCGCTTCACTTTTCATGTCGGCTGCCCAGGCCGCCTTTGTGGACCAAATGACGGCCAAGGTCATGGAACTTAGTGACAGCATCAGCAAGGACCTGCTAGTTCTGACAGGAGCTACGGATATTTACAATGTCTTCAAGGGTGATGAGCTCAACGATGTGCTGGCTGGCTACATGCATGGTCTCAAGGTGGTTTATGCTATGGCCATAGGTACGATTGGTCTCGGCTTTCTGATTGCTCTGGCAATGCCATGGAAGAAGCTCAAGCAGGGCCAGGCTACAGGTGGTGCTTAGATGGTTATGGTGGAGTTGAAGCACTGTGTTGTTGGCTGGTGTTAGCATATGTATGGTACTTGGCGGAAAAGACGGACCAGGAGGAGTGCAATTTCGCAATCACGCAATCATAGAGGAATCATTCTACAGCTTGGCAGCTGTTTATCTATGTTTATTGTTATTAGAGTTTAGTCGCTGATGTGACTTATGTACCTAACTTATCGAGATTTGACCGGCTAGAGGCTACGATTGGTGACACTTATGAAACGAAGATTTATCTTAGGCTTGCTGTTTAGAGATAACCTTGGCGTTCATAAAGGAATTATCCATCGAGAGAACAGAGAAATCATTCATGCAGGGAAAGAGACAACGACCCACAGTAAGAAAGTAGCGCGTTACAAGGGACGGATGGAATGTGCCGTGAAGAGTAACAGAGCAACATCACTACACGTACCCTACACCTCGACGACATCACTGCTGCCAAACTGGCGGTTATGGCAAAGTGAAATTGTGCTATTATAGTTGCTTTGCTACGGGGAAAGATGCATGGCAGGATCGTGTAGTTCGTTCCAAGACCTGGTATTTCAAGGGGGCTCGTCAAGAGGCCCACCGACGGACCCGTCACTTTTGACACGCTGAGTCCCTTGGTGTAAGGATGAATGCAAACGGGATCGGTTCGAAGATTGTCAATTGTTCAATCTAGCTCTATAGTAACTGTAAAAAATGCGACTGCCATTCTATTTTCACTTTTAAGTTCACTTTTTATCACCCAAAATGTCTCCACCATTGACCTTAAAGGTCAAGTAAACCCTCTTTAAAGTTGCTAAAGCCATAGACATATACCGGCTGCAACTTCGCAAGGCCCTTTACCCTGTCAACATCTTCATCAGCTATAGTAAGCGACTCGTTTTCCTTTTCACTAGTGACCAGAAGACCACGGGGATAAAGATGATCAAGTCCGATATCCTTGCCGACAAAGTTGAACAAGTCATGACGCTCCCTGTAACACCAAGGCTGACCATCCTTGTAAACCAAATCGTGCGTATCACGGACATCCCCCGAGTAAACACTCTCAAACACGCCAGCCACGTTGACGGAAATAGATGACATCCACGGCACGCGGAACACGGAAGCCTGACCTAATCCCTGCGGAACAAGAGGGAACGACAGCTTGACTGCACCAGTGGAGGCGTGCACCGACAGACGCACGTGGTGCGGGAGCGCCTTGAGGACTAAACCGGTAAAGGCCTCAGAGCGGGCCATGGTGGCGCGGGCTAGTTTCTTGGTAATCTTTTTTCCCTGCATGCGGCTGAGTCCCTGCATGACGGGGGTGTACTTGAGATCAATCTCGTAGAAGCGACTCATCTGGGTGTAGGTTCGAAGTGAGTCGGGGTCGCGGGCGAAGAGCGCGTCTAGGGCCTCTATGTTGGTGTGTTTTTCAATTTGGCTGCGGCAGTTGTGTAGACCCTCGATGTAAGATTCCTTGTCGAGGGGTACTGTAGGGACGCCCATCAGCTCGTGGGGGGAGCTGATTCTGACGTTAAACCCGTAGGTCTTGGCCATGTGATCAATGGCTTGGGAGTACTCCCAGACTTTTTCGTCGGAGGTAGGGTAAATGTCTGTGCTGATGATGAGATATTGTTCTTTCTTTAGATTCAGAGCATTACTGTACCGTTGAATACTGCCCCGTCGGAGGCTACTGTCACTTGGGCTCCAAAAGGATATACTTGAGTAACATCAAGCGTCATAGAGTGGAGTTTGTGCAGTCCGATATATTCTCCCATATCAGGAAGTGACCCAGTCACTTTGTCAGGGTTTTCCTTATTGATGTCAGACCAAAACATCTGTAAAGATAGACCGTGGATAGAAACGTACCGACTTGAAAGGGTAGGACGGAATGACAAAGTTGATGGGCTCACGACGACGAATCCAATACTCGACGTGAGTTCTGAATTTGGAGCGTCCCTCCCATTGTCGAACACTATCGACGCCATCTTCTGTGGTCTTGGTGTGCATACCATACTTCTGGACAACATCCAGAATCTCATCAGCTAGTTCGGTGATGTAGACATCGAGTGGTGCATCTGAATAGCGTCAGTATCGTAGAGTATCAAAGACAGAAGGTGGGTTGACATACTGTCCTCTTCGTCTGAGAGCTGAACTTCACGTACTACTACTGAAGCAGACTTCTCAACCTTGTCGGCAAATGCGGATCGAACCTCGAACATGATGTCAGACTTGTAGACTCAACTTAAAGATGCTTAGTGAATGTCGTAGAGAATCTGAGGATTGTAATAATTATTTCAAAGTGTACCTAGCCTACCCTTTTATATCAAAAACGACGATGTTCTCTATCTCTACAGCCCGTACCGTTTCATCACACTCGACACCCTCCCACCATGCCTTAGTTCCGATCTCAGTCGAGGCGCAGTGAGCATCGAGATGGTAGCCTAGTCTCCTCACTCCGTGAAGACGGCTACTGCATCAACAAGGCAATGAGGTGGTCTGCCAATGGCCCTATTCCGTCTTAACCAGGGGTCTGTTACTGCAGGAGCATGAGCAAAGGTATGGTTGAGAACGTTTGACATGATTGAACGAACTTCATTCGAGAAAACTCTATCGTGACTTGCGCTTACGGCGTGGCATGGTTCGGGTCGGGCCTGTTGAGTGAGGATGTACCGATGCAGCTGTAAGCCGCTATGGACTTTTGGCAGGATTTTACAGCTGGATCGTCATCCTGGACTGAAGGGATAAGGCGATAGCTCGATCTGGGTGGCATGCTCGCTTTTTCTCGGTAGATATTGGCCGTTTATATCCATTTCTACTATACTACAAACGACTACATGCACTATCGATTTGATTCTAAAGTGTCTGTCCCGAGGTAACGGAATGACAGCAATGATCGTCCTGAACTGCTGCAATAGAAACGCACATATGGCAACTACTATAGAGGCCGTGCATAAAAGCTCTTGTCTCCTCCAAATGCACGTCGTTTGATATGCACATTTGACAATGATGCTATACTGACGGAGAATATCCTCGGCCGGGGACGTATGACCCTCTTTTTCTGTATGATTGCTTTGTAATATGGCAATGTTTACTGAGAAAACAATGAACTCTGACAGGGTCTGGCATTCGGGCATTATACGGCGGAAATGCATGTCAGTCTTGCGAGACTAGCGCTAAGGGACTCGCAGGGTAGAATAAAACGTCCTACTGTAGAATCCTACGGATAAAATGTACGATACTTCCTAGCGTATGAGGATGGGTGTGCACTTCTTACCCGAGAGGATCAGATCGCAGTTCAACAAATCGAGATAACGCGCTTATGGTTTCATCCACGCTAGTAATGGCGAGATCGCAGGGGTTCTACAGTACCTGCCTTACAGAGTTTGCACTAAGGACTCTCGTCGCAGGATGTAACCGAATCCTGCCGGGTCGGATTTGACCCCGCAATAGTCTGACATTGTTAGTAAGCCTTCCTCACGAGCTGGGTACGGGTAGCCCGACGGCATAAGCGGGCGTAATAATACCTACTCTTAGTGGTAAATCATTCGGGATAAGCTTTTTTCAACGGATCTATCCAAGCCTCGGAGTTAGGATTTGCTAAAAGTAGTGGCCGTAATCTAGCCAGGGGTGGCCCTTGACGAATCGACCTTATTCTCCCGCGGCCAAGTAGCCGCAGGCCACCAAGACTGACTTCCCGCAATGGGCGCCGCACTAGGGACTTGCATAGCCGGCTCCCGTCAGCCTCAAATCTTGGCCACAACGTCTCTCTATGTGTAGTTAGACGTCGTTTCATGATCCGAATTTATCTAGATATGCTACATAATTGAATTTGACCCGACAGAGATTTCATCTCACATCATCTGTTCTCCTCGTTATATGTCAAGATACCCAGGCCACATTGTCAGTAACCCATCCCTCTCAAGTACTTCTATTCCTTTGTCACTTTCATCTGTCTTATCAACCTTTTGACTTGCTCAGTTGTAAGAATGGGTTCAGTCAATACCTTCGGTCTGAGTGCCGACAGCGCCAAGTTCTTGAATGAGTCCGGAGCCTCAGCAGTCGGCTCAAACATCGTCCAGCGTTTTGAGCGTTTGACTGGGAAGAAACCTCATCACTTCCTACTTCGACAAATTGTCTTTGCTCATCGCCAGTTGGATGACATCTTGGATGCTTACGAGCGACGTGAACCCTTTGTCATCTTCACTGGACGAGGACCAAGCAGTACAAGCATGCACGTTGGTCATGCTCTACCCTTCCAGCTCGCCAAGTAAGTAACTTGCCGCGGGATCACTCATGGACCGGACACTGAATTAATTTCTTCGTGTAGATATCTTCAAGATGTCTTCCAGGCACCCACAATCATCATGTTGACGGATGACTCCAAGTACCTCTTCAATTCAAAGTACACATTGGAAGACATCAGACGTTACACGATTGGAAATGCAAAGGATATCCTTGCGTTCGGATTTGATGTGAAACTCACTTACATGTTCTCATCCCTCGAGAACAGTAACGGTCTCCTTTACGAATGCAGTCTCGAGTTTGCCAAGCGCATTACTCCAGAGGAGGTCCACCAACATACCGGCTTTCAATACGGAAGCATGAACATTGGCATGTTCAACTTCTTTGCCAAACAGAGCGCTGGCTTCATGCCTGGCAGTTTCCAAGACATTCTACCAGACGTCAAGACAAAGGGTTTACCCAGTCTGACCGTCATCGGTACTGATGTCGATCCTTTCTTCTGGATCAGTCGTAAATACGCATCTCAGGTTGGAGAGCGCACACCATCTTTCATCTACACGTCGCTAGTGCCCAGCCTCGATCCCAAGGATACGGGAAAGATGTCAGCGTCGGTAACTTCTTCTGCCATTTTCCTTGACGATGAGGTTTCCGTCGCTGAGGAGAAATTGAGAAAGCAGCTTGGGAGCAGTGATGCTGGCACTAGGTCGGTTATGTTGGATTATGTTCGGGCCTACCAGCCAGATGTTGAGGACTTTTCAGCGTTGGAGGGTTTGAGTCATGATGAATTAGTGCAGGAGGTAGTAGAAGCTATCAAGTCATACTTGTTGGGATTCCAGGGTAGACGAAAGGAGATTACCGACGAGGTGTTGGCGGCGTTTATGAAGCCACGAGCCATTTGTTTTTCGAAATAAGCGCAATTTGATCGTGTAGGGTAGAGGAGTCTCGTGGTGTATCTTGCACGATATGAATACGAGAATTGAGCCATTACATCTACATACATGAATCCGAAAATTAATAAGTGATATTTCTTGGCATCTTGGCGCAGAACGAAAGTTGTATTACTGGCATACGCTGGGTTTTGTGTCCGTGGACCAGGTAGGGAGTAGGTGTCGAAGAACAATGAAGCAAGGCAACGTCTCAGCAGCCAATGGAAGCAATTTCGTCTATGATTACCAATGGACAGCAGATACTGCATACCTGAAAAAGGTATGGTGTGATCACACGGGTACATGGCCGTCCCGTTCCGTTAAAGAGCCGTAGGATCTGACTGCATTCATAGATCCACTCCGGCGGGAAGCACGGCATCCAGTCATCCCAGATGCCTAATCGGGCAATGCCGAAATACTACGTAGAGATCCTACGAAATCTAGGCCAATATCTATGCCTGTTTTGCAACGTGTCTCGAGTATCAGTGCGTACTGCGGCTTATAGAAAGGTTTGCGCGGCAAGACGGCCATAAGCAGCCGACACATGCAGGGCCTACGAATGTCCCGTAAGCTAGGCGGTCTAACTAACATTATATTGTCCGCGATGATCGCCATAATATTTCCACTTTGCCGATTGGCGAGGGTAAGCGCTACGCTAATTACTACAATTCCTGGCGTTGCAGTGACAATGCGGTACTGATCTGCTGTCGCTTTCATAGTGTCTCGCCTACTAAACGAGGCCGTTCATTGCATGTTCTACGGATCGTTCTATCATCCCCATTTTTTACGCCACATACGTGCGGTACTTTGGGATCTGAATGCTTGTCATAAGGAAGCGTCTCGACTGTATCAACAAAAAAACTCTACCTTGTCAGCTCCAACGTATCTGCCGAATCTCACGCTATGTACTTGCTTCATCTTATGTCAGTCTGCTCACTGAGCCTCGGTTGCCTTCGCAAAGTCCTATTTGTCGTCGCATCACATCACCAAATACGAATTCCTGGCAATTGAACCGACCCTCCCCTCATCTCAAAATTTTCACCCCTGGTAAGGTCACATAAAAGGCGGATCGACGCCACTGATCAACACGGAGTTTTCAAAGAGATGTTTCCAACAGAACTGTACTCATAAGGACTTGAAGGACTAAGACAACAAGAGCAAAGATCTGCACAAGAACTACATCAACGGCATGAAACAATGCGATCCGCTAACGACGCTGACTATAAACCAACGAAGTCTTGGCGCCAGTCAAGCCAACCTAATACTTCGGGAACATCACTGCATCACCAACAAGATATTCACGATATTATCTCAGACGACCTTAGCGCTGGGTTCCCAGATGGATTCTACATGGTGTGTTGATCTATAGATCTGGTAAAACAAATCTGACCAATGGTTTTAGGACTTCAATAATGGAGTTCCTCTCATGACAAGTCAAGAGGATCCTCTAGCCCTTGATTCAACGATGGATGGGTGGCAAGACTTTCTGACCTTTGACCCAACATTACCAGGCTGGGAAGATCCTATGGCCTATGATCCGACAATGGGTGGCTGGCAGGATCTCCCAGCTTTTGACCCAACAATGGGTGCATGGCAATATTCTTCCACAGAGTCTTCCAGAGCTTCATCAGTATCAGCCAACAGCCGCCCCTTTGCAAAAGATGATGTTACACAGGAATCATTCATTTGCAACGATGAATGCTGTCACGGAAGAGCATTCAGCAGTCGTGCCAACCTTCGACGTCATCAGAACGAAAGAAAGGGACTAAGAAGGGTTTACGCGTGTAGCTTCTGCCACCGCGTTTTCAGTCGTTCAACTGCTGTTCGGTTGCACCAGCAGAATGGCGTCTGCTTCAAGTCCAATGGCGCTACACAGTGACATCACACAAAACACACCAAACGAGAGTCCGGAGCAGTGGTGACTAATCGCAATTTCAGAATTAGATATGAATCCCTTTCCTTTAGCCTGAATTAGACACAGATAGATATATAGACATTTAGATTCATTTCACCATATATCATATATTGTCTCCGGTAAAGTCTTGACGCCTTGCTTGTATAGCTGTCTTGGAATGGATCAGATACACTTAACTTCCAAAGGCAGCCATAGGTAATGGATGCTATCTTGGTGTGACCGGGCCTTTTGCAGCTTCAAGGCACTTGATTAACTTTCCTCTCTTTCCCAGCGAGCCTGGATGAATCAAGGTTTTCCCTTCGCCAAGTCACCCAAACATACGTGAACATACGTGCGGGTATAAACTTTCCGCCGTCAATTCACACTTTAATCATCACGACTCCAATGACACCTCTTCTCTCTTTGCCCTACCCTAGCATAAGGTCCCGGCTGCTGCACAAGATGCCTTCCTTCCGGCTTTTTTCTCTTGCATCCACCAACGTCAGCAACACAGACATCATCAGCCTTTCTTCAACAACCAAGTCGGTAAGGAAGGGAAGAAGAGTTGAACGAACGCTTTTCCAAATGTGAGCACCTCCTGAAGGTCCCAAGTCACAGAAAACTAACTTCAACGAACAGAACATCCGAAGGAGAACTTCCACTTGCTTCCATCGATGGCGAGCTCTTCTTCACAACCGCCGCAGGGTGTGGCGTGTATGAGCCCTTCCGAGTTCCTCGACCAATCGGACGAATCCACTGTGCGTTGCAATACACCCAGTTCCAGTTCCAGTTCCGACTCCACGCCAATGAGACGAGTCAGATTCCGCTGCAAGAAGACTGGATTGGTACACTCAGCATCAGGAACGAGTGATACGGCTACTATCCACGATGAACGTCCCACTGCAAGAGACGAGGTTATCGCTGATCTCACAGCTCAGCTAGCTGCCCTATCACGAATTGTCAATGATCTGTCCCTGAAGCACACTGCATCACCAGTTGTGGTTGATAGTGGGACGCGGAGCACGCCTACGGTGCGATCATGGAATTACCCACGCCTCGAAACGGTAGGGCGTGTGAAATCTACAAACGGATTCCAGAAAGCCCAAGGTCGTGTGAAGTTCTCAAAGACGTTCAAGACAGTCCCAACTGTACAAGTCAGTATCTCAGCAGCGGACGTATCGAAAGATGCCGATTTCAGGGTCAAGGTGTACGCGACGGGGGTGGATACGGCAGGATTTGTTGCACATGTCGACACTTGGGGTGACAGTAAAGTGTACTCTTGTGAGGTTTCTTGGGTAGCTATTGGATCTTGAGAAGGCCATTAAACTCTCTACTTGGTCTCAATTAGTCGCGCAACAGACGCGTTGGCGGGGATGTCGAGGGACACGAGTCGCAAGAAATATTTGAACAGGATCAATATGGCAATAATCCCCGCAACGCTTTTCAGAACTTAATGTCTGTAATTTACATTGCTGATAGACCAATTTAATGCTGCACATCGTTTGGGTACATCTCCTCCAAAATCTGCCAGATTCGTCGGCGATTCGTGAATCCACCAGGGACACGTAGGCCCACCTTGTCGTGGCTCCAGCCAAGGTTGTTATCTTCCTCTGATTCGCGAGGTGATATCTGCGCTGGGCTCATCACCTGCCTGCTGATCTTTTCCCAGTTCCACGTTTCGATCTTAGTCATTTCCTTTCCAGTTGTATTATAGATCATTTGAGCATCGACATCCCAAAGAAAAGGAATCTGGAAAAATACCTGCTTCCACATTGACTGGGGCATCAGGTTGGTGCACTCAGTTGAAGTTTGGCCGTACTGAAAGAAGGAGCAGATGCGATCTTTGGCCGTCTGAGGCAACTTCTCAATCTGGTTCCTGAACTGCTCGGCATCTTTTGAGGGCTCCGGTGCGAGCTCAAGATTTGCAACTAAGGCAGTAGTCAAATCCGGGATGTTGATAGGGTCCTCGTCCCACTGTCAAATGATGTTAGTCAATAATGCCCGGGCTAGTCGTGGCATAACGTTTAAACTTACCCAGCCATCCCACTCGTTTCCGTATAGATAGAGACTGGGTAAAGGTACATAGTAACATTCCAGCCCGCAGGAGAAGGGTTGTCCAGGTTGAGAATTCGGTATGGAAGGAGTAAAATGCATCCCAATGTTGCCAGCATCCTCCATCTTGGATCTAGCACAGCGACGTTCTAACGTTAACCAAAAATCTCCGATTGAGCGGACTTTGGCGTTGGGCGACGCGCTCATGACGCGATTGAGGAGCTGTTCGCAAGATTTATGTATGCCAATATACATCTTGCCCACCCATTCCGAGGGATCCTCTGAGTCCTCATTGACGTCATAATCCCATTGAGGATGTATCTCTGTGCGATCGGGGGGGAATATGAGGTTACCGCGATGAGTATTGGCGAAGGCATCATAACGGGTGACTTGTTCATCTGCCACCTTCAAAGATGGGGGCGCATCACAGAGTTCCGGCCAGTGGGGGCCGGAAAATGCAACAACATCGCCTCGGAGCACCAAGCCACAAATAGTGCAATGGACAAAATCAGGGTTGAATGCCATCGCTTATTGTTCAGAAAGGGAGAGGTAAAACGAAGGGAAGATGGAGGTGATGAAAATTGATAAGGCTGAGGTTGTATGAGATGGGATAAGATGAGTTGGAGTCGGGTATCTCTCGATGGAACGTCAAAACGATTTGCAAGGGTAGAAAGCCCCTGACGGTGATCACCGCTCGTTGTGCCTGTTTTTAGGGCGGGCTGGAATATGGGTGCATTAAGCTAGCATCCATACCTAGACGAGCAAGACCAGTGACTCTACCAGTGGGGACAGCATTAATCTCTCTCCGCAGCAGAAGGACCCTTGGAAAATCTTTCTTAGCCTTCTTTTCAGCACGGCCACTACAGCGATCCGCGGTCTTGTTTCGAAACAAGGCAATGCGGGAGCCATCCAAAGGTTTATCAAGGGCCAACCATGTGCATCATTTCAGCTCTTCTCAATTATTGATGGTCCGCGATACATGTCAGCCTCCTCTCATTTCGCCCTTGACCGTAGTATATCTGTCCATGGACGCAGCGCTCATTATGTAACCACTGCACCATTTAGGGTCTTCTTAACTGCGAACTAATCGTCTTAAATAGAGATCAAGCATGGACCGGGAAAGCCGTAGTATGTCGCAACAAATCTGACAGTGGGGCAGCTGTTTGGAGTGCTTCTTACTTATTCTGGCTTGTGTAAGATGCTAGGAAATTCGTATCATGATATGTAGTTATATAGACAATGTGGCATCTTAGCATTTCTAACTATTGATACCTCATATCCGTCTCCTCGTGCTCTATTGATTGTCAACCCTTTCGACAAAGTCATTCTTTTATTATTTTATACTATGAAACGTTCTTTATTGCTGGCTCTTTGGAGCACGGGGGTTTTGGGTGGTCCATGTAAACCATCCAAGCCTTCAAAAACCTCAATGGCTGACAGCACGCCAACCGAAAGCAATCAAATCACTTTGGCGCTCTCATCCACATATCTAGATTCAACCAAAACAAGCCAAGATAGTGAACATGAGACCTCAACAGTGACTTCTCCCCATGAGAGCGGTCACATCTCAGTGTCCATTCCTTTCTCTGAGTCTGACATGAACTCTCACACGCAAGGCTCTGGCTCCCATACCGTGGGTCTACCAGGGGGTTCTGTCACTGGTACAGCATCTCTTCCGGGGCATACTTCGGAAAGTGACATTGTGCCAGGAACCAGCACCGATGTTGCAGACTCTGAAGAGACCGCTGGAGGTGCAGGTGAATCCGGATCTCCTTCATCCCCCCACAGTGAAGAGCCCTCGCCCATCGGTACTACTGGCTCACCAGTGGAGCAGTCTAGTACTGCTACAACCCTCGAGGACTCTGAACTCACTGGTACTGTTTCTGCTTTCCCTGAAGAATCTTCTGGTACTCTAGTCAATACCGAAGCCTCTGGTCAATCGACCGGGACTGTCGATGCACCAGGAGAGACAGATGCCAACACAGCAACAGACATTCTCGCTACTATTTCTGTTAGAATCTCCGGTGCTGCCTCTGCCACTGCTACCAACCCCGAGGCATCTGAACCACCTGGCTCTGGTACAGTTCCAGGAGAGTCTCAGGCTGCAGACAGTCCCACTGTCATCTCTGAAGGCATTTCTGAAGGCCCATCTGGAACTGTTACAGGAGAAGGGGAGGCTAGCATCACTACTCCTGGTGGAGGTCTTGGTGACGCTTCTTACAAATCTTCCTCTGTCGGCGATTCTGATCCAACTGGAGTTGTCACAGATGGAACTAGCAACGGAGGCCCAGCTCCTTCGCACGGCTCAGCCAATACATCCAGTTTACCAGACCAGACTATCTCTAGTCCTGGTACCGAGCAAGGTCAAGGCACTGCTACTCAGACCGACTCAGCTTCAGGTACGGATGAAGCACCAACTGGATCAGAAACATCAGTTTCTGGTCCTGACCAGCCCGCCAGCACTGCTCCCGCAAACACCATTCCGGATGACCAGAGCACGTTGACCCAGAGCAATGGCGACGAGTTCACATCTGCTGCCTCCGGAGATGTTACCGAAACTCATTCGGGGGCTATCACGACAGATGCAAACAATGCGCCCACCACTCTTCCTGAGAAACAAGATCAGACTACTGGGTCTCTAGGGGAGTCGACTGTTGTGCCTAGTGACCAGAACTCGAACGGTAATACCAATGAGACATCTTCAGGTCAAGAGGATTCCTCAGTCGCCAGCACCACTGATGCAAATGCTGCTCAGTCAACAACCGAAGGAGACGATATCACCACCAATCCTGTTCCTGATAACACTGATGCATCATCTACTGGATCTTCTGGAGCTGACAACGGTGCTACTACAACAGAGTCGGGACCTTTTGAGACAACGGACTCGAATGACGTCCGTTCGACAACAGTACCTGGTCCATCTGCCACTTCCAACTCAATCACCACCGCTGCCACAACTTCCACTGGTATGCCAGTCGTGACTGAAGCCCCTCCCGGTTTTAATCCCACCACAGTCAGCGACCACCCTGAATGGACTTCCAACACTTGGATCACCACTACTTCAGAGGGTTCGGACCCAACTGTTGTCCCAGTCCTCGTTGGCTGTAACGACTGTGGCGGAAGTGGCTCTGGGATCATTCTCTGGGGCTTTCCTCCTGTCCCCAATACTTGGTTCCAACTCCCTGGCCTGCCCAAGTTTTCCTTCCCGTGTATCCCTCCTGCTTCCGGCTGCACATCAACGCCTGTTACTGAAGAGATTGGAGAGGACGGTGATGAAAATGACGAACAATCTTCTAGAACTACCTGCACTGACAAAGTTACTGTTACGGATTGCTTTGTGGCCTGTACAACATATACTGGCCCAGCTGGAGAGACAGTTACACCGGAGTGTCAAACAACCTGTACTAGGACACAGACAGGATGTAGTGTCACTGGTACAACCACGACATCTTCTGCTGCAGCGTGCGGACCCTCTGGAGACAGTGAGTGCACGGCGTGTACCGTTGACCTTCTTGACGACGACGATTCCGCGTCATTGATGCGAAGGTCTCTGGAGACAAGAGGCGAAGTGGACATCAAGAATGACATTGCAGGCTGCGATTGGTCTGGAACTGCAGTTGGTGCGCCGAGGTTCCCAGCATATCCAGGTGGAAACCGCGTTTTGAACAACGAGGCACAGATTGTGAAGGATAAGTCTCCATTGAATGAGATCAAACGATGGTGGCGAATGACACGCGACAATACTTGCGTACCACACCTCAACGAGATTGATGAGACTCAGTTTCCCAAGAATCTGCCTTCAGATGTAGGTCCTTCCATTGATCATGTTTATGAGAAGAGCATGCTCTTGGACTTCTGGAGGTTCATCATTGATCCAGCTGCCCCTGCTGTCGTTGGAATGACAACCGGCACACCGAACAAGATCAACTGTAATGACATCAAGTCTTATGGTGGCATTAACTCGGGTACAAACCTGATTCAAAAGGTTTTTGACACTTATCCCGGTAGCCAAGATGTTCTCAACCCCAAGGATGTGCAGTTCATGGATGACTTTATTGGCATGGACCAGTGGACCAACGGCATTGCAAAGGCCCAGATCACGGATCCTCAGAGCATCAAGGACCAGGCAGACAAGAAGACCAGTAATGGTAAAGCGGTCAGCCCCAAAACACAGGTCAAGCTCGCTGGGAAGTGGATCAATGATAAGATGGTCTTCCTCGAGGCGTTGGCAATCGGTATCGAAATGTTCAATGTCCAAGAGGCCAAGGATGCTCTCATCAGACAGAACCTCCGCATTTACCAAGCTCTGTAAGAAACCCTCTATCGCATTCTATGATGACAACTAACACGGTTAATAGAGTTGATATGGATGAGAATGCAAAGAATTGTATGAATGACGACGCCGTTATCAATGGTGTTTGGTCATTTGCCGACAAGTACCAGGCCTTCATGACTGATAGATTCGCCGGCAACCAACCTCATTCCATGAACCAGGGTGTTATCTATTCCAAGAACAAGCTTCTCGCTGCATTGTCGACGGATATTGCGAACGCTGCCAAGATCAAGAATATTCCTGCGGGTGAACTCAACTCTTGGCAAAAGAGATTGGCCAACATGCAAGATGCAAATCGCGCTTGGGAAGTGTCAATCACTTTCGTTTGGGCTGGGCCAACAACGTCAAAGAGAGATACCGATGGTCTCTCTTGTGACCGACCCAACCCGTCTTTGACAACTGAGTCTATCACTGAGCCTACTACCGACTCTACTACATTTGCAACATCCGTAAGGCCATCATCTGACATGACAACGTCTGAGGAGGACGTAACTTCTACAACACAACAGGCCACTACCTCGAACAACCCACCACCGTTGACGGATTTCCCAACACTCACCCAGCAAGTGCCCGATGTCACCATTTCCACCCCCGATGGCAGCTCATGTGCTGAGACCGCCACTGTTACCAACTGCAACGTCGGTATTGGAGGAGGTCATGGTGGACTAGCCTGCATCGAGAGGGAGACCTGCAACTCATGGGTCAACACCAAGACCACAAGTACCACTCCCTCACCGACACCTACTCTCATCAAGCCCGATCCCGGTCAGAACGAGAAGCATTGCTACAATAGCGGCCAGAGATCTAACTACGAGGCAATCACCTTTGCTGCCGAGTCGTTCTGTCGCGATGTGGTGAATGATCAGGTCCAAGGTCCAGTCTGGTCGAACTATAAGCTTGAGGGGAAAAAGACACCATCAGGCGGCTATCATTTTAAGCTTGAGTTCCATGTGAAGGAAGGATGCATATGGAGGTCGAATTATGATGAGTGCATGCGTTATATGAAGGTTCCTATTGATAGTTGCAACTGCTCAGCTAAGGGTGATAAGCAGGGTGGTTGGGTTGAGAATAACTGCGTTATAGCTAGGGTTGATCCTAACAGTGGTCTGTAATTAGAAAAGCTTTAAGAAGTATATAATGATATCACATCTACCTCACAAACTGATCTGCGAAGCTAGCCCCAAGTCCCACAGCCTCATAGTGCTCCCGCGCCTTAGCCGACTTACTGAACACATCCTCGACGCCAACGGGGTTGCCATCAGGGTCAACGTAAATATACGCCCCCGTGACATGAAACAAAGTAACCATCTCTTTGACATCTTCAGGAACTTCCAGGGTATGAATGTCGCCAGGAGGCTCGTATGCATAACCACCCTCGGTGGCCCACCAAGGGTGCTCTAGGTAATGCCAACGGCCCTTTAGGACGGTTGCATGCACACAGCCAGCATGTCGGTGGCGAGATAGGATGCCAGATCGTCGCACGCGAAGAATGTTGACGAAATAGCCTCCGGATACGGAAAAGAGAAGAGGCCGGAACCAAACACCTGGAGCTTGGGGGACCCAGAGACGCTCGTCGCATTCAATTTCGAAAATGCCGGGGACGACAAGGTCATCGGGTACGGCAGGCAAGCGAGGGCCACGGTAGGGTACAGCGTCTTGGTCTAAGCGCACGGTGCCATCTTTAGGTTTTGGTGGGTTCGATGTTGTGGTAACGGTCTCGATTGCAGTAGACATGATGAAGATGAGTTGAGGTCTGATTGCGGTATGGAGGTAGAGAAATGGTGGTTTTTCTTGGTTGTGGTGTTTCATGTTCAGGATGTCCAGACCTCGGAGGACAATAATCTCTTTTTATGTGCAACTGTGAATCAAAGTATAGCAAGACACAGGTGGCGATCGCTGTGAAAAGGCTAATTCTCCCTGCCAGGCCTATATCAACTATGATGTGACATGGCGCCAACAGCGGCGGTTTATACTCATTTAGCGTGGTCAAGGTGTGTGAACCCACTTGTTCTCTTCTTATCTATCTAACCATTTTTGTCAGGTGCCTAAGATAAGGTAGTCTAGTCTGTGGACTGTGAGTGAGTCTTGTTGGCTATTTTTAACGTAGAACCCACTGATATTATTTACTAGGATGATGAGTTTCCGATGCCGCGCGATAGTTCACTGTTGATCAATTTTTGATCACTCAATGGAAATTATTCTGGTTTCTGACCCTGCTACGATATCGACAGCTTCCAGCCCCAGTGCTTTACCACATCCAACCAATCCACTCTATCATCATCAACCCTCCGCGATCCATCAGCTCTTCGCCTCCAGACCTCGTCCAGAACGTCAAGACAAGTCTCGACGTTACGAAACCTCCGCCACCTGATCATTTCCACCATTTTCTGTCGCACCGCCTTGATATGAGACGCCTCTTGAGCTTCCCCTCCAGCCATGAAGAGCGGAAAGAGCAATGTGCACTCAATAAGACACCCTTCAGATACTCGACTAACTATCCGGCAGATAGCTTCCACGCACTTGCTCAACTTGTCCCCTATAGCCTCCGAGTCACGACTGACATGCCGTCTCAACGTTCGGTAAAGATGGATCAGCGCTGCGTTGCGATATGCTTCTCCTAGTAAAGCTAACGGAGAATCCTCTCGATCCGAAGGATAAGTCCAGTCTTGTAGTTGGTCTTCGATCGAGCAGGCTTTGAGAAAGAGATCGCCGATGACTTTTGGAAGTCCACTCTCTGTTGCAACGTCCTGTCTCTCAGCAAAGTCTGCATTCAGAACGCTCGTCTCTGAAACATGAAACAATAAACGTGACCCAAAACCAAAGTAGGGATCCGCTAAAGAGTCGTCATCCGACGACCAGTAAAAGCCCTTCAGCAACGGACGACAGTCCACTGAGACACTCATCATAATATCGTGATAGGCGAAATTACGTAGAAGCCATCTACCCTCAAATGTCCCCAGAATTGTATGCTCCTTGTCAATAGTATTTTTGTTGGGTTCATTGGTCAATACTGCAGCTGCCCCAGTCAAGTGAGGATACCAGCTATTAGTTCCTTCGGATATGGATTCCAAAGAGCAGAGAACCATCATAATAGCAAGACTCATCTCTGTGGATAATTCGCTGTGTTTCATGGACTCATGGAGCTGGGCAAGCGCATGTCCGCGATGGGACAACGCCAATAGCTGAAAGCTATCATCACGCAATGCCAGATGGCACGATGCCCATGCTGATACAGCGTGCATAAGTGGGCGGCACTCAAATGCCAAGGGTAAGATGACTTGGCCGAGTTAGATTTCAGCTGACTATCTGCGTGGGTGGTGGTCTTACCGGACAAGAAGCAGTTATTTTCTAGATTTGTGGTCAGGAGGAATGCTAGGTTGGCCGTGTAATATCGTAGCATAGCTCGTCTGCTTGCAACGAGATCCATTGAATCCCCGGTTCCAAACTCAGAAGGCGAAAGGTCAAGCGGCTGGCAGAGTTGCATAACGCCGCCACCAATCTGCTCACTGCCATGGGTAAATTGAGGTTTGTCTGTGACAACGGGGGAAGGTGACCGTGGTCGGACAGTACGGGGCTCTTCGCGTTTGCAGGTCAGGTTCAGTCGTAAGCAATGGCTGCACACGGGGTAGATCTGATCACATTTCTTTTTCCTGCGGCGAAAACTGTCAGCCCAAGATACATGGTATGGGCGAGTTCTCCGATTACCTTGTTCGGCAAGTTAGACATCCACGTTTCTGTCTAGTATAGCCGGTCCTTCGGGTGACGCTAGTCATGTTCATGGTATCGATTGATTGCGTAATTGCTGTGGCATGTAAAATAGTGAAGATTCTTAACGGGCGGCCGGTGGCGGAAAGGGTGACAGAGTCCAAAAGACAAGGGATCAATGTGACATGGAAAATAATATATGCGACGGCGCTATGGACGGCGACCGGAGTCAGCTTATGTGGGTGCAACGCGGGGTATGTGGGATATCACTTAAACCTTGGTCTTGATTAGTGTCTTTTTGTTTAGGTCGTTGGACCGAGTCAACGCTACCAAGACTTTGGAACTGGGGAAGATCCACCAAGTGCATTTCGTTTGACAGCTGTTTAGAATTGACCATGTCTTATTCTAACTTTGTTCCTTGAGCTACAGCATTGCTCTTTCTGCGATCTGGCGAATAAATTATGCATCTATCTCATCTTCAAGGAGTCGCCTCATGGCTGAAGCGTCTTCCAAGTATGACTGGCACAAAGCCAACTGTGCAGAGTATATAGCAATCACATAAAACGGATGTCAGTTAAATGTTCAATATCTCAAATCAAAATATTCATTTTATCTATGATAACAACGGCTCACAGTCGAGCGTCTCTAGCATGACAGACACGCGAAGTGACCGTTCCAACAGCTTCCTCCAAGATACCCACCATCCGCTCCAATTCTGGCTCGGTGACCACATACGGTGGGGACATTATAACATGATCGACATGAACTTCCCCAGTTGCACCAAGGTTACCCAAAATGTTCAACCCAAGGTTAAGAGCTTCATCTACAACCTCGTGGCAAAAACGCAGGCCGGGGGGAAATGGTGTCTTGGAACCCTTGTCCTGAACAAACTCGACGGCCCAGAATAAACCACGTCCACGAATATCGCCGACAACGTCTAGCTGGCCAAGGCGCTGCTTTAACAGTCTTTCGAGTACCTGGCCCATTCGCGACACGTTACCTAGTAGGTCTTCGTCCCGGATGATACGCTGTACTTCCAATGCTGCGGCGCAAGCTACTGGGTGTGCCTGTTGATCATCGTGATTAGTCAGGTTTTTCTGAGGAGCGAGTCCTGCAAAGTAGACAGATCAAAGAACACAATTGGTTTAATGTACCTGGAATGTATGGCCATGCATCAGCCCGCCTGACCCGTTGGCCAAAGCTTCGAAAATCTTGTTGCGTAGAAGCACACCGGACAGTGGAATGAAGCCTCCACCTAAGGCTTTGCCGATGGTCTGGATGTCCGGGCCCGAGATATTCTCCTGTTCCCAGGCATGCATGGTGCCCGTCTTGCCCATTCCACACATGATCTTGATAGTAAACATGTTAGTCTGTTTTGGCATCACGACTCTCAGGAGTTGTGACATAACATACCTCATCTAGAATAAGCAGAATGTCGAACCTATCGCAAATCTCTCGCACCACTGTAAAGTAACCTGGTACGGCGGGGAGACATCCCAACGTGGTTCCACTGACAGTCTCGGCGATAAACGCCGACACGTTCTCGGGTCCTACTCGAAGGATTTCATCTTCAAGTTGATTGGCCAAGCGTGCAACGTATTCCTCGTCGGTTTCACCCTTACTCTTGAGCCGATAAGCAAAGCAAGGGTCGACAAAACTAACATTGTGCGATAGCCAGTTTTTGTACATGGCCCTTCGAGAGTCATGTCCTGAGACGCAGAGCGCACCAATCGTATTACCGTGGTAACTTTGTTTCCTTGAGATAACGTGTTGCTTCTGCGGCATGCCTCGTTCATGCCAATACTGTGTCGCCAGCTTGATAGCAGCATCAGTTGCCTCGCTTCCAGAGTTCACAAAGATAGCTTTCGAGAGACCCCCTGGTTCGCCCTCTAACAGGACAGAGGCAAGTCTTTCGGTGGCGTCGCAAGTAAAACTTGCACCGGAGTATAGGTAAGCAAGCTGTTCAACTTGGTTGGTGATGGCCTGGGTGACTTCAGGTCTTCCGTAGCCAAGGCACGAGACGGCTGGTCCAGCGGAAGCGTCCAGAACCTCTTTGCCAGATTCGAGGAAGAGGGAAACGCCACTAGCGGAGACGACCTTGTCAGGCTGTCTTGCCATAGTGCGATGGAGAATGTTGGAGTTGGCAACAAAAGGATGGGCCATGTTGGGTTGAGGTCTGTTCAGGAGAGCTGGGATGTGTGGAATACTGCAGATTGGAACGTACAGCAGGAGTGTCTAGACAGGAAGATATACCCGTGTATCTTGGCCAAAGTGTATCTCCTTCTACCTTGTCTCCCTGGTCCAACTTGTGATACTGGGATGGTAATACTACAATAGTCCCAAAATCGCCACCGCTTCCCAGAATCCCGCCGTTGGCGCCGCGGGGTATGGTGGCGTTCCTCAAATGCGTTTGATATGAGATAACAGCCCAAACCTTATCTCTGCAAGGATTTCCCCACACACACTCAGTCCCCGACTCAGCTCCGAGTCCCGTGGGGAAGCGCTGGCATTCACAATCATCTGGGCCTGGGGAATAGAAGATCGATTAGGATCGGTCGGACTTGGTACGAGCGCGGACCTAACTTCGAAGGCAAGGTATTTCTTGGAATACATCAAATATGGTAGATTCGGACAGTAGATTGTCTGTGCTGGCTTGAGATAAAATGACACCCTTTGCCAGTTCATTTCGGCTCATGCTTGCTCTCTATCACTCTCATCTCTCACATTCTGCACTCTGTATAGTTATCCATCATCATGCAAGAACACATCTTAAAACATCCTACCTCTCCACCTCCTCAAGCCCACGATGACAAACCTGAAAAGTCGGACACTCAACTTGCCGAGACTGAAACCATCCACAATGGCTGTTCAGCCCTCGAACGTAACGAAGAAACACACAGAGGCTTTAAACCTCGCCATGCACAAATGATAGCCCTCGGAGGCGCCATCGGAACATCACTTTTTCTCGGAACAGCACAAGTGCTTCGAGTAGGAGGACCACTATTCCTCTTGATTTCCTACGGTGTCCTTTCCGCTCTCGTCTACTGCATCGTGACTGGGATCGCCGAAGTGGCAACCTATCTACCTGTTCCAGGAGGAACCATGGCATATTACGGTCACAAGTATGTTTCTCGAAGTATGGGATTCGCCATGGGATACTTGTACTGGTATTCGCTCGGCATCTTGATTCCCTATGAATTTGTAGCTTCCACACTTCTCATTGACTACTGGGGACCTACCGTCAGCCCTGCCGTCTGGATCTCTATCATCTACATTGCTATCGCCTTCGTCAACTTGTTTCCAGTTCGAGTATTTGGCGAATGCGAGTTCTGGAGCGCAGGGATGAAGATCCTTTTGATCTTAGGCTTGATCTTCCTCTCGATCATTCTGTTCTTTGGAGGTGGGCCTGATAGGGACCCGCTCTACTTTCGATACTGGGGGAATCCTGGACCAGTCAACACGCACATCGCTAAAGGAGATGCTGGGCGCTTTGTCGCGCTTCTACAGTCCTTTGTTCTCGCATCATTTGCTTTCGTGCTTGCTCCAGAGCAGCTGATTGTAACAGCTGGTGAGATGCAATCCCCACGTTACAATCTTCCTCGAGCAGCCCGACGCTATATCTGGCGGCTCATCATTCTTTTCATGCCGTCTATTTGGGGCATTGGGGTTGTCTGCGCATCTGATGACCCTTCTCTCACGGCTTCCGGTACTGCAAGCTCGCCCTTCGTTATTGCTATTCGCAACGCAGGGATCCCTGTACTGGACAGTATCGTCAACGGAGCAATTCTATTATCGGCCATCACCGCAGGAAATGCCTTCTTGTATTCAGCATCTCGAAACCTTTACTCGCTAGCAAAGGCTGGTAATGCTCCTGCCATTTTCAAAAGGTGTAACCGCTACGGACTCCCGTACTATGCAGTAAGCGCCACGGCGTCGCTCGGTGGACTTGCATATCTCAGTCTGTCAAACACAAGTCTCACTGTCTTCAACTGGCTCATTAACATCACCAACACTTCTGGCTACATCAGCTGGATATGCTGCGGTATCATCTACTCAAGATATCGTAAAGCCATGACCCATCATAGCTTGGAATCCCCATACCGCTCTCGACTCCAGCCTTGGGGTATGTGGCTTGGTACTTGTGGTTCCGTCATTCTGCTTTTTATAAACGGGTTCACGGTCTTTTTCCCATCCCAGTGGTCTGTGGGGACATTCCTTACAGCGTATATTGGTATCCCGGCGTTTCTTGTTATTTTCTTCATCCATCGGTACCTCCACAAGGACGATGAATGGGTCAGAAGGCCTGAGGATGTTGATATGTATGAGGGTATGGATGAGGTACTTGCCGCAGAAAAGCCGCCTCCTGTGAGAGGTGCTGTATCAAGAAGACTTTGGGCATTGATAGAGTGATGCGGTTTCTCAATCAGCCAGCAGTCACTATCCATAACCTATTGTAATACTTAAATTAACTTATAAAGATAGTTGCGTTTAATTGTAAGAAGTATTTTTAACTATCTACTTACTACACCTCTAGACTGAGATATATCCCCACCGAAAATGCTCTTTCGTATGGATTCATGCCAAGGCCAACTGGTACCCAATCGATCAAGTAGATGATTGAACCGAAGCTATGCCAATTGCAGATTCGATGAGAATAAGAAAAAGGAAAGATTGAGGCCTTCGATCCATGATGAATGGTATGACCGGAGAGGAAGGCCGAGCGGATGGATATGACGGGAGTGCAGACACAATTTGGAAAGAAAGGACTTGGCATATGTCGGACTTGCGAAAGAAGAGAACTCGTGGTCCATACCGATCGTCATAGAATATATACCCCTGTTACCCCAGGCCGCTAAAAACGACCGCCGACTCGTTCGTAGGATTCGTAGGATCCTGTGGGATTCCGCCAAGCGTTCTGCTGACAAGAATTGAATCATGTACGAGAACAATGATACTTAATACATCCCGATATAGAGACTGAGGTCATGGTGATTTGTATCTTGCGAGGTGAAGCGGTTGAGAAGGAAGCACAAGATATAACGACAGTGGCAAATTTCTGGCTAATCCAAAAGTACCATTACATCAGAAGAGTAAACTCAATAGCAGTAAAACGGCGTTAATATGTGAAGAAGTGACCTATATAAACCACTGTCGCTTTCCCAGAATGTGTTTCCAAGTCAAGCACAGTTCTTACCTTCTCAGAGAACAATTCCCAGCCAAAGCTTATCACTTGAATCACTTTGATTACATTAGTCCTTTTCAAAAATGCGAGCCACCGTTGCCGTCTTGTCTGCTCTCAGCTGGGCAACATGTGCTGCAGCCCAAAAATGGTCTTTTAGCTGCGGCTGTGAGGACTTTAACGACGCCTCTGTAAGCGATTGCCAGGAGGCCATCAATTCGATTGATACCAGCGCCGAGAACTTGGGTACGTTTACCAGCTCGCCCTCATCAGCGGAAAACTAAACAAACTTGATACAGACCCCATGGTAGCCATCGATACCGAAAAGGTTGGGCTATGGACTAGCATCCATATTTTCCACAAAGTTGGCAACTGCAAGCTCGGTACAGCCAGCCAGACACAGCCTCCTGTTCCTGGTGGAGGTGGCGGTGCTATTGTTGGGACCATCGTAAGCGGCCAGGACTTTAAAGATCAGTTACAGGTAAGACATCTCCTATGGATTCCTCGTCAGCCTCACCAAACCTAATATGTGTTGTTTCAGGCTATGATTGACGAATGTTCCGCTCCTAATGGATATGTTAACTCGTGCTCCTCTGTCGGTGCTGGAAACATCGTTATGTATGGCGATTAAGACTTTCTCTTGGGTGTCTATTTTGGATCTTGATGTTCACCCAACGACCGAATTGATAGCCAGTTCTTAACTTGACTTAAATCTTGAAGAAACAACTAGTTGTATTGAATCTTTATTCTCGGAAGCTGTACTTGATGTGGGTCCGTCGCGTAAAATGATCTTCATGTCTGTCGCGCCTGGAGAACACCAGAAGGGGAGAATTGTCGTAGTAAAGAACAAATTGAACTTGCAGGGCTACAACTGCCCGAGAAGAATTTGTTGCGGCGATGCCAGCGACAAGGGTGTCTGCTGTTTTCTTGCTAGGCGGCAGGGATGGCAAAAAGACAAAAACATACAACAGCGGGGATTCGCTGGTCGTCACCGACCCAACTACTAATCCGCCGGTTAGTGGCTTGACTATGGGAGAGCGGACGGGATCCCGTATTTTCCACTACCTTTGGTCGTATGTGCTAAAGGGCAGTAAGAATTTAAGCTATAACCTCGAGTTTCACAGCGCCGGCAGCCACTAAACTTGAAGTTTCCAACGACAACATCCTCACCCTACACTCTTGGATGATGCGCAAATCAATTGCGACAAGCCGATACAAGCAAACAATATCCTGATATTTACTGAGTTGCAGATTTAAAAAGAATATTTTCCTTGCCAAATTCAATCGGCATAGATGGTTCATTGTTCCCACGAAATTGTTGTTGTTGTTTTGTTCGGACATTGATGTTGTGTTGATCAATTTGGTTCATCATCGTGGATTCCCGTTGCACGACCGCAAGCCTGACAATTGAAGAGCGAATGGTTGCCTTTGCACTCTACTTGCTAGTAATATGACGTACACTTGGAGATACATAGGGATTCATTTAATACAACTACTTATCCGGTCTGAATTTATCTCTTCTGTTCTCGCCCACCAGTAACTCTTTTCTTGACGATGTTCATCATCTGCTGTCTCATACCCTACAGACTTGGTGATGCTCATCCAGTCCAGCAAGAGGCCCCACTGTAAATCTTCACAGGACAAACAGAGACCGCGACAGCGACAGCAATTGCCAAGCGCAAAACAACATGCCGCTTGATGCGTGAAAACTCAGTTTGTTGTCGGACCTTTGCAGCATTTCCATAGCAATGGGCGTTTCTCTCAGTTACCAGCCTCACTTTGAAAGAAAACTCTTTTTGTCATGTCAAGTGAATTCGTTCAATTGGTCTGAGGTGTCTTCCAGCCTCGGCGCTATCCACAGTGATCCATCCCGAAATTACAGCGGACAAAAAAAAGTGGCTGGGCCAGAGATCAGAGTTTTCACAGCAGCCTCAGGCGTCCAGAACTGACTGTGCCAGACCCACATCTGCTCTCTATAAAAGTTCAGTTTCCCGCCGACCATTTGGACTTTTCTTCTTTTCTTCTTCATGTCGACAATACTTCAGAGAATCATTTCTATAGTATTCGACCTTCTCTTGGTTCTCCAAAAGAGCCACAGATCCCACCCTGGTTGATGAGTGTATATCCTCGACACCCTAGAGTGAATACCTTTTGGTCCTCTCGCCCTGTCCGCAAGGATGGCGGTTGCTGTTTACTCAGTAGCTGTATAGAGAGTTTGGTTACTCTTGATGATCTCGACCCCTGACGTGGTCTGCCTTCGGGCGCATGGCTGGGGTGGGTGTTGATGGACGTCTGACAGGCGTGTCTTCTTTTTCTCTTTTTCGTTGCTTGCTGGGGCTGGTCCTTGGGAGTGAGGAAGATGATAGAGATGCGATCATATATCGTCATCTTTTGATATCTAGTATTATGAACTGTGACTGTAAACAAACACCCTTGACTCACTCTGAGACCTGCCATTTTTACTCCGTGGCTTGTTTCTATTTTTGTTCAAGGAAGAGGAATGAAGCCCCTTACTCACCGCGATATGTTATTCTCTATTGCTATAGCGGTCCATCATCAATGGCTACATACTTGATCCTTAACTCCATCGTAGTAAAATGTGTTGGAATATTTATTCTGCACTCTAATGGATGCCTGACGCACGTCATTTTGGCGCTTAAGTGAATCTCGCGTCGCGACGCGCTTCGCAGACGCCTGAACCTACGCGCCCACCACTCGCATGTCGAGCACAAGTACCTTTACTGACTCTGACTGAGGCATGGAAAAATTTGTCTACGAACACTCGCTTTGACATGCGTGTTCAACTGACCTTTGTGTTGTGTTGGTGGAACAATCACTACCTGCCTGGCACCCTGCTCAGTCATGTCTTATGCCATGCTTCTGCGACACCAGGCCTTCATACTGCTTGTGGACACCTACACAATTCTACATCCAGCTCACTGTTCTTAAGACAATGGTCTTGAAATTGTTCTTTTCGTTGAAGGACAGGTAACTGCCACCCGGAACAATTTGATGCCCAGATGTTCAAGTAGACTGTTCTCTAGAGCATATTGGACCGTCCACACGTCGAATATATGCCAATGAGTGCTCAAGTCATCTGTTCGTCGCAGTTGAGCGTTGATTTTCTCTCAGTATGCTCGTTCTCGCAGCACAGCCTAGAACATCGCGACGAGACAAGTTGATACATGTAGGAGCGCTTGTGTTCAAATATCCCACCTTGTGTCGTCTTCAGTCTATTTCAACCTCTTCTCCCATCCACATGTTGACACACACCAGCTTCACAACTCATACTTCATCTAAGAAAACACCCACTCAAACAACACTGACAAACAGCAACCATGTGTAAGGTCACCCACTACGTGTGCGATTGTTGCGAGAAGCTCATTGATCGGCTATGGTCCCAATGTCACTATGCTCCCCGGGATATCTACGCGTGCATGAACCTCGATACAAGAGTCAGTAGAGCTATGTATTGCGAATCATGTGATGAAGCTTTGAGGTTTCCTGTCAAGAAGCCTAAGCCTAGATGGTACCAGTATCTATTGGACCCCCACCTTCTTATCACCAAATGGCGCGAATACAAAGCCCAACGAAAGGCCCGTAGAGAGGCGATCATCGAACAGCGCAAAGAGATAGCCCAAGAGCGCGAGTACATAGCCCACAGAAATGTCGCTGAAAAAGTCCACCCAAAGGTTTATGAAAGAGCCCGACGAAAGTCCATTGAAAAGAGGGACATCGCAGAGCGCGAACACGAAGCCTTTCTAGAGTCCCTTGACGAAGTCGAACGGGAGGCCTTCTTCAAAGCCCAACGAGAAGCTCAACGAGAGGCCTATGAAAAGTGGAAGATCGATCAACGCAAGTTTCAAGCCATGCTAGAGGAGTTTGAAAGAGGGTGGTAGGTTATGGCTACTAGCTAGCTCTGCGCGTTGATTGCTGGACGATCAAAAAGGCTACTGGATAGCCTGGCTTGAAAAAAAAGACTTGAAGAAAGGACTGGAGAAGTCAGTTGTTAGAGTTGTGTGATAGATGCTTGCAATTCATTTTGCTTTACTATATGAGCTTCTCAGTGATTTGAACGTGAAATGTTGACTGTTTTTGATTCAAGTAACTGGTGCTGAACACGGTGCTGTAGTCTGAACGACACGTATCTTGATGGCGCATTAGACAAGTGTAATAAAGAATCTCTTGGATTTAACGATCCAATGACTGGCTTTGCCGTTGTAACAATCTCTTGTTCGAGTGACCTCTTGTTCTAATGTATTTTCGAGTGCCAGGTAATTGTCTGAACAGAACACCTATTCAGCCTCTTTCACAACACCAGCCCGTGCGAGTGCCAAGTGGTTGTTCGCGCACTTCAAAGAAACCACTATGAACACCAGAGTGACATCCATGTATATGTATTCAGACCATCATCCCATATCCCAGTATCTCATCTCATCTCAACACAAACACCTTGCCTTTGCAACATCACAACCGAACAATCTTCCCTCTGCACCATCCAAACAATGTGCACAACACCCAATGTCACGGACTTCTGTCCCTTCTGTGATGACATATACACCTGGCCACCCGGCTACTTGGGGCCAAACAAGAACGATCATTGCGAGAACTTTCACCCAGATAAATACTGCGAAAGTACAGGAGTTCGCGAGGTGAAACGCTACAACCAGCTCTGTACTAAGTGTAGAAGAGATCCAGGGAAACGCATTATGCCACACAGGGCTTACGCGTTGAGGAAGTGATGAAACTGGCAGTACATATCAATCTTGTGATTGACTGTTATCGTCACGAACATGGTCATTCCAAACTCAAAGTGCACGTCGACTTATCAAGAGCAAAGGAGCGAAAACCTAGTTTACGACTCACCATATAGCTTTTGACAAGTGGAATCAGGAACCGAGTCATCAGTTTCATAGATTCACACGCAAAATATTAGGTATAAATAGAACATAATCTCTCGTCTTACTTGCATTGCACGCCTCACCCGTTCATCATGCCCTCATCCGCAGCAGAACATCGTCTCTATCTATCCATCCCCACCAACGTGCATCGTCATACAAAACGCCCAAATATGCTCAGCCTGTCACGAGCGCCGAGACCTGGGGTTATATGGAACCATCACATGCAAGGATGTCACAGAAGGATACACATGTGGGGGGATTAAAAATGAAGATAAGGTCCAAGATTGGATGTACTATCCCTGTTGGCAACAGAAGATGGACGAAGGGGAAGTAAGCATCCGATCAGATCAATATTCGCGATGCCAAAAGAATCAATGCGCTCAGTGGGACACCAGTAGGGCTGACCTCCCTTGAGGATTCAGGACCCTGCATCAAGAACTAGCCAGCAGTGATGAAACAGACTTATATCAGCTAACCAAGTGCTTATTCATGCCTTATCGCTCCCAATAAATCTTCATCTGAAGACCAGTTCTGTTGCGTTACCTCTCCTCCCATTGGTGCTTGTTTGTCCAGGTGCTCGTGTAAATCGACCATAGAAGAAGGCAAAGATCAATTCAGCTCCATATCCAATGGAACAATAAGCACAGTAGTCCAATAGATATGGATCATTGCTGACGGCGGTAATTGCGCAGTAAGCTAAGCCCTTCAGCCCTGCCCCACCATGGAGATGTCCGCGGACGAGTCCGCCAAGATGAGAATGATCATCTCCGATTGGCTGCATTGACCCAAGTGGTTTTGGTATAAGAAGATGACAGGAACACAATACTAGACCTCCGATCTCATCATCATCTTCAGCTTCATTTTCATTACTGCATACAGCATCTCAGATACATTCGGTACCTTCTAATACCCATATCTACTCAATAACATCATCATGCCTTGCCATCCTTCTGAGCCCGAATTCGCAGTCCGCGACATTCCCAGTTTGCGCGGCTACATCGCCATTGTCACAGGTGGTAAGTCACCATCCATTCTCTTTATCTTTCCAAACTAAAAAACTAGGAAACTCCGGCATTGGCTTTGAAACAACACTCCAACTCGCCCTCAAGGGTGCTCGAGTCTACATCGCCTCTCGCTCCGCCGAACGCGTCGGCAAAGCCATCGCAGAAATGCACCAACAAGGCCCCGATCTAGATCTCCACTTCCTCAAGCTCGATCTCCAAGATCTCCAAAGCATCAAGACCACTGCAGCAGATTTCATGGGCCGAGAAAACCGTCTCGATCTTCTTATCAACAACGCCGGTATCATGTGCACTCCTTGGGAGTTGACCAAGGATGGCCACGAACTCCAATGGCAGACTTGTTTCCTTTCGCATCACGCTCTTACCATGGCCCTCATGCCCATGCTTATCAACGGCGCTCAAGCCGCTCAACGAATGGATCGTGTGCGAATCATCAATGTCGCTAGTGACATGGCTCTCCGCATGGGTCCCGAAGTCATCAACTACGACGACCCAAACCTCACCAACGAAATCGGCAGAATGGCACCATACAGGCGCTACGGCCACTGCAAAGAAGCCAACATTATCGCCGCAAAAGCCATTAACGACCGCTACCAACACTTCGGCATAACAGCATACTCGCTCCATCCCGGTCTGGTCAAGTCTAACCTTCAATCTGGCAACCAGACTTTACTAGGCGCTGTGTCACGAATGGCCTTCAAGGTTGCTCCTCAGTCTACGCCTCTTGAAGGAGCTATGAACTCGCTTTTCTGCGCTACGAGTGAACGGGCGTTCAAGAACCCTGGTCGGTACTATGTTCCTGTGCAGAAGCTTGACGATCGGGCGAATAAGTGGCTTGATGACGCGCAGGCTGTTGATAAGCTTTGGGAGTTGGCTACGAGACAGTGTAAGGAGGCTGGGTTTGTGATTGAGGATTTCCGACCGTACTACAACTAGTTTGCTATTGGTGTTTTGTGATTTAGCTATAGAGGGGAATGTCTTTTCAGCAGTTCGGATAACATTAATTAGCATAAGCATATTCTTTATCTTTTACTCCTCCCATTTTACCATCTTGAGGGACTCATCCCACAGCCTTTTCTCGCTTTCCTCGTTGTAAACCCAATCCGCATACCCCGATACAACAGACGAAGGATCAGCACCTTTCTCCAACGATGGTTCCTCAGCGCAATTACTCAGATACTTCCCACCCTTTCCTTCCCATTCCTTACTCACTGCCGCATACACAGTCGTCGCAGCGCCTTGCTCAGGGCTCTTTAAATATTGTGCCATCTCCTCTGGCAAGTTGAGTGACTTCAGATCAATGTGTCGAGTCAAGTTGGTAAGGATGGAACCAGGATGCACAGAGAGAGCATGAATACCCTGATCGCCATATCGTCTCTCGAGTTCGGTAGCGAAGTAGATATTAGCTGTTTTAGATTGAGCGTACGCGAGCCAAGGATGGTACGCCTCTTTTTCGAAGTTGTAGTCGTCGAAGCGAACAGGGCTTAGGCGATGACCCTTGGAGCTTAGTGAGATAACCCTGGACTGAAAAGACGGCGTGGAAGCAGCGAAAAGAGGGGTCTTGAGCAGTTGAAAGAGTAGAAAGTGGCCGAGATGGTTGGTGCCAAACTGCGTCTCAAAACCATCCTCAGTTCGACCCTCAGGCGTAGCCATAGTCCCAGCGTTGAGAACAAGAACATTCAACTTCTTCTCCTTCTCCAGAAAATCTTTCGCCGCAGCTCGTACGGATGTGAAAGAGTCAAGTCTCAGCTCGATACCATAGACAGGCGCCTCAGATTTGGCTTCCGGGTAAGACTTGATTTCCTCGATGGCCTTCTCAATCTTGTCGGAGTCTCGTGCAGTGATGTAAATGGTTGCACCGGTCGCACGAAGAACTTTGGCAGTCTCGAGACCAATGCCTGAGTTGCCGCCTGTGATGAGAATGACTTTGTCGGTGAGCTTTCCGATTAAGCCTTCATCTTTGACGATTTGGAGGGCTGTTGGGCGTGCGTCGCCGGGGCCTTGGGGGTTAACGTGGACATCTGCGTAGCGAGACATTTTTTGATGGTAGATATGATCGTTGAGTAATGAGTTAGTATATTGACCTATGTGCTTTGGAGAGGATGTGAGAATGATTTATATACAGCCAGTTTGCATGATTGACTCAAGAATAGGAACCGGCGATATCATTAACTCCGTATGTAAATCTCCACTGCCTATCATTGTACAGAGGCTCTGCTAGCTATCACTTCAGAGAAACTCCGCTGTATATCACGCTGTATTCTAATGTCTATAGTCTAACTGTAGGATCGTTATGTTGTATGCACAATGGGGGTTCCTGCATTCTTAACTCCGGAGTGGCTTACGTCCGCACTAGCTGCATAAAGACCCAGAGCACCAGTTCTCTACAAAGCCAATAAAATGGCTGAGGTGAGCCATTCAATTAACAAATACAGTTTGCAAAAAGACCAAAGCTAATGCGCTCACACGAAACTCCAGTTTTGTTGCAGATATTACGACACTGGAACCGAGATTTCGGGAGTCACGGCGCCGGTTGTCTACGCGGTTTGAAGCTAACATGGGTCGGGTCAATCAGGCTATTCGGTCCCGGGTGACCCATCCAGATCGGGCAATTCGTAGTACGTTATAGTCAGGCGATTATGCATTATAGATGAGTTGTGAAAACGAACTGCCGAACGTGTATTAAGTGTATGTATCAAGTACCATATTTCGCAAATTGAACCTCCGAAGACGCAGAAGACGCACTACCCCTCGGCAGATGCTGTATGCCCTGAGGTGACCCACCCTCCTCGCTCCCTCTCCCATGATCAGGATATCTTTCGCTATGAACTGTAATTTCGGTCGTTTTGATCAAATCCGTCTCATTGCCATACACGCGATGACTATCATCACCCTTCCCGACACGAACTTCGTAGTCGCCCGTTATAGTGCCTTGAGCACCCGTGAACTGCTTCTTTCCATTCCGATTCATGGTCTCCAGACCAATGTCATCAGCATGCTGCGTCGCGCCATGACTCCGTCCGTAAGAACTCTCGTTTCGGCCTCGTGTAAGTTCGACGAGACGATTGAGGATACTGAATTCGAGCTTGAGCTTGACGCTGTAGACCAATGGCTTCCAGGCAGTTTGGATGTCGAACAGGTTTGCGAATTCGAGAGCGAGAATAGAGACGTCGAGGAGGATAACGAGGACGTTGACGATGATCAAATGGTTGAGCACCATCTTTGTCTTGGTGTTGCCGATACTCTTCTCCAGACGTAAACGCTTGGTAGTCTCCCAGACGTAAAAGCCCGAGATGATAAGCTCTTGAACAAAGAAAATACTGAGCTGAATCTTCTCAAAGACCTCATAAGGTTTCTGAAAAGGTGTCGGATTGGAAGACCCAATCCCGTAAACCAGGATAATAACAGGAACATGCAACCAAACAGCATTAACAATGATCATAATCAAGACCATCCTCAACCGTCGCTGATTATGCATAACAATATGTAATCTCGAGTACAGCACAACAGACTGTCCCGTAATCATGGTACACCATCCGATGAGGATAAGTGTAGAGTACAGGTACCGAGCCTCAGACAGGGAGAGATGCAGGATGAGGTATCCCGTGCCATTGAACGCAATGCCCCATGTTGCAATGACGAAACTCCAAAAGTATAAACCGCTTCGTTTCTTGAAGCTGCTGAAGATGTAGGCGTTGAGTTCGAGGACGTTGTAGAAGGCTATGCTGATGAAGACGGCGATTATGATGGCGACAGCGCCATTTTTGGTGGTGACTTCGGCCATTGTTGGGAGTGGAGCATCGTACGGCGAGGGATCAAGGGTAAGGAAAGGAGCGACGGGAATGAGAGAGGCTCAGCTGGCCTTACCGCTGGAGCCTAGAAAAGAATTACTGAGAAATAGAAGAGAAGCGCAAGCAGAATGCTTCGATACTGCTTTGTCTTTATGTATGGCCATGCATACGGCACTTTCCCTCTCAGCTTACTTGTCTTCACTCCATTTCTGCAGTGGCGGTCTCACCATTCCCATATTCCGTGTTCTAATCACGCAACCAAAAACCAGGTTCTTTTGCGTTGAAGAAAAAGAGGGGGCGCATCGCAATCAAACTCAAACTCTAATCGTCCTTCGTATGCATCCTTGCATGAGCCATGCATGATGGTAACATTTCACCCTAAGATGGTTCAGGAAGGAGATCATTACCAGGTTTTAGGATGAAAATATTTCTGAATTCTTACAAGATCTTCATCCACGAGGAAGATCTTCATTATCATCGTGGAGCATTGCGTGGCCATCACGATAGATCTGCAAGATCCCACGTTACAGATCAACTTCTCGGCAAGTTCCTCTCTGCCAAGCAAAGAACCGTATGATTAATACGCCTAATTCTCTCAGCTACGGCATCTACCAACAGCCGACGCCAGGAACCTTTCTGTGCCGCAGCCACAACTTCTAGAGCGTTTGCTAGTTCTGTTGTCACACTCTAGTTGTCTCATTCTTAACCTGTCAAATATCGCTTAGACCAGTCACCAACGGGCGTTATGACCTAGAAGGACTTGGCCGTTATGACACAGACGTTTGCCGAGCCACACCGTAGAACGTTAGTTAAGAGGCGTAGCCAAGCTGCAAGATATAGGAGTCGCCTGTTGGTGCGTCTTCAGCTGAGACAGGGATATAATCCGCGGAAGATAATTGTTATTCGCCGGTTTATCATCCCGTAAATGTCAGGTCCCATCAGCTAAAAGACCATGACCTGGTCCGTCGAGACCATTAATCGTAAGTTAACAGCCGTACCCTGCAAAACTCTAAATCGTACACTTCCACATCCCCACAGTCGCTGATTGATTCGGATAATCTGGTGTGCCCGCTAGCTTAAGCTTAACCTTGTAGATCTTGTACCGTCTGGGCATACAATCCGCGCCCAATCCCTGCATTAATGCCTCAACAAGGATACGACAAAATAGCCCAACACTCTCACGCTAATTTGGGATAGACTGTGCTGTATTCAATTTGGTAGCGTATGCTCCCTCCCAACCGATCACCCATGCCGCAGCGGAGATGATCATTTGTGGACGACATGCTGTGAGGAGTACATATTTAGTACACCACAGCCTCGTCATCAATCCAGTTCTGCACCTCCCACACCACTCTCTTTTCTCCTCATCTCATTCGCCATGCCTTCCACCATCGCTGTGCTCGTTGCCGGGGTTTGCGGCGTGGCTGCTGCCAAACTCCCCTCGACAGCTCAAGTCATTGACCAAAAGTCCTTCAATGTCTTGAAAGACGTCCCACCACCCGCTGTCGCCAACGACTCACTGGTAAACCCCCTCACCTCCACCATCGCTTGCCCTTACTAACTTGTGCAGGTCTTCACATGGCCTGGTGTGACACAGGAGTCTCTTGAAGAGAAGCCCTTCCATGTCTACGATGATGAGTTCCTTGATGTCATCGGCAAGGATCCTACTCTGACTCTCATCGCCACGTCTGAAAGCGATCCCATCTTTCACGAGGCTGTTGTCTGGTACCCTCCCACCGAGGAGGTCTTTTTCGTTCAGAACGCTGGAGCTCCTGCTGCGGGCACTGGTCTTAACAAGTCTTCCATCATTCAGAAGATTTCTCTCAACGAGGCTGAGGCTTTGCGAAAGGGAACCTTGGGCAAGGATGAGGTCAAGGTCACGACCGTTGACACGGCGAACCCTCAGGTCATCAACCCCAACGGTGGTATCTACTACAAGGGCGACATCATCTTCGCCGGTGAAGGTCAAGGCGATGAGGTTCCCTCGGCTCTGTACCGAATGAACCCTCTCCCTCCTTACAACACCACCAGTAAGACCCGCAATCCTACTCCTCAGGTAAAATTACTGACATAGACAGCCCTTCTGAACAACTACTTCGGCCGCCAGTTCAACTCCCTCAACGACGTCGGCATCAACCCCAGAAACGGAGATCTGTACTTCACCGATACTCTCTACGGATATCTCCAGGATTTCCGCCCTGTTCCTGGTCTGCGAAACCAAGTCTACCGCTACAACTTTGACACTGGCGCCGTGACTGTTGTTGCTGATGACTTTACTCTTCCCAACGGTATGTTTCTTCTTTACATGTGATAAGATAGGATGCTGATTTGAGTTAGGTATTGGCTTCGGTCCCGATGGAAAGAAGGTATATGTCACCGACACTGGCATCGCTCTCGGCTTCTACGGCCGTAACCTTTCTTCCCCTGCCTCTGTTTACTCTTTCGATGTGAACAAGGATGGTACTCTCGAGAACCGCAAGACGTTTGCTTACGTTGCTTCTTTCATCCCCGACGGTATGTCTTGGTCCCTTCTCTCTGTATATGCACTTACTAATGAACGCAGGTGTCCACACTGACTCCAAGGGTCGTGTCTATGCTGGTTGCGGTGATGGTGTCCACGTCTGGAACCCCTCTGGCAAGCTTATCGGCAAGATTTACACCGGAACCACTGCTGCCAACTTCCAGTTTGCAGGTCAGGGCCGCATGATTGTTACTGGCCAGACTAAGCTGTTCTACGTCAGACTTGCTGCCTCGGGCCCTAAGCTGTACAACTAGGCCTGAAGATGGAGGATAAGATATATATTGGAAGATACTAGCGAACTAGATTAAATGTTAATCAAATCTCTTTACCTCAAACTCCTGGCCTGCACTTTAGGTGATCAAGGCAACTCATGCCTTGCTGATGACCCATTCAACTCTTGCCTAGCCGACGTTCCATCAACTTCACCCGTGCCAGGTGTATACTCCGGTGGAGCCGTTCCCGATTCACTCACCTCATTCACCTGACGAGAAGCCAGCTGAGGTTTATCATAACTAACCTCATTATTAACCTTCGACCTCTTCCTTCTTCTCCAAAGCAACCCCGCCGCAGCCAGAATGCCCAGTCCAAAAACACTTACCCCAACCCCAATACCAGCCTGTGCGCCCGTTGACAAACCACTCCCGGAGCCAGAATCAGAATCCACATTACCCGTCGCACCAGTCGTGTTTGATGTGGCGCTGGTTGTGCTTGAAGACGAAGCACGTCTTGATATATCACCTACTCTAGAAGTTCTCGAAACAATCTTTTCTTCTATGCGAGATATCCCTGAAGCATCCTCTCCCGAATCTCTTTCCCCGGAAACTGCCTGAATCATGGGCGCGTACAACGTAATAGCTTCGAGACTGCGAGCACCTGACATGCTTGCCGGTAATGTGAGGTCACTAAATATTGTGCTAGTACCGTCACACATGGCTATCTGTACTTCGCTTTTTGACGTGACGCTCGTGCATGTCTGCTTTCCTCCGGCATCGGCGCATGTGTAGCCACTGTATTAATCAGTTTTCGCGTTCCAGTAGTGAAGAAGAGGCTCTTAAGATGGACAACATCCTCTGACACGCTCATTGTCATAGACGGAGAACTGAAAATCGAAATCGCCAGAGTCCGGACCTTCCCCCCAACATGCTTCAATGTATCCGTCGGGACATTGATCAGCAGGATAATAGATACCCCATCCTTCGAGGGGCAGACTGAACCCGACCGTTGCGGAAATTTCCGTTCGGGTTTCCGAAGTATAGCTCGACGGTAGCTTCGTGGATGTGGGAGGCCAACATGCTATATCGTCGACAACGCCTTCCTGTAGAAGTGAGCTTTGCGCTGTGATGGTATGGCAAGAGAACTTACTATCTCGGCGTCTTCATCGCCGCATTTCTGAGCTTGCCATGCTTTGCTACATGTAGTGCAGCTCACGAAGAGATTTCTGCAGCGGTTGGGATATTGCCAACTTTCCGTCAAAGGGCCCAAGGTTGTTCGTGCTTGCGGCATCTTGGGCAAACCTTTGGGAACAGCAGAAAAGGGTGTAGGTTTTAATTGATGTTCAAGCCCATAGACAAGCACGCGACAAAAACAACAAAGGAGATTGGAAAGAAACCGGGGGAGAAAGCGACAGCCATGGGACTAATATGATTCACATTCTGTTGGCCCCCAAATTGCCATGGAAAACATTATCAAATGCCAACGAATAAAGACCTAAACTGGATCATAGCGCATACCTCCAAGCATGAAAATGAGCTTGGCGACCTCCTGAACAGGCTATGAGCGACACACACAGGCTCTTGACTGGATGAACAGGCACGGTTGTTTTGCGATTTCATGAATCTGGGGAATCGAGGCGTAATAATGGTTGGTCTTAGCACCTTACATGTGAAGTCATGTCATGCCGTGTCGCCGCATTGAACCCATTTGGGATATGCAGCCAAGGTTATACTGTCTAGGCATATCATGTTGCTTTCTGTAAATTCCATTATGGTCGGCTGAGATTGAATGCTGACCAATATTTGAGCCTCCAGCAGCTGCCTCGTAGTCTATTACCCCAATTCAGTATTCTATCACGATCCGAAAAGACACTCCATTTTCCCCACCCTCGGCTTCTCTACACAATTTACAGATTAGCGCAGACAGCGCATCAACCAGTGACAATTGCTCTGGAATATTCTCTGACCAAAACTGCATCTAAGGGCCACTTTTGCTTTCCTCTAATAGGCGCGGAATCGCGGAATTGTCAAAGAGGGGCCGGAATTAGCAAAATATTTCCGATGTGGATTCTTGAATGAAGCTAAGATGAAGTCATCCATAAAATGTCCTCGTTTTTTCTTGGCTGCTTCCATTTAGACTTGGCATCAACAAACAGAAACTCTTTCCATCTTCGCCAAGAGATATCGCCAAGGCCAATGATCGCCTGGATATAAGAGCCTAGACATCATGTTTGCAAAGTCAACGCTGCCAAACAAGGCAGCCAATGAGTCTTCAGGTTTGTCACCCCCAAGGTCCATATGCAATCGAAAGCTAACAGACTAGATCCCATCGTCGTAACATGGTCAGGTCCAAACGACCCCGAAAACCCCTACAACTGGTCCCTCAAGAAAAAATGGTTCGCAGTCTCCCTCGGCCTCTTCGCAACCTTCATCTCCATGATGAACGGCACAATCATCACAACAGCCCATGAAGCAATCGGCGAGGATTTCAACGTCAGCGACGAGAACTTCCCACACTCATACTGGCCCGTCTCCTCATGGGGTCTCGGCGGTGCTTTGTTTTCACTAGTGCTGCTACCTATCATGGAAGACTTTGGCATGAGAATTGTATTCTTGGTCGTGTACACTGTCTTTCTCTGCTTTCTGATTCCAATTGGCGTGGCGCCGAATTATGAGACTCTTATCATCACACGCTTCTTTAGTGGTGGTTGTTGTACTATTCTTGCTAATGCTGTGGCTGGAATTATTGGAAATGTTTTTGCTACGGATCGCGCAAGGACAATTCCTACGGGGTTGTATATCATGATCTATCTCAACTCTAGTAGTCTGGGACCTGTTATTGGAGCTTCGATATTTCAGTTCTTGTCGTGGCGGTGGATCGGATATATCGAACTTATCTGGACGGGTGTTTTCTTCCCCATTTTCATCTTGGCTATGCCAGAGACACGGGGATCTGCGATTCTGACTTCCCGAGCGAAGAAATTGCGGAAACAAGGACAGAATGCTTACAGTCAGAAGGAGCTTGAGTCTACATCCATTCTTCAAGACGTATGGACGAGTATCCAACGGCCGTTATACATGCTCTGCACAGAATCAGTCGTCTTCATCTCCACAGTCTGGACGGCTTTCAGTTTGGGAGTGATCTACGTCTTCACTCAATCCGTCGAGCAGGTCTTCAGCGAACTCTACGGATGGAACGCCGTGGAAGCAGGATACGTCCAAGCATCCATCGTCATCGGCGAAACCCTCGGTTTCGGACTCTGCGTTCTAACAAACAATTGGTATTATGCTTCTGCATCGCGAAACAAAGAAGCACCCGGCACACCCATCCCCGAAGCTCGACTCTACGCCGCTGTAATTGGTGGTTTCATCGGTGTCACAGGAGGAATGTTTGTATACGCCTGGACAAGCTACTCATATATAACATGGGTAGGCCCAGCATTCGGACTAATGCTTGTCGGTCTCGGAACAGAAGCCGTGGTCGTCAGTATCGCGAATTATCTAATCGATGCTTATAGCAATTATGCGGGCAGTGCTATTGGCGCTACTGTTTTGGGAGAGAATTTGGGTGTTGCGTTTTTGCCGCTTGCTTCGAGTAGCATGTATACCAACTTGGGTTTCCATTGGGCTAGTTCCCTTCTGGGGTTTATCTCGTTGGTTTTGGCGGCTGCGCCGATTGGAGTTTTCATTTGGGGGAAGGAGATTAGAGCGAGGAGTCCGTTTATGAAGTCGGCTATGTCGAAGCCTATGGAGTTTGCGATGACACCTTCGGAGTAGACTGGAACTATGAGTTGTTCATTATCAGATTGAGGGAGCAGAGTACCAAAATGATATTTTGTGCAACAGGCTAAACTATCATCTCTTCCGTGAACAACAATCCTTTTCCAAACCCCAGCCTAGACCGACCAACCATCTAAGCCAAACTCTTAACAACCTCAAAACTAACATCATCCCCAAAGTTCCTCTCAGCATCAAAAGTATGAACACCGCCATTCGTAGCAGCATACCCCCCATTGTCGTAATGTCTAAAATACCTGGTAGGATAATTCCAAGATCGAATAGAACTTCCCTTGCCACTCATTCCCTTCTGCGGACAAAACGTAGCATCCTCATTGAAAGCCTTAGTCCCATCATTCTTGTTAACCACAAGGATGAAGTTGTAATGTCTGATGAAACTGCCGGGTGTGTCGACGGACTCAAAGGATACACAGCCGCTGTTGGCTAAGCCTGTGCGGACGGTCCAGCTGGCTTGTTTCCTGAGGGCTGATGTGTTGGGGATTTGGGTGTTGACGTCGGAGTTTGTGTGGGCGAGATAGCGGTCTGTGTAGCCTGCTGTTGTGACTTTGAGAGAAACGGACGATCCTACTGAGAGGACATTTCCGCTTGTCAAAGATGTGGTAGCATATTTCGCAGCCACGATGTTTGCTTGGACAGCATTCTCAGTAGCATCGGAAGGATAACCAGAGGTCATAACACCTTCGTAAAAGGTACCTTGTGCACCAACACTGTTGTCACCACCGATACCCAGAATGATAGCACCTTCTTTCTTCATAGGATTGTATCCTCCATCTGGATACGCGCCGTTGTAGAACGTCGACAACGAACCAGAAGCAGCGTTTCCTCCACGGAGGGCCCAAGTACCAGGCTTGCCCTTGACAATAGCGCTGAGGAACCTGTGCGTGATAGTAGGGTCTGCAGCGTTGTTCTTAGGACTTTTGCCAGAGAAAAGACCATTCTCGAGATCAGCCATGAGCCAAGGTCCTTTACCAGCTCCAGATCCCCAGACAGTGTTGTCGCCAAAGTAAATAGCTTCCATGTGTCCATTCCCTGTATCCTTGCTGTTCGTCTCGGCATTGCCGTAATCGAAGCAGCATCCCCCATTGTAGTGGGTTCCATCGAGAACAGCGTACATACCCTCAGGCTGATCACCCGTAGCAGACCCACTAACATGGTTGTTACGATACCCAGTACCAGGCGATATAAAAACACCATACGCTTTTTTCCCATTCAGCGTAACAGGTGCACCATCAGCAGCAGCCAAATTATCATAGCCATTCGCTTCAGGACCTTTAAAACCACCGGGAGGGGCTTGAGTAAGATGGTTATCACGACCGGCTTGGTCGTAGATGATGGTGATGAGACATGTTGTGCCACTACAGAAGGAGTCTTGGGTAGCAGCGTTGGCTACGCCTCCTGCCGAGAGAGGACGGATGTCGGTGGTTGAGCCATCTGATGCTCGCTTGATTTGGTAGAGGCCGCCATTATAGGCGTCGAAAAGAGCTCTGGTGGTGCTGTGGGCGGCGATGCAGGGTGTGTTGCCGGATTTGTAGATGTCACATGGTCCTGCGAGAACGAGGCGGGCTGTAGTCACAAGACCAAGGCTCAGGATGCTCTGTAACTGCATGGTAACGGACAATACTTAGTGCCGTTAGGAACAGGGAAATGTGTAAAGAAAATACGACGCTTGCCAGAGAGAATTCTTAGCTGATTGAGCTCTGTAGGGTCATGTTCCTACCGATCGAAGGGCCCTTATATACACCATACAAAGCGAGGAATATCCCCAAAGATCTTCATCTCTTCGTATCTACTCATCATCATCAAGCAAGTACAGCAAACACCTTCCCGTCCTGGCATCAAAATGATCCACGTGAATCTTACAAAAGGTCTCATCGTAGCCTTACTCGAGTGAAGATGTCCGAGCCATGCGATAAATGCATGCAATTCGACCGCTTCAGCATTATCGCGGGGTATATCCGGGGGATCGTCCCAACCGGGCCCTGTTGTAACCCCACTACGGCAAGTAAGTGCCGAGTCTGATGCGATCGAACCAGAGCTCTAGAGTATGTTGCTAAGCTAGACGACGGGACCAATAGGAGTGGATTAGTGTGGACTATTTAGGAAAGCATCGGAATGAAGATCAAGTTCACTTATTGAGACAGATGGATTGCACTGGGTAATACGAAGATCAGCCTTCACTCTTTTCTTGAGATTGAATGAAGAGAGCCGGGCCTACCTTCGCCCGATGTCTTGTAAATGCACACACGCTGCTGCTATCTCTCGCCCAGTCCGACCGAGCCGTAAAGGTGGCGACCCCTTACAGCGCGCATTCGTGGACATAAATCGGTGTCCACTATATCAGTGTAACCAGCTCCCATCTAATCCCCGGCAACTCACGCCAAAGACGCAAAAAGATGACAGTACTTGAATCCGACGCACGTTGCCTTAGTCCACCTTTCTTGACAACAGGCCAACAATACAGTCTATACTCTCCGCGGAACTTGGGCGGCTTTGTCATCTTGCCACTGAACACTGCTACCAGATCAATCTCCACCAATCCATCTTTGTCCTGATCTTCTTCTAAAATTCGGTAGAACTTCTGTCCGACTTTGATGGAGAACGGATATTCGTAACTCTTCATTTGGAGATCCCTTGGTGGGTAGTTAATGACGTCTGCGGGATTGTATCGCACTGTTGCTACCTCTGTGTAGAAAGATAGAGCGATATGTCTGAGTGATGGTGATATGTGCAATTCAGGAGGGAGAACGTCTTCTGTTACAGCTTCTCTCCTGAAACCAGTTCCGTTAGATAACAGCTCTGCTAGTGGCGACACTACTTCATAGCCTTCTCCGTAAGGAATGGCAACCAGCTCAGAGGCCGAGTCGAAGACAAAGTACCATGGACTGTGAGGGCTTGGCTCATCCCCGTAAAAGACCATCAGTCGTGAACCTTCAGTCCAGGCCATCCACGACCAGCTTGGAAAAGACACCTTGACAATGGTACCATCATGTTGTCTCACAGCGTGTGTACCCTCACGCAGACGTCGGTCTTCTTTAAATGGCCGCTCCCACATAAGACAAGGTCCAAAGGTATAGTGAGGTAGACCCCACGAGATCTTAAAACCCGGCCATTTCTTTTCAAGATAATTTTGCGTTGCCTGGAAAGCTCTGCCTATATCGGCCTCGTATGTGAGTGAACGAGTTGAAAATGTAACGGCAATACTCTCGTACTCTCCAGGACTATAATCTGAGTCATAGCGATCTTCATGCGGTTTTGCAAAAGCTTCCAGATCAAGATGCTCAGTGGTATCCTCACTCATAAGTCCCTCGCGACAGCTCCAATACACTTGCTCCGATGTGAAAAACAGTGATCTTCTGGAAACAAGAGCTTCTTGAAACGTCCAGGCTCGTCGGGACCAGGGAGCGCTGCTGATCCACTCTGGATCTCTGCCCTCGTAGTAGACACGAAATTGATGCTCGTCCACGGAATCGAGGAGCTGCACTCCTCGTACGTTCAGGGCACGTTGTTCCAAAAATCGCGTATTGGGACGAACGCCAGGAATGCCGCTGTATGCATCAGCTCCAGATGCAGCGATGATAGTAAGAATGCCCTCCCGGTAGATAGAGTCCATCTTATCGACCACTTCGAGCATGACTGATTCATCGTCTTGAATGATGCACAGGCTGTCAATCCACAAATGGTCAATCCAAAGCTCCTCGCAGATGGTAATCGCGTCTTGGATAGTAGGTGGCAGCTCCAAACGTTCAAGACAACCTTCTTCCTCCAGTTCATCAATATTGGCCTTGACCAGTCTGAGGAATGGTTTTCTGCCCCAGACGTAGCTCAAAGTTGCAAAAGGAGGCCTCTTGCTTCCGTCAACCTGCACGACGCATTTTTTCTTAATGTCAATCAATCGAAACTGGGGAATGCTGATGGGTTCTTGATCATACTGGCAGATGCTGTGATACTCATCACAGATACTCATCCACTTCCTCAGTATGTCAAATTCGATGAGAAGCGGCCTTGGCCTTCCGAATGTTGGGTTCAGGGCGCCTACCACCTTTTTGGATATCCCTACTGACGAGAGGTCTTCCTTTGGTGTGTTTTCGTCAGATTCATCTGGCAGTTCATCAACACGCCAACTACCAGGTGGTAGGAATTCGACATCACCATTCTTCAGCTCGTCGACATAGTCGACAGAAACTGGAACACGACCTCCTGAACCAGCTCTCTGGAGCACTATATCAAAATGCTTGGTTCCAAATACCTTGGACGGTGCTGCGACCCATATAGTGACTATTTTCCTCAACGAGGAACCTCCAAAGCCAAAGGACCAGTTCGGGACCGCGACGTTGTCTTTGATAGCAACAGTAAATGACACATTTTCCGCATCGTCAAGTATCATGAGATCATCATTGTCGGTGTGAATATTCGTGTTCACTCTTAGTCGATTAAGTATTAAGTCGGCTAGTTGCTGGCAGAATTCGCAATCCTTTGCTTGATTCTGCAAGATTTTGAAGGTAAGTTTCGCTGTTTGCCTTTCCCAAGAGAGGTACCATTTGGGTGCACAGTCTGTTCCGACCAACTCGAAATCGATTGTTTCACACCAGTGCTTAGCATTAGGTTCGTCGAAGGGAGACTTCTCTAGTGCAGACATAATTGACTACGTGGTGAGTTTTGGGTTGGGTGTAAGCACAGCCGATTGCGGATACTGCGTGATATTATAGCGTTACTTCGGCACGGAAGATCAAATCTGCCGCCCAAGCAAGGCATAATCATATACTAGCTTTATCATCCTACAGCTGTAAATTGGGGCCGGACTCATTTTGTTGATAGGGAGATACGGAAAACTTGTTCTCTTGAGCTTTTTGTGTCTCTGTTGGTTTCTAACTCTACTTCACGTTGCTTCCTGCCACTGCCGCGCTTAGCGCACTAACTAAAGGTCGCCATTTGTATGGGCGCGAGTTGATGTGGACTGTTTAGGAAAGCATTGTAAAGAGAAATCGATTCTTAGATATTCTGTAGTCTAGTTGAGAAATTGGTCCAGCTGCAAGACCCTTCTAAACATTCTATTCTTGTCTACTTATCACCCACGATAACTGACTGAGAGTTACTACTAAACAAACCCTCCGGATCAACCTCTTCCTTGATCCGTACCAACCTCTCCCAATTCTCCCCATAAAGCCTTTCCGCCATCTCCTCCCTCGTCCACTCTGTATCAGCATAATTAACAAACCCCCTCAAGGCCACCCCATCCTCTTTCAACTGTTTCTCAAACGGTATCATCTGGCCTCTCAAATACTTCACCCCATCAGGCGGGAAGATCTCTTTAACGATAGAATTTGCATCCCATCTTATCAACCAGAGATTTTTCGCGTGTGGATGCGCTGTATCAGTGTCTGAGATAGTGCGGTTTACGCCGCCCCAGAGGTCGATGTAGCCCATTGGTGTCATATCGGTTCTGTTGAAGGCGACGGTTGTGTCGTTCAGTAAAAGGCGGGCTTGGGAGGTTGTTAGAGGGTGGTCGTTGGTTACGACGATGGATTGGAGGTAGAAGCAGAGGGGGTTGAGATCGCCGCCGTCGGAACGGTTCATTCCTTCGCCTGAGATGTAGACTTCCATTTCCCAGAAGTCGAACTCTTTCTTCTCCAGCTTTGTCTCGGAGCTGACCTCTTCGAGACTTTCCAATAATGGTTTTATGGTGTCGTCGAAATTTGAAGGATCGCCATAGAAGTATCCTCTGATGTTCCAATTGACAAGACTCCATCGGATAGCTAGTTCATCCGGGCACTTGTCACTGGTGCCATAGTTTTGAACTGCGATAAAAGCCTCCGCCGCCTTGTCCACGTCAACATCACCAAGAGAGATGTTAAATGTGACGGCTTGGTCAAACTTCTACACAGCTTACGTTAGCGGCATCTCGAAATCGCCTGAAGTGACTTACTGGTTTGTAGGTCTTCGTAGTAACAGACAAAATGATTCCAAAAGAAGCCGCAGCTCCCTTCGCCACCCACAACAAATCCGATCCCTCTTCCGCCACAACAACACTCCCATCATATAACATAAACTCAACAGCAACAATATTATCCATAGGCGTCCCCAAAAACCTCGACGTAGTCCCAAACCCACAACCAATACTCGACCCTGTAACTCCAACATTCGAGCCTCTCACATGAGGAAAATGTCGTCCGGCCGTATCCCAGAGATATTTCGCCACAGGTCCCACACGCGTTCCGCCACCGTACGTAAGTAGTTCCGTATCTTCATCATAGTGCATAGAGTTGAAAGCTTCCATGTTAATAACCAAATTCCCTGGGGTGCCGAAACCAAGACCTTGGAAGGAGTGGCCTGGTCCTAGGGCTGATACTTTGACAGAGTTTGCACGAGCGCATTTGAGACATTTTGATAGTTGGTTTTTGTCTTCGGGGAAGGCTATGCATGCGGGATCTGGTTTGAGGCGTTTTTGATATTGGGTTGTGTTTTCGGACCATGCTGGGGATGAACTGATTAGGTTGTGAATGCCTGCTTCGTTGAGGGATGAGTGTAGAGCAGAGGCTGGATCCTGCTTTGAACCCATCGTGAAGCAAAGTGAAGTGAGGTAAAAAATATATAAGTGTTGCAAGAGTCAGGTTATTATCAAGAAGTCGGGGAAATAAAGATAGGAATAAGGCTGTGGAGAGGCTTTGTTGGCATCAACCGTTTATTGTGGAATTACGTCTCAGTTCCAGGTGATGATTGGTCCTACTCGTATCGCGTGTTTCTCTCCACCAACGGATTTGCTTGTATCACCAGCATGAGTGCATCGAGGCGTAAAAATGTCGTCATTGACGTAATCTACCCATTGACTTATCGGCTACTTATCGTTATCAATTTGGTACCATAAACCCTTTCCCAGTTCCCAGTCCAGTATCCTTGACACTTGTATCGCGTATTCTTGTAAATCGTATGGATCATCAAGCCTTACTCCAAAACTCCCCAATAAAATCTTCCACATCTCTCCACAAAGCCTCCGGCTCCTCAAGCGCAGGGAAATGTCCACCCCGTTCATGCATACGATACCACTTCACCTGCTCCGTCTGCTGAATCCATCTTTCTGGCGGGGTACTCAGATCATTCTTAAAACATGAATAACCTAACGGTTTCTTAATAGCCTTCCAATCAGCCATCAAAAGCTCCACGTTCTCAAACACCATGCGGTGGACGTAAATTGAAGTTGGGAAACTGCGCGAGAACCAATATAGTGCCACGTTGGTAAGAAGCATATCGCGGTCCGGAACCCTTTCGGACCATTGGATCATTTTCTCTCCTATCCATGCTAGCAGGGCGACGGGGTTTGTTCCAAGGAGATAGCCTGCTGCAGCGGGCCTTGTGCCGTCAAGTTGGATGAATGCAGTACCTGTTTTGCCAAACTCTGCAAGTCTTCCAAAGGCAGCTACTTCGTCAGGAGAGTACTTTCCTTCCTTGATACCAGCTTCCACATCTTCTCCCGCCGGAGGCGTGATATTCAACATGTTCATATGCACCAATTTGCAAGCAGGATCAATGTTTGCAATTGCAGGTGCGGTCCAGCCGCCAAAGTCACCGCCTTGAGCAACATATCCTGTTTTGTCGAAATTAAGAGCGTGCATCATCTTGGACATTATACGCGCATTATCTGAGTGTGTGAATTCCTTGTCAACGGGTGGTGGGGAGGAGAACAGGTAGCCGATATGGTGAGGGACGATGATGTGATAGGGGAGGGTTTCAGGTGTATATTTGCTTTGCAGTTTTTGGAGGATAGGGAGATATTCAACAACAGAGCCTGGCCAACCGTGCAGAAACAAAATGGGAACCGCGGATGGGTTTTTGGAGAAAAGAGCAAAGAAGTTAATCTTGTATTCCTTCGAGTCATCGTCGGTGACAGTGATGTTGTACTGAGGGATTGAGTTGAGAGTAGATTCCCACTTTCTCCAATCGTACTTTTTCTCCCAGTGATTGACCAAGTCTAAGAGTTGATCGCGCGGAAGCCCGAATTTTCCATCATCACGGGTATTCCATACATTTGGCTCGGGAATAGGCGATAATTTGAGAAGGGTCTTGAGGCGATCAATCTCATTGTCGGGAATGGAAATAGTGGAGGTTGTCAGATTAGCTGACGCGGGAACAGGGTAAGGAAGGGCGCTGAAAGGGAGGGTAGCCATAGTGGGCAAAGACGTAGAAATATGGTAAAGGGTATTGCGGTTATGTTAAAGATTGTGATGGAGTGAGATGGGTTATTCTTTAATTCCAATTACCGAAGCAGCTCATTATTTATACAACTCTTGTCGATCCTGCAGCGTTGTCTGGTGCCTAGTCTCGTCCAAGTGCTTAGCTGTCAGCACGATCTTCTGGAACCTTCACGAAACCACTTTAATCGACCACAGGATTCTGTATCCATTGTGAGACATGTCCAGAAAAGGAATAACGGAGCGATAAGCTTTTTGGGGTTGCAGGTTTATGCGTTTGATGGCAAGACTTATCACTGCTTCAGCATTAATTGACACTTAAAAAAATGCGACAACAGTCTCTCTTGTCTTGCCTTTCTTGATGTGTGTTTAATGGCGTTTATATAGATTATTTGATCGCTGTAGCTATACTATGTGAGAAGAACGAGAACGAAACACATCGCGAGCAATTTGAGATCCGATCTCATTTCCCCGGCTGAGGAATCCGTTGTCGAACTCGTCGTCGTCTCAACAGCATTCGTCGCAGTCGAAACTTCACCAGTCGTCGCTTCAGCAGTACCTCCAATCGGTGTCTTGAGAAGAGTCATACTCCCCTCGTAAGTACCCGGGAAGTTGCACGCGATAAAGCGAGTTGACGATGTCTTGTCATTATAATCGAAGATCTTGTGCGTCAAACAAGTTCCCATACTGAAGAGTAAATGTTAGACTGTCCTGATTTCGAGGATGGATGACTTACCAGGATACTGTCGTACTTTGTGCGAAAGCCGTTGCGCCGACGCAGCGAGTGAAGATGATAGAGCCACAACCTGCCCAGATGCCGCTTACGGCAAATAAACCATCTACACAGGCAGCGGTATCTATGAATCAGTTAGTAAAACGTGCGATAATCTTCTTCCGGGGTTACTCGTACAGAACTGATCGTCTCCTTCAATTTTACCATATCCTATCGACCAGCGGTTCTGCGGATACGGTGTGCTGACAATTGTATGGAATGAGGTGACAGCGCGATCAGCAAGGCTGGGAGGTTCTGTTATCAGCGGAGGGGCTGTTTGTGTCGCTGTCGCTGTCGCGTAGGGGACTGTAAAGAGCAATAAAGCGAGCAGTATTTGCATCATAATGATGTTCGAAGTTACGTTATTGTTATAGTGATCTGCTTTCGTTTTGGAATCGGAAAGTTCATGGGAGCAAGAACAATGGCCATATTTATGTGCAGCTTGCTTTGGTTCAGCTTGAACGTGGCTTAAGCCAATGCAGGGTTAGAAGTCGTACTTGGCTTGAATAGGTATGAATAGTTGGTTCACGGCTTGCAGCTGAAAGTTGATCTGAGACGTGGCGGCAGACCCGCTGCAAGGGTCTCCATTTAGCTCCAGTGACATGTTGAAGACATGCTGTTGAAAAGCAGCCAACAATAGTAACGCGTGAGAATGTTTGACTTTGAGCTTAACGTCTCGAGATAGCGATGTATGACGTAAAATGCTGTATATCTTCTTGACTGGTAGAAGTAGGCTTTCGCGGTGGACGAAACAGTCCATTATATCCACCGCGCTGATCAGCCGTTGTCTTCAATTGAGTCTCGACTGGTCTAGAGCAGCCACCTTCTCTTGCCACAGGCATTATTGGCTTGGCATAGCTTCATACGAAAAAAGTATTTACATTGAAATTGGTATAAACGCGTGAAAAAATATACTTCTTAAAAAAGTGTCAAAATCGACAGAGCGACAGCCATGACCGTCAAAACAGACCCAGAGACCACACTACCCGCACTCTCCTCCACAGGCTCCTGGTCATTCCCAATATTCGCCGTATTATTCCCAAACCCCACAGTACGCTGCCACGTAGGCACACTCTCCTTCAAACTCAGCAAATCAGAATGATAAGCATCTAAAATTCCATCAAATTTAAGAGAGTAGAAGCCAACGTAATTGCTACGACCAAGCACAGGAGCAGGTCGAAGCTCTGTCGTGTTCAATCGCGCAAAAGGCGCAGCAGTGAAAACGCCATCGAGGGTCAAATTGGCAGTCTTGTCGTCAAACTGCATGCTGACCACAGGGTCCTTGTAATCGTCCCAATCCTCTGTCAAGTAAGATACCATGTTGGGTGTGTTGAACCTGTGCTCGTTGACGACTATCGAGCTGTTGCAGACCGGCATGGTGACATTTTGCCAGGATGAAAATGGGTCGCTTTCGTTACGGCTTAGCGATTGCGTCATATTGTAAGCACCGCTTGAGGTCTGTGTGGTTGTGAAGTTGAATAGATCCCAGCTGGAGTCCTTCTGGGGACGCCAGTAGCCATTCGGTGTAGGGCTGCGCAACGGTTAGTGAATGAAGTCTCATAAGTTACTGGTGGGACTAACTCGTTTGAGTAAATGGGTATCGAAATGTTTTTACGCTTGGTGTTCCACATGAAATCGGTAGGTAGGTCGGAAACGTTGTACGCAGGTGACGTTTGAGGCATAAGCGTCAACCAAAAGATCATGGAGTTGTTTCCAGCGTTCCAAGGACCGCGCTCAAGAACACTGAGAACAGCATCGTATTTGAGGGTAGTAGTTTTGTTCTTAAGTTTCGAGCACAACTTGTTCTTTGGTGTCATGTACTCATATTCGACCTTGACTTCAAGCTCTGCAGTAGCATTGTAGTACCTAGAAAATCAGTCAGTCCAACCGTCGAACCCCTCCTTGAAAGATGTCACTTACGATCCAACCCATCCGTAAAAGTCGCCAAGACCCGTAATATTTCTCGGCCGAAAGTTACTCAGAGGATCATACTCAAACTTATCCTCCGCAAGACCAAGCGTCAAAAGCCCAGCCAAAACAAAACTTTTGAATCCCAACATTTTGACGTATAAGGCTGAGAGAAGTTAAAGTTACGTTACTCGAACCAGGAGAAAAGGGAATAACGCGACCTTAAGGACTGCAGGAACAGGCAAATTTCGCTTGTAATTAGCCTTGAAGATTCCACTTTAGGAAGGGGCGCAGGTGATTTTCTAGAATAGGGGTCTATGTTTTGAGTGTTGTGATTGGTGTGTTTTTGTGTCAAAGGATGGAAACTCCACTTGTGAACGGGCCGACGACCGACTTGGCTGCTTGGCTTTGACGTTTCAGGCAAATGATATTGTGAGAAATTGTCACTTTTAGATTGCGGCAATAGATCTTCAGAGGTAATAAAGTGTTCTTATAAAAGGGGTCTGCCATCAGTTTGAGATATCTCCTTCACTGCAACAGGTTGTCTCATCGTCAGATTACGAGAATACCTTGAAATAGACGTAGCTGCATCAATACGACGCATATCAGAAATTAATACGGCGTTTCTTGGCAATCAGAAGCATTGTCATAGGCTCAGTGCATGAAGGATTTCGGTGGAGACCGCGTTCGCGTCAGTTTTCGTGTCTTTTGTTCAATTGTTCAGGTTCACATGATGGCTGTGCAACGGTGCGGCTTGATTTTAAGCACCTCTACGGTTCGGGTTTCAGGACAAAAATGAATGACATCATTTGAAGATCCCGATCCTTTGCTGGAGATTTCACTCCGCCGATTGTCACTGGTCGCAATTCAGCGCATCTCTCCCGTACAGATAACATTCTTGTGGGCAGATAAGCGCCAGACACTCCATGCTCTGCCCAGCAGCCTGTCTTGCCGGTATAATAGGCTAGCTAGAGACTTTGTGGTCTACCAGACTTGTAGCACCCATGTCCAGTGATCCACACTTGAAAATTAAGAGAAGTACGAGAGTCGTGGACTGCAAATCCGGGCCGGCCTGTACGCTTATCACAGAGACGTGCAGTTATGGAACGCCATGGATATAACAAAATGGATTACCTCAGGGCTATTTCATGCTTTCAAAAGCCCGTGGAGCATTTCTTTTGTCTCGGACTCTGCTTCTCGAATCGGACATACATAGAATAGAGCAGAGCCTGTTCACCAGCGCCGATAGATGACCCAGACTGACATCTTTAGATTCGGCCAAGATAGAAATAGTTTTGGCATCGTCGTCACTGACATTATAGACATTGATCTCAACTCGGTCGGCGCCGCTGCGTCTCCCGGCATTCTCGTCGGTGTGCCCTCTCTGAAAAGTTCAAGCAATTGGCCGTAGCAGGTAAGAAGGACGGTTCTCTTTTCCGCGCCCAGGTCAACCATCCCGGGCGACAATTGGTTGATTTCGATTAGACACGTTTGTTACTCAGTAGAGTCTAAGGTATTTATTCGAGTCGTTGATGGCGTTTTTCTTACAAGACTCATGCCATGGCGTTTCAACGGTTCTAAACTTGGAGCTGATGATCGACAACCTGTGGAACCCTGCAACCGGGGAATTTATCACCCATCCAACCTTATTTCATCTCACAGCGCATCTGCAATAAAGCTCTCAACATTACTCATTATTCGCTCTACTCATCGTCGTTCATGACTGTTATATATCAGTCCAGATCTGGTGCAATAATATTTGAACAGCTACAGCCAGGTCAGCCGAGACAGATTCTATCGTTCTCAACGCCACCAAAGATGCTCAAACTGCTCAAATGAGGTGAGATGTGACATATGCTGTCTACATTGAGCTCAGAAATGCGATGTGAACAGTCGCGGTCGCTAGGAGAATGGTGAGAGAAAAGGAGATTTCGTTATTGAGGTATCTATTCTAAAGCGCGGGACAAAGACAAGGGACAAACAACAAAGAGCCAAAGTAAAGACTGTAACGCACCACGACGACTAACCCACCACAAAAGGAAAGACAAAAGAAAAGACGGAAAAAGAGAAACCCCAAAGACCAACAAGCATCAACAAAAATATCCTGTCCTATCCTATCCTATCACAGCCACAGCGCGGCGAGGCGTGAAGATGGGACACATGAGCCGCTCAGTGTGCCGTGATCACGAGGTCGGCGATGGTGGGAATTGCTGGAGGAAACATTGCAGTCGGACCGCCTCATGCTGAAGTGGTATCCTGGACGGTGACACCAGCGGGAGGGGCTAAAACCTGTCGCAAGGACAAGTGGTGCTGATAAATGACCGTTCCAGCCGGATCTCTGTACTTCCACCAGAGATTGACCGGAGGGCAGAGTACACGATGGATCGGGTTCAGGCTCATCATCGCGATGAACCACAGCGAAAGGCTGACCGTGAGGGTATTCGGCCCTGATGCACCCCAAGGAACCGCCTTCCACTCTATCAGGCACGGCTGGGTCTCGTTATAGGCTGTGCCGCTGACACGAACCACGACGATCTCCCCGGGGGTCAACACAAACCCATACCGGGTGTTAGTAGACAAGCAATAGGCATGCGACGACTCCGCTGTTCTTCGCGCTCTCGACCATGGCAGAAGTCCACTGGGTCTCCAGTAAGACGCAACTGACCAGGTAATGCACTCCCTTGTCCGAAATCAAAGAGAGAGCAGAACGATAACGCCGCTCCACAAGTGTATCCTTGCACATCGAGACGTCTGGCAGTCTGTCTCCGAGCCGGTCTCCGAGGGCCGTTGCGCCTGTCTTGATCGGCTGCATCAGTCGAGGAAACACATGATCGACAAAAATTTTCTTCAAATCGGTCAGGCCATTGATTTTGAGTGGAGAGTGCGAGCTGGCGACTCTCGGAACGGGGTGTTCCTCGAGGAGATCGCCATAGGCTTGACGGAGTGAATCGAGGTCGAAGTCGTCCCAGTGTGCGATCCCCGGGTTGGCGATGTCGGCGACATTAGTATCGGCGAGCTTGACAGTTTTGGAAGCAACTTGTAGGGTTGGGTTTTCAGACGCCAACGAATCCTGTATGGACGTTGTTGCCCACGTATGGGGAATGAAGAAGTTCGGTGGCGAGTTCATGGCTGTTTGATGAGAGTTTAAAGGAGAACTGAGTGGGACAGAGTCTGGGATATATCTATTCCCATTTCTGCGATCGCTTCCTATTTAAGATTTTTGAAGGTCAATTATCAAGCCGTACAGTTCAAATCGACACGTTTGCAATCGCTTCCGGTGCTTGATTCTGTTTAGAAATCAAAGAAACCCTTAAAATGAAAGAATCTGATGTATCATGAGCAGGAGGACTGGTACAGCCTGAAGGGGCGACGGTGGTTCAAAAGACCAACCCCTGTTCGCTTGTTGCGGCGCAAACTAGTTACAGAGCCACTCCATTCTGTCAAAGGCAGCGCATGGCTCTTGCGCAGTCTGGGTGGCGCCAAATCCGCCCTGGAAATTGGGCGATACTGGCTGGCTGGAAGGCTCGACGTTGAGCAAGATGAGGGACAGCCAGTTACGAGACTAATCCTTGTTCGCTATCCGATGGTGAGGCACATCGGTTGTGTTGAGCAGGGATTCTACCAACAGAACCAACAAGAGCAAAGGTACATGGGTTACAGTGACAGTTTATCTTGAAAAGGTATCTCTGATAGTTCATGACGACGGCCAGTACATCTACGCTTACGTTGATGTATGGTACATTGTTGCAGCTAAACTGACAGCTGGGGGGTCAAGGATGAGTCAAATGCTAGTATCGTCCCTTGAGTCCTACTGCCAGAAGCAAGAAAACGTCAATCTAATTATGAAACTGCGCACTAGTGACATATATCTAAATACGGCATTGGAAGAAATGACCCTGCCGATTTCCCGCTCTGCAACATGACAGATGATCGGCTGCAAGGTCAGTTCTGTGCCAAACTAAAGCCTGGGTCCAGCAATATTGAACGCCTACTGGCTAGCAATCCCAGCATTCTTGGCTTAATTACGGCAATTTACAAACAGCTTTCTCTTCCAATCCCCCACGGCTTTAAAGATCCTGATTGGTGAGTGGCTATAGACTACCTTAACTACAAGCGTTGTGTGGTAGCACAACAGCCCGTTCTGGCAGGGTTACCGATGACCAAATGATGATAACGTAAGAGATAGACAAAGTGTGGTGACGCAAGGGAAATGACGCTGTCATAAACAAACGCAATATCAAGAATGCCCCTGAAGGGACAGACGGAAAGATATGCGGAATTCGGCACTAAAACATAAAGATATATCGCCTTTCGGCCTCTCCGTTTGGATTGAGCGTTCCGCTTTACAGGCCCTCAACCTTTGATGCTAATTAAAGAAACATGAAACGCAGTGGTTGAACAAAGGGCAGACAATGAACGAACAAAGGGCTGACAACAGGGCAATCACCGCCCGGCCCAAGCCATTGGCCACTCCTCCATTTTTCACCTCCTCATCTTTCTTTTGGCGCACAATAGTGAATGAATGGCTGGATCCTGTCATATTTTGCTTGTTCAAAGAAATTGCCGCTTTGTCGCCATGCCAGCCCCTTTTCGACAGTTCGCGCATGTCAGATCTCCCCCTCTGGCTGTTCCTCCACCGCTCCCGCGCTCTCCTCTTTCATCACTTACGGTGTTGTTCTGTTAGTAAAGTCTACCCTTTGACAGCGGCGGTGCTGTTCTCAGGCTCCCTTTTGACAATTACTGCATGGTTGCCACACTCTCCTTTAACAATTGAGGCACGGTTTGCAGATTCTCCGTCTTTGAATGCTCTGACATTCAAGGTGTTTCAACATATAAACACGTCTCATGTCTTGCTTTATTCCACATTCATCAATACATCAACCCATTCGAACCCCTGCGACCTTAACCCTCAATTCACTGAAACAACACCTTACATACCACTGCGAACCAAAACCTTCGGTCATGCCTCAGCTGAAACCGCTCCCGGACTGTGAAGGTCCCAAGCTCGAGTGTTTCATTGACGATATCACGACCTGCGACTTGAAAATTCTCGGAATGCTCGGCACTGGAGGTCATTCCCAAGTTTGGAAAGCCGAGATCAATGGCAAAGTCTATGCTATCAAGACGGTAAGTGTGCCATTCAATCTTCTCTCTTCCGTTTCTTCATCATCTAATCATCAATTAGTTCGTCTATCAGCCGACACAAGATCCATGCTTCATGTTGGACCCTATCGATAACGATATCAGATATGAATACGATGAGGGGTTTTGCCCCAAGCCAAGCAGCGACATCACTCAGGCGACTATCGATAGCCTGCGCCTCCATGCGACCACTTTCTACAATGAATGTCGTGTCTTTGGGCGTCTGAAGGAGCTGGGCCGCGAACATATCGCTGTCAAGGCCTATGGATACCTGCAATTCGATCTCAGCGACGAGAAGGTCCAGCGACATTTCCTACCATTTGGGAACGGCGCGAGACAGCGTCTGGCCCTTAGCGGGAACAAAGAGCCCTCCGATGAAGATGTGATCCGCCACTTCATGGAGCACGACGACCTCGGCAAACCCATGATGGGCATTGTGAAGGAGTGGGTGGACTCTATTGAGGGCCAAGACGCTTGGCTATCTTATGATCGAGACATGGTCAAGAGATACATCGGACACATGCCTCGACTGCTGCGTAATCTTAAAGAGCTGCACAAGTCAGGCATCGTGGTTCGAGATCTCGCAGGGCGGCAGTACCTTGACGGGCAGCTCGTAGACTTCAGCTCCGCCTGGACCATCCCGCATATCTTTGGGCCAGAGAGCGGCGTCCGACCCCGCTGGACCTTCGAGGGCATAGCGGCATATGATCTTACATGCTTCCAATCCATGCTAGATGAGCTTGACAGGAAAGCAGAATTGGCAGTGCCGCGTCTGAGGAAACACAACCTCACGGCATGGCCAAAAGACGATATTTACGAGCGCCTACGACCTAGGCCGCAGTTTTACGGACCTGTCCTTCCCATGCTCACCCTCGACGATGACCAAGGCCATATGATGTGGCGCCGACCGCCCTTTGACCCCGCCAAGTTCAACTGGCGGGCTGTCCAGAAGTCAACAAAGAAGGGTGCCAGTGCCACCGGGCGCGTCACCAAGACAAAGGCACCTTCAAAGAGGACCGCTAAGAGAAGTGTCAAATGAGAGAGACAAGATGAACAAGATAAGATGGGGCGCCAACAAGACTGGATAGCACCCCGTAGGGAACACTTGGATAGACCTGACTGATTGCGTTTTCAATTCTGCCAGCTACTCGCAGCATTTGATTTTTAATAGAGATAGAATAAATAGACTCTGCTTTTAATGCATCTCACGTTAATCTATTAGAAACCTCAACAGCCCGCTAAGCAAACTTTGACAAGTTTTAATCCGAATTCCCGGATCTAGGTGGCTCAATCGCCCTTGGTCCAATGATACTTGGCCGCTGGGTGATCAGCAGGCGGTCGAGCAAGACCCTTCTTCCCATAGACATTCTCTCTATACGTACCTCCATCTACAGCATAATCCTCCCAAAACAACCCCCTCTTCCTCAAGACCGGCAGCAGATCAGAGATGACCTCTTCAAAGCTCGCTGGCATGAGAGCATATGCCAGATTGAACCCATCGACGTCCGCCTCGTCGACCCATCGCTCCATCTCGTCTGCAATGTGCTCTGGAGTTCCTGCGACCGTGGCTCCTAGACCGCCGACCTTGATATGATTTGCGACAGTGTGCTTGGTCCATTTCGGCACACCGGGGATCGACTTTGACCAAGACTCTACGGCGGAGCGAATCGCGTTTGATTCAACATAGCGCAGTTCCTCATCGTCACCATATTGCGCAAGGTCAATCCCCGTCCAGCCCCCAAACAGCGCCAGCGCACCATCTTCAGAGCCGTAGCTTACAAGATCCTTGTACTTCGCGTCAGCCTCCTCCTGCGTCTTGCCAATGATCGGGCACAACAGGGCCAGGAACTTTATCGCTTTGGGATCACGGCCGAACTGCTCTTTTGCTAGGATTCTAATCTCAGCTATGTTCTTCGCCACCGTAACAGGGCTGTGGCCGGCGACGAAGATGGCTTCGGCGTGCTTGGCGGCAAAGTTCTTTCCGGCCTTGGAAGTACCGGCCTGGAGGATCAAGGGTGTGCGCTGTGGGGAGGGTTGGCAGATGTGAGGGCCGGGGACGGTGTAGTATTTTCCGGAATGGTTGATGAGACGGACTAGGGAGGGGTCTGTGTAGATGCCCTTTTCACGGTCAAGTTTGACTGCGTCATCGCGCCAGGATGATTGCCTAGATTTGTGAATGAGAAGTCAAATAAAGTCAGTGAGCCACGTACCAAAGCTTGTAAGTGACATCGACGTATTCTTCGGCAATGGCATATCTCTCGTCGTGGCTCAGTTGCTCAGTATGACCGAGATTTCGAGCAGCAGAGTCAAGATAACCGGTAACGATGTTCCAGCCCAGTCTTCCACCACTCAGATGGTCCACAGTGCTGAGTCTGCGGGCAAGATGATAGGGCTGCTCATAAGTAGTAGCTACGGTTACACCAAACCCGATGTTCCTGGTAGCTGCAGCCATAGCTGGCACAGTAGCCAAGGGCTCATTGACAGGCCACTGGGCGCCTGAAATGATGGCAGGGTCTGGGTTGCGGGGGCCTTTGTAGACATCATAAGATCCCTGAGAATGTGAGCGACATGTACATGTTATGTGAGGCGATGGGACTGCTCACAAGGACATCAGCGATGAAAATGCCGTGAAACTTTCCCTTCTCAAGAAGTTGAGCCAATTTCACCCAGTGACTGATGTTGTTAAAATCCCACGATTTATCATCTGGATGTCTCCAAAGGCCAGGCGATTGATGACCACTGCACGATTCAACAAAGGCGTTGATGATGAGCCGCTTCTTAGTTTTGGGGGCCTCTTGCGATTCAGACATTTTGGTTACAACTTGCCTCTTAATGTCGAGTGAATGAGGTGTAAAGAATGAGGTATTATTAGTGAGTGAGACATTAGGTGAGTGTAATACTCATATAAGTGATATGCGACATATAAAAAGTGTTGCGCAATCGAGTTACTCAAATCGCGTGCTTGCGGAGATTCGCGTGTACCTTGAGATCGACATAGTCGTGATCATTTTAGACTCAAATACGTCAACACCCCGGTCGAACCTTGATAACGCCAATCACGCAACAAAGGATCAACTCATGGTCAAGTCGATAGATGACCGCTTTGACATCGGTACAATGACTGGGCAATAATTAGACTGGCAAGTGGGTAACAGAAGAATTGTCTTCTAAGGTTTAGGCTACAAAAATAAAGTAGCCTAAATACTGGTCTAAGCCGGCATAGATTGACCAAGTAATTTCGTCTCTTATGCTTGGGGGCCAATTCTTCTGACACCCCGAGGACTGGATAAATTGCTCAACTACCGAGGTTAGCTGAAGCTCCAGACAGTTTGCCCGCTTGTCCCTGCAGATGAGATAACGACATACCTGGTGCTGTACACGCAATATGAGGTGCCATCCGCCTATATAGACACCATGATTCTTAGGTCAGTATCATTAAGTCGTTGTTCTTCATCGTCATCATACTAAAACATTTCTCACCATGGCCACCACTTTTGAGGCTTCCAACCCAGCTGTCTACAAAGAGTATGAGGCCCAATGGTTCACTCTCCCCACGGACGCCCAAAGCTGGATCAAGCGTGCAAAGGACGTCGCTGATGTACTAGCAAAAGACGCTCCAGCCCGAGAACGCGCAAACAAGTCTCCCAAGGCTGAAGTCGCTCTTCTCAAGCACTCCGGTCTCCTCAAAATCCTTGGTCCAGCTAAATATGGAGGTGGTGAACAGCCGTGGAGTGTTGGATTTAGAGCAATTCGCGAGGTCGCCAAGAAGGATGGGTGAGTTATCTTTATCTATGATATTATATCTCAGTACGGGTGCTAAACAATGTTCAGATCTGTTGGCATGCTTCTCGGCTACCACCTCGTCTGGTCCACAACTGCCAACGTGGTCGGAACTCCAGAGCAAGCAGATCGTTCGCACAAGCTCATCATCTCCAACAACTCTTTTGTTGGTGGTGCCGTTAACCCCCGCGACAGCGATCTCAAGATCACTTCCAACGGAGATAAGCTCATCTTCAATGGTTTCAAGAACTTTAGTACCGGCGGTGTGATTTCGGACTTGACTGTTCTTGAGGGTGTTTATGGTGAGAGGGAAGAGCATATCTTTGCTATTGTCCCGACGCAGCAGCCTGGCATCCAGTTTAAGCATAATTGGGAGAATGTTGGGCTGAGACTTACCGAGTCCGGCAGTGTTAATATCGAGAATGTTGAGGCGCCATGGGGTGATGCCTTGGGATGGGATGCTGAGACCAAGAAACCTGATCCTAATATTCTGACTATTCCTTTCACGAGTCTGTTATTGCCGACGTAAGTATATCAGTGTGTGCCCTTATTCTATGGATTTACTAATATGGGATACAGAATTCAACTCAACTTTTCCAACCTCTACCTTGGTATTGCGGCCGGTGCTCTCGAGTTTGCCAAAGAGTACACCGTCAAGAACACTCGCGCCTGGCCCTTTGGCGGCGACGTAAGTACCACTACCTCCCAGACTAAACAATCTCTAACAAAGTATCAGAACAAGGAGAAAGCGACAGACGAATTTTACGTCCTCTCCACCTACGGCAACTTCTTGGCCCACCTGCGCGCCGCCGAAGCTCTGGCCGACAAAGTCAACGCTGAAGCAGACTCTCTCTACGCAAATTACTCAGACGATCACGCGGGCGTTACAGCCGAGCAACGCGGTGAGTTCGCCGAGTGGGTGGCCAGTCTCAAGGTTGTCACTACAGACACTGGGCTCAAGATCACTTCCGGCGTGTTTGAAGTCACTGGCTCGAGGTCTACGGCTGCAAAGGTTGGTTTGGATAGGTTCTGGAGGGATTTGAGAACGCATACGCTGCATGATCCTGTGGCGTACAAGAATCGGGAGTTGGGAAGGTATCTTTTGTTGGGGGAGTATCCTGAGCCTACTTGGTATACATGATGAGATAGATTTGGAAGTTAGTCTTTAAGTGGAATAAGACAGTAGATGTACCAAGTCTGTTCGGTCGTATCTTCTCTACTGACATCTTTGTATCTTGAATAACAGATTCAGAACTCGATTCACTATGCCCATCAGATGACGCTAGTCTCCAGCGTCACTTACGCCTAGAGACAGAAATATGAACCATAGAATGGCGGGAACTTCGGATCACTGTGCTCCTGTCATACCCCAAATCTCGAACACGCCATTGCTGAAGGAACATTATCGAATCATTTTAATCTATATCTAAATCAACGCTAACACATATGATGATACCACCTTTTCCAAAGTGGCCAAGCTCTTCTAGCAGCCTGTTCCTCCTCATTCCAAACTTGCAAATACCGTCTGCCGGTATGAATATCTATATCTTTATCCCGAACCACTTTTGTACCCACCCACCATTTATGCGTAAGATAAAAGATAATAATAACAGGCACCGTCAATACCTGTAAAAAGAAATTCTTCACCCGTTGAGGCGTTGTAAGCGGTTCTGCGTCTGTTGGCTGGATCGGCGAAATAGCCACCCAGAATTGTAAGAGAAGGACTGTGCAGTAAGCGATCAACGCTACCCATGACCCCCAAACACCAACTTGCGATTTGAACGCTAGTTGGGAAAGTTTGTATCCTGATAAATGCCACGCTTTGCGAAACCGGATGTGACAGACGCAGATGGACGCCCAGGTGAATAACGTGCTGAGACCGCTAATGGCGAGAAGCCAATTAAAGATCTCGTTATGAATACTCGAGTTCGCAACGAAAGCCAAAAGTCCGACCGATCCACAGCATATAATCGCAATAAGCGGCCGTCCAGTGCGATCAATATACGCAAACATCTTTGGCGCCAATGATTGTTCCGCCAACGCAGCGATCGTCCTCGAAGAAGCATATACAGCCGTATTCCCCACAGAAATCAAACTGATAAGAATAACCGCGTTCATAATATCCGGAAGCACATCCGAACCGCTCATCTCAATAGCGATAACAAACGGACTGGCAGCTGCATCAGATCCATACTTTGCGCCTAGGAGTCGCGGCTCGTTGTACGGGACGAGTAGTCCGATGAGGAGAATGGAGAGGATGTAGAAGAATGCTATACGCCAAAAGACCTGCTTTACGGCGGCGGGGAGGGACTTTTTCGGGTTGCTTGTTTCGGCGGCTGCGAGGCCGACCATTTCTGTGCCGGCGAAGGAGAATGTTGCTGTTACGAGGACGCTTGCGAATCCTTTGAAGCCGTTGTTGAAGGCGCCTGGGTTGTGCCAGTGAGTGAAACCGATGTAGCCACCTTCTGGTTCACCTGGGGAAGTCAGTGTCTCCTCCTTGTCCTCAGTCTCACCTTGACTTACCTGCTATGTTGATGATGATACCAAGCAGACTGAGAATCGTTAGAAATTTGGTTGAGTGAGTAATGGGGTGACGTACATGAAGCCCATAACAGCAACAATCTTGACAGCTGAGAAGATAAACTCGGCTTCACCATAACCCTTTACTCCAAGTAAATTGATACCCAGAATGAGAAGAAAGAAAAGAATGATGAAAATCGACTTGCTGGCTTCTGGATTCCAGTAATTCGTCGTCATTGCGCCAGCAATAATCTCAAGCGGCAATACGATGAGGTACTGTAGTGTATAACTGAGGCCGTTAGTCAAGCTTGATGAGAGGGATGAGGAATCTCACTTCCAACCCATAGCAAACCCCCAAGAAGGATCCAAAAACCTCGTAGAATAATTCGAAAAAGATCCTCCAACCGGAAACGCAACACTCAACTCCCCCAAAGCCTGCATCGTAAAAAACTGCATGGTGCCCATGGTGATAAACGCAATCAGCAGCGAAACCGGTCCTCCCCGGAAAAGCGCCACACCACTCGCGACAAAAAGACCGGTACCAATACTCCCTCCAAATGCAATCATCTGCAGATGTCGATTCTTCAATTCGCGTGCGAGAGCCGTGTTGGCCGCGTTGTAATTTGCTTTGCTCATGTTGAAAAGCCGACCGTTGGTCGAGTAGCTGTTAAGAGAGTACTCATCTTCGGACCGGGGTGCGCGTGTGAAGCTCGTCAAAAGACGGTGTAACGGGCCTGAAGACGTCGCATCATCTGTCGTTATAACCGGTGATGTTTTTGGCGATGGAGGGAGAGCCTGCATCTGGATTTCCCTCTGGTAGGCCATTTTGGGGCAGACATGAGGTTGAGGTTGAGCTGAAAGATGAAATTGGGAGCTGAAAGAGTGAGATTTGTTTTCCCCAGGTCGCAGAAATGCACGTGCCGCTTCGCCACATACCAGTCTAAACCGATAACAGACTAAAGCGGTGATGGTACGCTGGGGTTTAAGCGATGGGCGGACGAATCGCTGCTGTTCCGTCACCTACGGCGAGTCCGTTTGCGGGGACAAGGATTTGTTTATTTGTTAGATCAGGGGCAGAATCACGTTGTTTGCACCTTTCTCCAAACCATCTGGACACTATTTGTGTGTGAGAGATAAAGTCGTATGACAGTATACCAGGTTCATGAATCATGTTGTATGCCTGCCGCGTATCAGCCCCAAAGTTTATTCTTCCCGCAAGTATTTCCGTCGTCTTGCAGTCCGGTTCTTTGCGATCGGGGACTTGTAATGCGCCGGTTCCGATCCCACGGGTCTGAGCTTTTAGTTTAGACGAAACTGTCGTGAGAGTTTACAGGGGAAATAACATGAGGCAATTCAATTCAACGTGCATGGGGCATTGGTCAGCGGCGTTCCTTGATTTTAAATGCCAAATGCCACCTGTCAGCATTAATTCCAGCGCGCGAGTCAGGTCTTCCGCCTCCCCCGGACGCCATATTTTTGAGTTTTGCACGATGGTAACGTACGCGGGAATGAACCGAGGATTTTCACGAGCAGGGACGAGTTACTGCAAAGAGCTAATCTTGCCGACCTGAATCCTTATCGTGAAAATCGCGCTACAGGACGCTATTCTTTAGTTATCACATTCCGATCCTCTGGGTTGATACGGATCAGAGCTCAAATATCCACTCCGTCTCTCATGACGCGTTTATTTCCGGTGCATAAATCCGATGTCACTTCTCGTTTCAGTCCAGTTAATTGCCAGTCAGGTTTTGCTTGACGATCAATTCCAGATAAACGTTTCGTGTGGAGGAATAGGTAAGCCAGTATCCCAGCGATACACGAGTCTTGTCCTATAAGTGAACCTTGGCTTAAGATCTACCAACGCGTCCCCTAAAGGCATGTCGGCTTCTGTCTCACCAGCGCCTTACCGTGGCCAGGTCGACTCAAACAAAATCTCTTGTTTCCGTCGCACGGGATAGTCGTCATGTATCGGACCTTCATCAGTTCTGGAGCACGTCGCGGCGTATTGAGATGTTGCTTACTGCGTATTGGGAACACGGTTGTTCGGCGGGTGACTCAGGCCGATAAGCGAGTGGACACAATCGACGACACCCGATCTTCACAAAGCTGACAACACGAGTTCATAAAGACATCAGCTTCCGGTCATGACAAGATTATTAGTTTTACAAACTCGACTTTTGACAGCTGATTACTGCAAAAATGGCCGCCCACACTCTCTGGCAATATGCTCGCCTCAAACTAATCGTCACCCTCGTCCGTCTCCTCAACCACCTGGGCACACGTCCTCACTTTAAACCCTCCCCAACATGCAACCGCAAACTCAGCCGTATTCCATCGCGCAATCTAAACCAGTTCATCGATGCATGGTTGTATTACCCTCCCAATCATAACCCGTCTGAAAAGTATGGCGTTGTGATCAACTGGCATGGAGGCGGCTGCATGCTTCCTAACCTGGGCATGGACCATGACTTTTGCGAAAGAATAGCCACAGGGAGCAACGTTCTTGTTCTGGATGTCGATTATCGCAAAGCGCCAGAGTATCCATATCCTGCTGCTCTTGAAGATGCTGAGGATACGCTGAGATGGGTTAAGAGCCAGGGGCATCAATTCGATCTTGATCATGTTGCCTTGTCAGGATTCAGTTCAGGCGGAAACCTGGCGCTAGTCGCTTCTTCAGAACTCCGACGCGACTTCAAGATCAATATCCGGGCAGTGTACGCCTTCTATCCCGGTGTAGACTTCACCATCCCACCGGAACAAAAGATCGTCGCTGAACCGATCCGTCCGTTGCCATTCTGGTTTCAGAATCTCATCACAGAAGCATATCTCCCTAAGATTGAAGATCGCAAGTCGCCCAAAGCTTCACCGATGTATGCTGATCCGACATCCTTCCCTGAAAAGGTCGTGTTGTTTGTTTGCTCGGGGGATGTCTTGTCGCCAGAGGCCGAAGCTTTCGGGAAGATGCTGCAAAGCGCGGGGCGGGATGCGGAAGTCGTCAAAGTTGAAGGGGCGCATGGGTTTGACAAAGCATCTAGCCGTCAGCTCTTCCAGCCTGATGCGAGGGATTTTGCTTACGGCAAGGTGGTTGATAGCTTGAAAGATGTTCTGTAGAGTAACAATTCATCTCGCGTACTATTCAGGCTATTCAGAACGTCAACAGCAACAATAATCCCATTCATTTCACATATTTCTACACACACTAATCTAGTCCGATCCACACTGAATAATGAATTTCTCCTGCCTAAATTCCGGTAATATTTAGCAGTAAGTCATTTGCAGTGCAGTGCTGTGTCACTGGCAAGGAAGTGCCCATTTGCAAAATAAACAGGCAGCTGCACCCGCCTGCTCCTTCCCCCACAACAACCTCTGCAATCTGCATCATCAACTCTTCAACTCCTCCCTTTCACAACATCAGCGCCGTGATTCCCAAACAACCATGGCTGCACCTTCCGCAACGGACGACGACTCTCTCGTCCCGTTTGACAGCGAGCGTCGCTCGTCGATGTCAAAGTACGTACATCTTCTGGCTCAATCATGCAGGAGCGGACCTGACCATCGATAGCCTGCTCGAGGAGGGAAAATACTCCGATGTTACCATCACCTGCGGGAATGATACTTACGCTGTCCACAAAGCTATCATTTGCCCTCGATCCCCCTTCTTCGCCACCTGCTGCGATGGCGAATTCAAGGTACGTACTTCTCAAGCTATCACTAGACGCTCGCTCACGGTCTGAAGGAAAAGTCTGGCGTGATCAATCTCCCCGATGATGATCCCCTTGCTGTTAAGATGATGATCCGATTCCTCTACACAGGAACCTATCCAAATGGATATGCACCGAAGAAAGCGACGGCCCAAACTTCTGCCACTCCTTCTGCACCTTCAACTCCGGCTGCATCTCAATACTTAGGCTTCGGAGTTGAGTCCGGAACTTTTGCCAATCCTTCTGCAACTTCAGGCCAAGATTTAACAGGATTTGGAGCTCCGCGCTGGGATTCCGTCACGCCTGCTGCACGTCCAACTCGAGTTGCATCTACATCTTCAGCTCAGACCCAGGATTTCAGTCCCGGTAACCGACGTGGATATAACAATTCGCGCAGCCGACGCGCAGATCGCCGTTCCGGTAACCAGCGCGAGAATCACACACCCACCTCTGCTTCTTCACGGGTTCGCGCAATGGAAGCTTCAGCTCCAGCTACTCCTCCATCTACCCGGGCATCTACTTCTGCCCCCGGCCAAGATTCTAGACAGCGAGTGCCAACCTTCGTCCTCCACGCCAACGTCTACGCTCTCGGAGAAAAGTATGAGATCCATGATCTCAAAGCGCTCGCTCTCCAAAAGTTCGCACTCGACGCTACAATGTTCTACAACACCGACTCATTTCGCCAAGGTGTAAGGGTAGCCTACAGCTCTACGATTGAGGAGGATCGTGGGATGCGAGACGTTATTGTTGACACGGTGCTAGACCGCCGCTTTATACTTCGACAGAGTTCGTTTCAGTGCCTCGCCAAGGAAACCGGCTTGGGATTTGATCTTCTCATGAAGTTCGCTCAGCATGAATGCAACAATTGAAGCACGAGGCAGGTAGTTTGAGGAAGTTTTGTACTTGGTGGATCTTAGCCAGCATATGGGTTTATTCATGTATCTAAGCTGCCGTCAGGGCTTATGGATTTCTACATGTCTGATAGCTGGTTGTACTATTTGTGAAAGGGAGCATCCGCAGCTTCGAGGAGGTACTCATATTCAGACATCAGGCGGAATGAAGAGACTCAACAGGCGTTTCACATCTCAGGCCTTCGTACGCTATTTGTAGAGCACCTCTTTCCAACCAGTCTCCTCCTTTGCAAACTCGCTCCCAAACATGATATCGTCTCCCTTCCCCAGACAATACTCCTCTTTGACCCAAAAGTCTACCAGCCTGGGTCTCCAATGCTTCTTCCCCCACCACTGCACGCCCGAGACCTTTCCGATTATTTGTTCATACTCGTTTGGGCCTACTTTATGAATAACTTCTCTGAAGCCTAACTGCTCCACGGGTAACGAGAGCTCACGGGCTTGTGCTATCGATATGTAGTTACCTGACATCTTGGGACAGACTCTCGCATGCTCTATGCGGGCCACACCGTTTCGGCCAGTTCTGTTTTCTAGCCATCCATTGATCAAATAGATCATTTCTTCCTTCACATCCGCGGGCGTGAACAGATAGATCATTTCGTCATCTGGATCTGGCGAAGGGGAAGGCGGAGAGGGCGGTGAAGGTCTTTCTGGCGTATGTGTTGTACGGCTTGACAAGGAGCGAGAGCTACGGGAAGTCTCTTGAGATATTTCGGACAATCTTGCTTTTGGTACCCGCAGACGACTCGGGTGAGGACTTTCTGTTGGCTTGCGGGATCGAGGAGGCGATCGAGGTGTTCGGGTGACACCGGCATATGCGCTCATTGTTGACTGAGTTGGCCGGTTTCTGTCCCGTCTTCTCCTCCGTTCGTCCCTATCGTCAGGTACCTTTCCTGTGCAACGCATGCTTTCAGACAGACTGATGAGTAGTTTTCCACAATCTACGAACTCAGTATTGAGATCTTTCCGGTGGCTCTTTTTCGATTGTTCACTGCGAAGAGCCTTATCAAGAGTTCTCTCCGTGTGTTGTAGCTGCATCCGTAGTGTAGCTCTAGATGAGGTCAGTGGTCAAGTATTTATGGACCAGCCAAAAGCTAATGTTGGGGCTGGGGTAAAAAGAAAGTTCCGTGTCAGCAGATGAGTTACGACATTTTGTTGAAAGTGTAAAAATGTCAAGGAAGCCTTGTCTGATGGGGTCAAGAGGGAAAGGCAGTTCCGCTCACATATGTTCTTCCAGCATACCGGATATCTCGTCATCTGTTCGCTCCAGCATGTATGAAAATACCTCCAGTTCCAGGATGAAGCCTATGATCGAAAGATATATAGCCACTCTGTCCAAACTGATGAAGACAGCTCTCATCTCGTCAATTGTCCAGAAGTACCATCTTAGTCCCTGCACGAACTTGAAACGGCTGCAGGTATCCACTAGACTGTTGTCTGCAACATCTAGCTGCCGCTCGATATCTTTCGTTATGTGACTGATTTTCTGCTCTAAGCTGCTCCCTTCGATATATCTGGCGACTCTTGATGTTGGATGCTTCATTTTCCTGATCTTGTCGCAGTTGTCTTGAAGTCTCCGTTTTGCAAGTTTCATTGTTTCGTCCGCAACCTCCAACTGATTCGCAACGGAAATGATCGCGTTTTCCATTTCGTCGCCATCTTTGGCCACTTTGTATAATGTTTCGATGAGTTTAGCGGTGGGCCCGGCCAGGTTGACGATCGTAATAACACTGGCGACTACGCCAAGGATTTCTGCCATTTTGTCGTCCTGTAAACACAAACTGCAATGAGTTGAAGTCAAACTTTTTCGCAATCGAGATGGGGGGGGCTGCAGCTTATTTGTGCCATGATCATCACCCTCATTCTGTATCATTCTATGCACAACCATTTGGAAATTGGAGTGCGTCTCACAGCCTGCTTCTAAATTGACATGAATGATGCAGGAGAATTCGAGTGTGTGTGCTAGGCTTTCTCTTTCTGGTCGGATCTGAGAGCCTGGCGTCAGGGTGTCAGAAAAATTGGCCACCGAGAGCATGAGAGACGAAATAATCTGGTCATCCTATGGGAGTTCAAACTGGCACCTAGGCTGCTTTATTTTGTCTGCTTTGCTATCACTCAGCGGATGACACGTCGAGCTGCACCTTTATCACAGCATCCATGGGGACCAACAGCATAGCCTGATCTTCCAGCACCCCGCCTCAATATTGGTTGCCTTATTTCTTCCGCTTTCCCAGAATGTCAGAGACGACATGATCATCTGCAAAGCAAGAAGCCCCATAAAATGAGGCTCGTTATCGAACGGGATGTTCTGCTTTAGTTCCGGAAAGGGTATCCATAGCGGGAACCATGCAGCTCATGCCGGTTGAAATGCATCACAGAGGGCAGCAAACCAACGAAGGAAATAAACATGAGACTGGAATTACAACGCAAAAATAATAAACACAATAAAATGTCGTAACGGACCAGGGTGAAGCGAAAGACAAAAGTCATACCATTATTCAAGCTGATAAATCGGATGACTAATTCCACTCGCCTCACGGTTCACCCGGAACATCAAACCCCCGAAAACCTTGACATCATCCTCTTACCGTCAACACCATCCCTTCCATCAAACCCATCACCAAAAATGGCAAAGGAAGAACTCGGGTTGAAAATAGGCTTCTACGCCTACCCGTGCGCCCTCTTCGTCACGCTCCTCGGTGTCCAGTCCGCCCAGTTCTACCTCAGTCGCCATGGCGCGCGTCAGAACGCGTCGCTAGACAACGATGCGAAATCAAAAGCGGAAAGCATCCGACGATTCTACGCGCGGTGTATTTGGGGTTTTCAGCTGATTCTTTGCGGTTTGGTTACTGCGAGTATTGTTCTTGCTACGAGGGAGGTTTTTGCGGATCAGAAAGAGTTGCGTGGGAAGATTCTTTTTTCGTTCAGCGCTTACTTGGTAAGTTCTTTGTTCTTCAAAATATGAGTTTGTGCTGATGAGACTAGGCGTCTTTTGTTGGAGTATTACTTTACTTTTTGGCTGGTCTTCTTCCTGATCCTGAAGGACCTTGGAACCCGAATGGTGCTCATGTTTCAGCATGGTGTGTCGGCGCACTCGCGGAAATCGTCATCGCAGCTGTCTTTTCCGCCGTTGAGCCTCGGCTCCGTGTATCGCCTGGATTCGTCGACACTCTCAACGTTCTTGGTTCAGCAAGAGTGCTTATTCTCGCTCTCATGATCGGCTCTTTCACGGTTAGAGAATACAGGTTGAAATCTCTTGAGCCAAAGTCTTTGCCCGAGGAACGACAAGGTCTGCTTGAGAATGGAAATGGCAACGCTGCGAGCTACGGAAGTGTGCCGCCTACTGCGGCTGAACCGAGACGAACGCAGGTTTCGGGAACGGGTTGGTTGGATTACTTTGCTGGATTCAAGGTTTTGTTTCCTTACCTCTGGCCCAAGGATTCGCCTGTCTACCAAGCCATCGTGGTCATATGCATCGTCCTCCTGATGTGTCAGCGCACCGTCAACGTTCTTGGTCCGATCCAGCTGGGAACTCTTGTCGACAGTTTGGGTGAAGGAATGATTCCCTACAAGGAGATCATTCTCTACGTCGTATACCGCGCTCTTCAAGGCAACCAAGGTGCTCTCGGCGCCGCGCGCTCCGTCCTTTGGATCCCCGTCTCGCAATCTCTCTTCCGACGACTGTCGTCCGCCGCATTCGAACACGTTCTTGGTCTATCCCTTGAATTTCACCTGAACAAGAAGGTCGGCGAGGTCACCAGTGCTCTGAGCCGAGGCGCTTCCATCAACACCTTCCTCGAGAGTTTCTGCTTCCAGGTTTTCCCCATGGTTTTCGACATTTTCGTCGCTGGTGTCATCTTCTTCGTCAAGTATGATGCCTTCTACACCATCATTGTGTTCTTCATCATGTGGTCATACATCTTCCTCACCATCTACGTCGCCAAGTACCGTGGTAAGCAGAGGAGAGACATGACCGTCAAGACAAGAGAGATGGAAGCTGTCAAGACAGATGCTATCGTGGCGTATGAAACGGTCCAGCACAACTGCGCTGTTCAGCGCGAGACTTCGCGGTTTAGAGAACACGTTACTGTTTTCCAGCGTGCCGAGCGCCTTGTGCAATGGTCTCTTGCCGTTCTCAACCTCACCCAGAGCTCCATCTTCACTTTTGGCACGGCTCTTCTCGTCTCTGTTTCAGCTTACAAGATCTCAATCGGCGAGCAGACTGTCGGCGAGTTTGTCAGTTTGATCAACTACTTCGTTCAGCTTCAAGGGCCTTTGAACTTCTTTGGTACATACTACACCATGCTGCAGAACAATCTCATCGAAGCCGAGCGACTCCTCGATATTGTAAGTTACATAACCCCGATATCATTAAGCAGTTACTGACTTGTCCCAGTTCAAGGAAACAGCCGGTGTAGTCGAGAAGCCTGACGCTAAGAACCTACCTTCCCCCAAGGGCGAGGTCTCCTTCAACAACGTCAAATTCGCCTACCAGACCAAGAAGGGCGGTCCCGTTCTCGATGGCATAAACTTCACCGTCGCACCCGGCACAAAGACTGCCATCGTCGGCGAGTCTGGCAGCGGAAAGTCTACGTCTCTCAAGCTCCTCTTCCGCTTCTATGACGTGACAGACGGCTCCATCACCATCGACGGGCACGACCTTCGCGATCTCAAGTTGGACAGTCTGCGTAGGAACATTGGTGTGGTGCCTCAAGATACGGTGTTGTTCAACGCGGATATCATGTACAATCTGTTGTATGCACGACCTGATGCAACAGAGGAGGATGTATTTGAGGCGTGCAAGGCGGCGAATATTCATGAGAGGATCTTGAACTTCCCAGACGGGTATGAGACCAAGGTTGGAGAGCGCGGATTGAAGTTGTCAGGTGGCGAACGACAGAGAGTAAGTTCTGAAGTGCTTATTAATTAGGAGTCGACTAATGTTTCCAGATTGCTATTGCTCGTGCTATTCTCAAGGACGCGCGCATCCTTCTTCTCGATGAAGCTACCGCTTCTCTTGATTCTCACACCGAGCGTCAAATCCAGGATGCTCTAGAACGCGTAACAGCCGGACGCACAACTATCACCATCGCGTAAGTCACAGTCCACTACTTCAACAAATGCACTTAAACTAACCATCTCAGTCATCGCTTGTCGACAATTACAACATCCGACCAGATCATCGTTCTTCACAAGGGCGAGATCGTCGAGCGCGGTACGCACAGTGAGCTCTTGGCTCGTGGGGGACGATACCATGCTATGTGGGAGAAGCAGACGACAATTGAGAAGAAAGAGAAGGAGAAGAAGGAGATGGAAGGAGAGACATCTGAGACTGGATCTCAACAATAAACGGATGAGATGTAATAAAATTGGGTGTAGGATTATAGCGTTGTATTATAGATGCCGCGCATTGCTTGGAGTTGCTGCCAAAAATATCACTGTGTTATCGCACAGCTTGGAATAAAGGACCTTGGATAATCAGAGACTTAGCTAAGGGTATCATAAAAGTCAGGGTAGTGTATCCTAGGCTTAGCACATAAGCAAGTCTAAGTTGTTTTGTTAATGGACTTTTGTGTCCTGATTATTTTTCGGACCGCGTGGTTATTGACATTCGCTATAATGATTGATGTCGCCCTAACGGATTGAGGCCATCGCGACCCCAAGGTCTTTACGGCTGCAACAGTGGAGTCGTGCCTGGGAAGACGATTCGGAAGGGTCATCAAGGTGTCGCAATCACAGACCGTGTCATTGACAATAACGGTCGCTGCTACCTGACTGTGATCAAGAACCACCTGCTCTCAGCCTTGTGCTTCTACATCACACAATTCCAGGTCAAGTCTAGCCCAGGCGCAGCAGTGGGGACAGTAGTAAAAGAATCTCAATTGAAGCCGTTCTTTGGACAATCCATGCCATCGTGAGTTCCACCCAACCCATATCCCCCCACCCAAGAAAAAAAAAAGAGAAAAAAAATATTATCGCGAGACCCCTACTTACAATTCTGATAGTGAAGATTCATCGTAGATGCAAACAACTTGGCGTAGAATTGGATTAGAATGAATTGGGTGACGGTGACGACATCGACTGCCTTAGGCATGACATTCCTTAAAATGGCAGCTGCAGAGCTGCTCTTGCTGTTTGTAGAGCTCTGAGCTGCCTATGACGACACTAACAAGCCCTCCCACCATTTGACCCCTCTATTTACAGTACCTTCTTTTTCTCCCATCACCATCTCAACTCTTCTCTTCAACCCAAGCTCAATCTCAATCTTCACAAACAAACCCAATCAATCACTCACACTACCATCCAAAATGTCTGCCATCCCCACCTCCACCTCGGTCATCGAGTCCGCCGTCATCCAGGCCCCCTTCTCCGACGTCTGGCACCTCATCAAGCTCCAGGACTTCTCCAAGTTCTACTCTGCCCTCGAGTCCAGCGAATGGGTCAAGGGATCCTCCCCCGACACCGACATCGTCAAGTGGACCTTCAAGGACGGCACCGTCCTTGAGGTCAAGCAGGAGGAACACTCCAGCATCGACCACTACATCACCTACAGCGTCATCTCCTCTCAGCCCGCCCTGAGCTACACCTCCGTTGTCAGCACCGTCCGCGCCTACCCCATCACCTCCGGCCAAAACGAGGGTCAGACTTTTGTCACCTGGAGTGGAAACTTCTCCAGCGATGCTGATGCTGGTGTTATCGCTGATGCCAAGTTCAAGCGCCGTGAGGCTCTTGCTGACCTTGCCAAGGCTGTTTCCAAGAAGTAAATGTTTGGAATGATGGAGAAAAAAATATGATATGGGTTGAAGTGAAACCCCGGGATTTGGGAGAAAATGGAACGGAATGAATCATTACGCGATGCGATGCGATGGATGATGATGGATGGGCAAAACACTGTTATCACATGTACATGTAACTTATCGCCCAATGTCCGATGAATTCACAGTCAACATCCGATTGCGCATTTGTTTTAATTGAACTTGGTGATTGAGGTGTCGTCAGTTCGTTCCGTCTACTGTACTGCTTGGTGGGATAGTGCCTGTCTCACTTGACCTGCGTACCTACTGCTTGGTGCCAACACAGCGCAATGCCACTGAAGACACGACTTGACAGAACCCCAGCGTTTACCGCCAGCGTGCAAGCTTCAATATAGCCACAAGCGACTAGACATCAATTACACAGGCTCATATTCCGTTCTACGGGTCCAAGACGCACAAAAAGAAGTTTGCGCTGGATTTTCAGGGTCTCTCAAAGGATCCAGTGTTTAGTGGGGAGCTTCAGGGTAGATGCGTTGATCAGGAACCCGAGATTCCCAATGTTGACAATTGACGATCAATTGAGCGCGCATAATAGATCTGCAATTACGATGGGAGATTTAAATGTCAACTGCCGAACCATTGGATCTGGTACTCCTGGTGGCTTTGAAGCGCTGTCGCGATACGTTATCACGTTTCATGGCTTGATCGTTCCAGTCCTACTATGTTGTTGACATGCGCCCGTTGAACGCTTACAATTTCGCCTAAACAATTGCGATTGACGAGCGCTTGTGATGTTACGCAGCATACGTACCTGTAAGAACTCAGAAAGAGACCCTTGTCCATGATCACGCCGTCACAAACACAGTCAGCATGGATTTGTGAAGCTCCTTGGCTATCGTGACTGAACCTTGGCAGGGCGCGTAGATAAGAACTGGAATGCGACCCAAGACATCGCCAATAAAGTTCAACCATCAAGGGAAGCTTATTTCTCAACGCTCAATGCTTAACTCCTTTTTAGAACTTCTAACAATATCAATGGTCGAATACTCAGCCCTGGTAGGGGTTGTTTGATGCTGACCCGACAGTCCGTTATCATTGAAACGCGTATACCGGGCGCCCTGCCGCGTGTCAGCCCCAGCACAGTCAGCACCTCGCTCCCACTTCGCTCCCCTAGAATAGACCTCGCTTATTTCTGTCCATCAACAATCGAATCGGGCTTCTGCGAACTCCGTTCCTCGAAACTCGGATCATAACCTCCCGCCGGGTCCGATGTTTGCGATCCATATTTAATTCCATGGTCAAGGGGATGCTCCACCCCAATTTTACTACACTCCGCTGTCGTGTGCTGGCGGGTTGTGGGATCACGGATCAATGCGTGATGTGGAGAATCGGGAGAGTCATGAAAATGGATTGGCATTATTCTAGATTAACATTATTTTTTGTGTGTGGATTTGATTCATTATACACTATGTCGTTAAGTAATGTAGCTAAAGAAAGCAAAAACATGCCGTATTATTTATGTTGACGTCGACGGTTTACTTGCCTCCTCTGTTGCCGGTGGTTGGGAAGGGCTTCTCCAACTTGACGCACCACAGGAAGAGGTCCTCCAAAGGCAGAAGTCCAAGAAGCATGCGGTTGCACAACCAAGCGACCAAGACAACACCCGTAGCAGCCATAGCATCAAGCCAGTAGTGGTTGGCTGTAGCAACAATAATCGTAAGGACAAAAGCAGGGTACAAGATACTCAAGGCCACGAAGAACACCTGCCACATCTTGCTGAGACGCTTCTCGCGGGGCGCAAGACGACGGCGGAACAGACCAGAGTGGTACAGAAGAACGGTGCCGATACAGAACGAGTAGCCAAAGTGGAGCGAGGGGAAAGCCGCAAGCTGGTTGAAGAACTTGTTTGTAGCGTAAATGGACTCGGCGTCCTCGCGACGGACGGTGTCGAAGAAACCATACTCTTCGGGTAGCAGACGAGGTGGCATGCATGGGTATGTGGTGAAGACGACGAAGCTAAACAGGTTGGTGAGGGTCATCATGCGACGGGCTTCCGCAAATTGGGCATGTGTCGGGGCGGCGTAGTAGTACCATGCAAGGAAGCTATTCAGAATTGAGGTTAGGCGGTGTTTCGATTGCTAGGGGAGACGTCATTGCGTTGCAAAAATAACATACCTGACAGTAACGGGGATATGGATAAGGGAGTACGCGCGGTTGAGAATGGTGAGCATCGTTTGGTGATCATTCCTGAAGAACGCCTGAACATCGATCTCGCGCAGAGGAAACAGGAAGCTGAAAGGCCCCTCGTGCTCAAACCACAACACCGCCTTTCCATGGTTCTCAGCCGTCTGCCATATACCGTCCGTTGCAGCAATAAGCTCGCTGGCATTCTTGACACCGACGTAGAAGCCCAGGTTGACCGCCCAGTAGAACATCTCGACAAGGAAGGGGAACTTTTGTATGAAGCGCGAGTGCCAGTACTTTGCGTAGCGAGACGAGTTGGGCGTGCGGATGGGGGCGCCACAGCAGCTGCGTTGCTTAGGAGGGTGGACTTCTGTCAGCGAGGATGTCGGTGATGCGGCGGCGGCAGCGAGGTTGAGACGCTCCGTCTCGTCATGGACGTCGTCTTCGTCCCATGGTTCGAGTTTCGACTGGCCTAGCAGGCCCTGGTCTTGCTTGGACGAAGGGATGATGGAGAAGTTGCGCAGGCGGTTGAAGTAGCAGGATGCCAACATGACACCGACGATAAACTACGGAGGTAAGAGTAAGTCGCTGAAGATGAGGTCGACAGGGGATGTACGTACAATTGGTTCGACGACGGCATGGTAGGCAAACTGCGGAGCGCCCAGGTCTTGATCCTTCTGTTCAGTTGTTGAAGCCATGGTGAATTATTGCAGCGGCATGCCCAAAAAAGGAGTTCCAAAAATACTAAATAAATAGGAAGGAGCAAAAAAGAAAAAAGCGTAAGGTTAAGGTTCAAAGTAGGTAAAAATGTTGCGGTAAAGTAAGGTAGGTCAAAGCCAAGGTTTATTCGGAAGACGCGGAGAATAACCCTGGTAGACTTTGGTCCTGGACTTGTTTGGACTTGTACTTTTGTGCAAAGCCCGATCGGTAGTGGGAAAAAGATTTGCTCCGACAACAGCAGATAACAAAACACCAGGACAGGGATGAAAGGGAAGGGAGATCACGATTTACCGGTACATCGCTCTTCGCGTGCCGCTACGAAAAGACGGGGAGACCGCTAATGAAATTGGTAGGGGGCATTGAGCAGGGCGGGATTGGACGAGGCCGCGTCCCGATTATGCTCGCAACTTGTGCACTGTAGTCGGTGCAATGCAGCGCTGTGCACGCATTGCATAGCCCCTGAGCAATGTCAGCTCTGACGTAGGAGATCCATTTCGTCCATTCAACTCGGCGCAAGAACAGCTTAGATTCCACCCCAGCCTAGATTAGTTCAAGGGGCGTTTCATTTACCGGATGACAGAAAAGTCCCTTAGTTTTCAGTGACCGCCTTTATCTGTCACAGGCGGTCAGTGGAGTGATCATCAGCCAATCCGTAGTCTCAGAGCGCCTGAAGATTTTCGCCTTCAGAGATTTTTAGGGAGGGCCCCTTCTGGTTTCTCGACCCTGAACACTCCACTTCCTTCTCGTCCTGTCAGATTGGCGGCCAAGCTTTTTGCTTCCCTTTAAACCTCTCACTCCTTATCCAAACAAAAAAACCAAAACTCCCCGACTTGGCGAGCTCAAACACCATTTGGTGGTCCCTTTTTTTCTCTAGTCTTTGTCATTTTGAGCAACCTTCTTTTATCTTATTTAATAATACAAACGCCCTCAATGTCGTCTTCTCCAATCCTCGGTCCGTCGCGCGACGACTGCAAATCGCCCTACGATGAAGAACGCATGGAATGGGGCCCTTCAGTCCCCAAGAAGTACCTCCGACTGCCAAGGCTTGGTCGCTCCAACGTGATCCTTCTTCTCATCGACGTCTTTATTGTCACTGTCCTCGTCAACGCTTTTTGGCCGCTCATCACTCTGCTCCGACGCAACGAGGAGCTCTTTGGCGCACGCCTCACATTCGAGCTCAACGGTACTTCGACGCCTACGTTGCCCGAGCAGCAGACGATACCGAGAATCTTCCACCAGACGAGCGCGAACGAGACTATCCGTCCGGCATGGGCGGACTTGGTGAAGAGCTGCAAGGCTACATATTCTGACTTTGAGTATATGGTGCGTTCAATAATTGGGATTGGGTACAATTGATGAGGCGGAAAGCTAATTTTTGACAGCACTGGACCGACGAGAAGGCTCGCGACTTTATCGCTGAAGAGTACCCTTGGTTTATCGACACCTGGGACAACTTCCCGTTCAACATTCAGCGCGCCGATGCTATTCGTTACTTTGTTCTTCACCACTACGGCGGTATCTACCTCGACATGGACACAATGTGCAACGCGACCATTCCTCTCGAGCAGATTGAAGCCAACGGCGCCACTCACCACGCCGTTTTTAAATCTACAACTCCTACCGGCGTGTCCAACGACATGATGATTACCTCTCCCCGCCACCCAGCTTTCACGAAGGCTCTCTCGCGCATCCAACTCTACAACGACATCACCAAACCCTGGAGGCACATCGTCCCCCACGTCGCAGTCATGGTCTCCGCCGGTCCGCTCTTCCTGACCATGGCGCTGAAGAACTACCTTCTCGAACAGCCCTCTCTGCCCGAAAATACAGTTCAGGTCATCAACGCGACGTCGCTGGAGCCATACCTTACAGATTTCGAAGGTGCGTCATGGCACCACGGTGATACCAAGGCACTGATGTGGGTTGGTGATCGACCCTGGGTTTGGTACATGCTCGGTGCGATTGGACTTGGCGCGGGGCTGTACGTGGTCAACATGCTTATGATGAAGTGCTGGACGAGATTCTTTGAGAAGGCTCCTTTGAGCGATGAGGCTAAGGAGGGTATCAAGCTTACGTAGGGGGATTTAATTGCGGTAATTATATACGATTAATATGGTAATGCCAGCGTATCTTTATTCTACATATATTTGACCTATTATCTGTTCAACTGTTGTTATCTCTGTCCACGATTGTCGCAGTGTGGTCTGCATTAATTACCGCTCATCTGGTGTTTCGCCCGCGACACGTCAGTCCCCAAACCCAATCTCTGTGTAGACCAACCACCATCACCTCATGACTGTGTCAGCTTCGCTTTCGCAACGCCTCGCTTAGCTCTGTTCTAGACAGTCTAGATAAACTGCGCCGCGATAATGACGTCGAAGTACTTTAGGAGGGAGCCTGACCCCGCATGTGATGGATGGGCTTGGCTGGATCTAGACTTGGGTGGAATCGTGACATGTAGCTTGCACGTCATTGGTGTTGAACTTGCTGGGATAAATATGGATTGACAGCTTGGCTTTGAGAGCATTAATGGGCTCATTGTGGCAGGCATTTCCTGATTCTGGGCATTGCTGTGACTTATTCTTGGCTTGTTGCAAAAATACCCACTGTAAAGATAGGGTAAGCAAGTTGTGACCAGCTCTTCTTCCATCAGAACACAACACCTAGTGACACTCGTATTTACGAAATTTGCGACGAGACTCGAGAAATTTGTTATGGGTATTAATGAATGGAGATTGAAACAAGACCGTTGAAACTATATACAGGATTCAAACAATATTGTCAGAGCTGCGTACTGGTTCCATCTGCAGGTAAACACTTCCCTCACTATGCCACGATCTTCTTTCACTATCCCTTGATTCTCTTCCATTCCTTATCGAAGCTCCCTTGCTCTCTGGCCTTATTGCTACTAGTTGTATCTCATCCTCATCACGTTGCGCTTCTTCATTCTCATCATTGGGCTTCTCAGCTAGTCTGTAGTTCTCCCACTTTTTCCTGGCCTCGTCAAAGAACTTCACCATGTCGTTCTTCAGATTAACTGCGTGCTCTCCAGCTCCCTCGCAAAACTTCCGTATAACATCCAGGTTCGTGACGCATATGATCAGTAACGCAGTTATTGAGAAAGCTGCAACAGCTGTGATGATCATGTTTCCCAATGTTGAGCCTGAAGGCGCGCCACTCATGCTGAACACACCCGTAGCAAAGCCCAGAGGTAGGAAGATGACTGTGACGTATGTGAAGCGCCGGATATCAGCGTTGCGATTTGCCTCGAGCTGTTTGTCCATCTTCTCAAGTTTTCTTTCAAGCTCCTGTAGCATTCTGCTGACCCTCTCTATGAGGAGTCTGAGGCTTGAATGGGTCCGTCGAAGATCTTGAATCGTGTGATCGTTCTGGTTGATTAGCTTGATGATAATGCTACGGTACTTCATCTCGTCGTTGAAAGTCCAGCGTGGTCTCTCGGCCTGGCGCTCGCGCTCTCTTTTCAGCCATAAGTCTATCTGCGCAAAGTTCTCGACCATGTCTTGCTCGACAGTTTGTAGTCTCTGTTGGTGCTCCCTCAGATTCATTTGACAGGTATTAATTTCGCATCGGATAGCATCATAATTCTTGACGTTGGAGTCGGAGGCGTTCGGGAAGATGTTGTCTTCCTTGGCAATAGATTTGGAGTCCTCCATGATTTCGACGGTACAACGGTACATATAATCCACCATCATCTGGAACAGTAGAAGCTCAAGGACCCTGCGCTGTCTCCAGTGATGTTTGTTAGTATCTAGTTGGAACCTGTCTGCCTCTCTTTGGTTGTAAAGTGTCTTTCGGAGTGTAGTCTCAATATCTTTTGTGGCCTTGTCGAGACTCTCGCTTCCAACCCACTGAGGAATAGCGAACAAATAATAACAAGTCCAGTATCGATCCCAGAAGTCACCGTCAACTCTCGAGCTCATGACCACTTGCTGAAGCCTTTTACAGCCTACAGCCCTGATAACCGATACGAGTTTCTCTGGCCCTCTCTTTTTCCTTCTCATGTGGAATAGTAACAAAGAGCTCCGACTTGAGGCCCAGTAGTTCAACACACTTGGCAGCTCGCCAAATAAGAACGTGGTCAGTAAAAAAGAAGTTGTGAGTTTGTTCCTCCATGTCACGAGGGAATGCATAGCAGCCAAGCTTGTTCTTCTCATCAAGCTTCTTAACCCAAGTCCTGACAGCATACTTGGCTGTCCTGGGGACTTCCCATTCCCTGTCGTATTCCTTGTAGTCTCCAGCTTTAATAAACTGAAACGGGGCATCAACAAGGGATTCGGATGAGAGATATATGTTGTCTTTCCACCCTTCGATCTCTTCGCCATTGACCCAAGAATGGGGGCAAGATGGGTTGTTGGCAAAATTCCGGTATTGCTCCCCAAAGACCCATCTCAAGTGGCCTTTAAGAACCTTCCGAATGCGTTTGATGAGTGAACACGGATTACAATTTAATGCTTCGGGATAGTCATGTTCACCGTGTCCAAGAGATGAGACGAAATGCTTGAGCGACATGAGGAGAAATTGGAAGCAGTGGCTAAAATATGTTAGTGAGTGTCCGATCAAGTGACCCAATACTAATGGAAACTCACAAACTTGCCGCCGTAATGATACGGTGGTCGTCAATATCGCCACACGTCAATGCAACAGCGAATTCTTCATCATCTTCTGCATCGAGGTAGATAGGGATGCTGCAGACGGATAAGATGTACTCCAAGTTGCGCCTCAAGGCGAGGTTGAGATCAGGATTCGTTGGAGTAAACATCCGTTTTCTTGTATTCATCTTGGGGAATTTGGGCGCAGCAGTAAACTTTAGAGGTTCGGGAGGGGACTCGAGCTCTCCTGCTTCCAAGCTCAGGATGTAAATCAAAGTTACCCTGGTAGGTCGGGACACAGAGTTGTCATCCATTATTCTGTAGTAGGTTTTCGCATCGTATTCTTCCGAATCATCACTACGTGCATCACCGTCTCCATCACCTTCCTCATCAATCCCTTCCGCTGCGTCACCCTCTTCTCTCATTCCCTGTTCAGCCATGGCTGAGTCTTCTTCGCTTGCCGCATCTTGATGCTTGGTAAACTTTTCAAAGGTGAGAGCTGTGTTGCCACTGAAAGCATGGACAAAAAGAGCCGCATGTTTGTTGTTGTCTTGACCCAATTTGTGCGATCGTTTGATACATCTCCCTTCATCTAAGAGGTGAGTTTGGTACCCGCTATCGTCTTCATCAGCCTCATTGAATTGATTACTGTCGTCAATAAAGTCCAGTTGACGAAGTAGTAAATCGGACATCAAAGTCATTGGTGGCCGGCCATTGCTGAAGTCAAACGTTTGATAGACAGCACCACGCGAGATAGAGTACTGTATTTTACAGCGTCCACCCTCTCCCTTGATGTGAAAGACCGGCCAGCGATCATTAGTGAAGTCCACCCAAGCGTTCTCTGCGGCGGAGAGCCAGCTCTCCTGGTCAGGGTAGAATCCAATATTGTGGTCCGGATCATTTGCGGAGGAAACAAATTCGGTGATCCGGTTGATAGTCATGTACGGCTCATCAATATCGCAATGGTCCACGCAGTATCCGAATTTCTCGCCTGGAAAATGTCGGCTGATTCGTAGGAGACGACCTGAAGGACTTGCGGTGGCAGTGAGGCCGTCATCTCCAAACGAATAGGTGCTTGTTCTCCTTGAGTCTTCCATGGTATTTGAGTCTTCCATGATATTTGAGTCGTCCATCGTATTTGAGTCTTCCATCGTACTTGATGAATAAAGTGTGTAGACTTTGGTGATGTGTTATCTTGCTTGTAGGTAGGCCTTGAAGGCAATGCCACTTAAAGAACTTGATATAAGGTTCACTCAGAAGAAAAAGAGATAGAAGAAAGCGCTTGAATGTTGTAAACTTGAAATGATGAATTGGAATTTATGGCCAGGATTTTGAGAAATATAAGGAAAGGACATTGGGGGCCAAAGTCATGATCTGACCGGTTATTCTCATCTTACAAGAGAAACGAGTAGCTGGTGGTGGGAGAAAGTGCAAATATTGGCGCCAAGCCAACCTATTAAAGTACGTAGATTGCCGCTCCGGAGTCATGTTGTTTTGACTTATCCCATTCGACGATTGATGACAAGGTAGCTGAGCTACTCAGCTAAAGATACTCTAGAAAGTACATAAGCGCTACCGATCCTTATACCACCAACATCAGCTGGAAGCACTCACGTAAAAGTAACAGTTTGAAGTCAGAAGTTCATCTACTTAGCAGGCCTCAAAAAGTCAGGCTGGCGTATAATGAGACAATTCGTGCAGTGTCATCCATTGTGCAACCACAATAACATTCTTCATTTGGAAGATGTGCCTAGGGTCTGTCATCATGGATGGTTGCATGGTAGTTTCAGCCCCCCAAAAGTGACAGCAAGGCAGAAAGAATAAAGCAGCCTGACTGCACTCCCACGCTCGTGTAAGATGACCAGCTTATATCGTCTCTCATGTTCACCTCTCCTGGCAATCCGCCACCAGGCTCTTAAAGCGAGCCAGAAAAAATAAAGAAATTATCTTGTATTTTTTTTTTACTAATATTAAAGGAAGAACATTTAATTAGTAGCTAGATAGTTAGACAATTTGTATTCGAATATATTCTTTAGTAATAGAAGGCCAGGTTATGCTGTAAGTTTCCATGCAGCGATAAAGGTTCAGCTCGATGTATAAGATGATGGCGATGGAGTGGCAACTGAGATCATTTCTGTTGCAAATCAATTGTAAGAGGTTAGTCGTTTCATCTGAAAATGCCGGAAAGATATTGGGTCTGATCCGCCGTGGTTGAGATCGTTATTGGCTTCGGCGTTGATAGTCGGCATGTTAAAAGCAAAAAGAACCATCATCTTGAGGCCACCTGAGATTTATATCTCAATGCAAAGGGTAGACAGTGAGCTCACAGCACCCTGTAGGGATGGTCATCGCACGTGACAGCTGTCTAATCTTATCTGATCGATCCATGCCAATCAGAATGATACCGTAGAACGAACATTGTTAACAAGATTGTTCTATCGATTTGGTTTAGCCGAGCCGTTGACACATGCTGGTAAATTCCAGATATCCTCGGCTATCATGTCTTTTCTGGAGGCAAATACATCTCAGCGGAACGTGCACGCGATAAGAAAAAGTCTTAACATGAGGCTCCGCTATTCCGGTGTCATATGCCAGATATGCTCAAGACTCGGATCCACATGAAGCCATATCGGAGCGGCGACTGTGGATCTAAAAGGGTTACCGAGGTTCTGGTTAAATTACTTTGTCATGTAAAACGTACTTGTCGTCTGATTTTGGTCTCTATTTCAACTTCATTTTACATCTTGAAGCCCGTGGGGACTGCGTCACGAAGCAGACTACACTCTTTTAATCTCCATCACGCGCGTCGTCATTACTCTTTCTCTTGCAGCGTTGTTGAAATTTCTTATCATTATTGACAAAGATGGGTATCATCAACCAACCGCAGTCAAAAGGCCAAGAGTCAAACCCGGGTGACTTTGCTGCCGTTCAGAAATCAATCATTGAACTTCTTAACCAGCCCGACTATGACGATGGAAGTGCCGGCCCCGTTCTCGTGCGTCTAGCTTGGTAAGTCTACACAGCACTCAACGTATGCTACTCGAATACTAATCTGTTCCCAGGCACTCATCAGGCACATACGACAAAGTGACTGACACAGGCGGTTCCAACGGCGCCGGCATGCGATACGAAGCTGAAGGTGGAGATCCCGCCAATGCCGGCCTGCAGAATGCTCGTGTTTTTCTTGAGCCTGTCAAACGTCTTCATCCGTGGATAACATACTCTGACCTCTGGACACTCGCTGGCGTGACGGCGATCCATGCCATGGGTGGGCCTGAAATTGACTGGCTGCCGGGACGAACCGACTTTGTCGACGACAGTAAGCTTCCACCTCGAGGTCGTCTCCCTGATGCGGCGCAAGGAGCAGAACATATTCGCCACGTTTTCTATCGCATGGGATTCAACGATCGTGAGATCGTAGCTCTTAGCGGTGCGCATAATCTTGGCCGTTGCCACACTGCAAACTCTGGCTTTGAGGGCAAATGGGTCAACAACCCTACCCGATTCTCCAACCAGTACTTCCGTCTCCTACTATCAGAAACCTGGACAGAAAAGACAGTCCCCGAGTCCGGCGTACTCCAATTCTCCTCCGTTGATGAAGATACAGAGGAAGAGTTGATGATGCTCCCCACTGATATCGCCCTCACGACGGATCCCGAGTTCTCCAAGTACGTGGACATTTACTCAAAAGACAAGGATGTGTTTTTCGAAGATTTTAAGAAGGCTTTTGCGAAGTTGTTGGAGCTTGGCATAGCGAGAGATTCGGAGGGAAATGTTATCAACACTGATAACCAGAAGGGAGGTTATAGGAGTGCACCAAAGAAGAGTGATTCGGCACCTACTGCCTCAGGTCAATCAGACGTGGCCAAGACAGGCGGATGTCCCGTGATGCACCACCGAGCAAAGCTATGAGGATCAGAATACAATTATTTGCACTGGGTAGTTTAGAACTTTAGAAACTTGTTTATTAGATATAGTATAGAGGTTAGATATAATTTAGACACAGTACACTTTTATAGAAAGCAAAATCTTTAGGTGAAACCAAAGAGTGCTGCAAATGAAAGTAATGAGTGTATCGTTGAAGACCATTTGTTAGGCTCTGTTCCTTCATGATATAAATCCTGTCGGCAGTTGATGAGCGCTACAATTTCCTCATACCACCATTGTCAGCTGGAAGCACCCCCAGCAAAGGTGTTGGGTTAAAGTGGCAGTATTATTCATTTGGCAGGCCTCAGGTTATGCAGTCTGTCATACTGGGAGAATTGGTGCCGTCTCGTCCATTGCGTGACTGGAACAATGACTGGATAATACGTGTCCGTCAAATTGACTGCCGCGGAGAACCATGGGCAGGTTGGTTCTATCTTGACAATCATTGCTGGATAGAGTAAACTTAATTGCCCCGTCGGATGCAATACGTAATTTGCCGTGCCGCAGATGCGAAAAATATGGAATCATTTCTCACGTAATGCATGCTGACATATCGGCCAGTGTCGTTTTAAGGGCGTTGTGGAATTGACTTGGGTATAAGTTAACGCGGATAGATTGGCAGTTGAAAAAACTTTAAACACATCGAAAAATATCTCATTACCCCAAAATAACACTATATCGTGTCATAATGTCTTCTGGTTCGCAAGTCGTTTACCACTACCTCGCGATTGGCAAGCTCGGCCGTGGTGAGGTTGTCAAGTAAGTCATCATGGCGGGGAACAGCTCAGTGGGGAAACTGCACATACATAGAGCTCTTGCTAATCTTCCGATACTAGGCTGTTCTTGAAAGATGCTGGCATTCCCTTTGAAGAAAAGAGATATGCCTACGACGATACCTGGAAAGAGACCAGCGCAAAGCTCAAGGAGCAGGGCATCACCCGCACCGGACTACTTCCGGCCATTGAATACAAAGGCCTTATTCTAAACCAAGTCAGTCCCTCGTGACCATACATATTGAATAAAACTAACGAAAGTCGGTAGCACATTCCAATCCTCCGATTCCTCTCTCGTGAGCTCGGCAAATACGATGGCCAGACAAGCCATGACAAGTATCTCGTCGATGCCGTATCAGATCTCTACATCGAATGGAGAGTAAGTCGATCCATCTCAACTTTCTAAATCAGATACTGACGAAAATTAGGCTGGCTGGGTATCCAACCTGAACAACCCATCAGAGGAGTACAAGAACAAGACAGTGCCCACTTTCCATGAACGTCTCGAGCAGTACTACTCTGATCGCGAGGGCCCTTATCTTCTTGGCAATGAAGTTAGCTATGCGGACTTTGCGGTTTATATGTCTATTGATAATGATACTAGGACAAAGTCCATTCCGGTAAGACACTTTCTGTAACTGATGGGTTTTTGACATATGCTGATGATTATACAGTCCAAGATTCCGGACGTTCTTCTCAAGTTGAAGGAAGAGTTTGAGAGACGTCCCAACATTGCCGAGTATATTAAGCAGGAATAGGCTGAGAGTGGCTGTCAGTCTGAGTAGATACATCAGAATTGAAATATGCATCATTGAAGAATCACTTGTATTCTCGAAATTCTATCCCGAGCAAAAGTATATTCTATGAAAAGAATGATGCGTACAATTATAACTAAGTATTATGTTTGAGCGGTCGTACTCTTAGTAGGTATCTTCATAGTCGTAGCACAGAACTCCCTTCTGGATATGCATGACATCCTTAACCTTAGCCTTCAACTGACGAGTCTCAAAGATGGTAATAGGATGATCCAGGGTGACATTGCCAGCAGCTTGGTTCCCATAATCAAAGTTCACAAGAGGACCAGAGACATCCTTCTCGCGCTTCTTCAGATCGCGAAGTTGCCATGACCACCAAGCGCGGTCAACGTTGGCGTGGTGAACCCAGAAGAGAGGATCGGCAGCTAGAAGAGTTAGTATATCGTAGTATGAGGAGAGTGAGAATGACTTACGACTTTGCCACTTGTCAGTCATGGTACCGTACAAACCGCCAACACCCCAGTGACCACCAGAGTGGAAAGTACTCTCCGTAACAAGATCAAAGAATCCAAAATCAGGCTGACTCATTCCATCCTTGATAGCATCCGGCCCAGACATATCCCTAAAAGACAACGGCGCAAAATCACGACGGATACAGTTAGGATTATACGCCGTACCATTTCCAGGACCAAGGTTAGACTTCAGCCCAGCAAAAGGACCCTTCTTGATACAGCCTCCACCAGAACGATCAGGAACATCCCAGGGAGGGTTAACAGGCAGACCTGGCTCAGGGTTGGAGAAGTTTCCAGGGACCCAGGCTCCATTCCCACCGAATCCATGCTTGTTGTCAAAGATGGGGGAGTCGTAAAAGACTGATGTATCGTTGTCTGGACCTGCGGCGTCAAGAGTCCAGTCCCAGTATGGAACGCCGCCTTTCCAGCCGCACTTTTGGAGCTCTTGCTCGTAGGCGTGCATTAGAAGGCGGTGGTAAGGGTAGAAGACGCCCTGTTTGCGTTAGATATCACTGAAACAAAAGCAAATTGGGGGACTTACGACGAAGTGCACATCGTCTGCACTGATGATGTGTGTTCCTAGAAAGTCATCCCAGCGATTCCTGGCACCGGGGATGTCGGAGGGTGATGATTCGCTGGGCTTCTTCATGAGACACTTTTGGGCCTTGATGTAGAGATCCCTCTCCTTGAGACTAAGCGAGCGCCTAGAAATAGTTAGTACATACTCAGATGGGCTTTATGAATTATTCTTACCATTCTCTTCGGATGAGAGGCTTCTTGCATGCCTTGGACTCAACGAGAGCCACACCAGCGAGCAGGACGGCAGTCCACAAAGTCTTGATGGCGACCATTTTGTCAGACGAACGAAAGTAGCTTGATGCAGGAAGAGTATCAGGGCTGCAGATGACTACTCAAGTGTTTGAGGTGAGGTGATCGACAAAGAGGGAACATGAACTGGACGAGTTCAGCCTCTTCTATACTAAAGTTTCCCCTGCATATGCAAGGTTCCGGCGTCCACGAAAAGGACACCGGAAAGCCGGCTAGCCAAGACAGCCATGACCCATGGTTCCTGCATTGCGGTACTATTGCGAGGGGACATGAATTACTGGCCAGGTATGGTAAATGCGGAATGGAACTGCGACGTTGGACTGCGGCGAAGCAACCGAGACTGAGCCTAGACTTTTCGCCGTTCGATCCCGGGGGTTCGGCCAGCTAGGTACCCTTGCTATGAAGAAGGACCAACAAGCAAAGGAAATAACGTTAATGCGTGTTTGGGCAGTGAGTTATTGTCGGATGATTGGTAAAGGAATTCTGACCAAATGCATGGGAATGGATCCTTCAACGGTTGACATGGGTCTTACTTCCTGATGATCTGATTCCCTGAATTCCGCATCCTTGATTCGTCCATGATCACCTCGCGTATGCAAACTCCAGTCTGTTGGTTCAACGGATAAAATTAAACCGGTCAATTAGTCAATTCCAGTAAATACATCCTACACTGCATGGCTCGGCGAACAAACCCTGTCCATGCTCCCCCTCTCATCCCAAGACCTTGTCGACGCCCCAATGTCTCTTTCCTCAATAGTTCTCTCTTTTAATTCCATCGGGATAGCTTCCACGCTATCCCCAGCCGCAAAAGGGTCTTCGTCTCCACCATACACATTCCCTCGCGTAGTAGACTTATTCGTCACTATCCTTGACTGTCGCTCGCGATACTGATTCCCATATCCTGACCGCGCCGCTGAAGTACCAGATAACGTCCATCCCATTTTATGTAAACCTGCTTGAACAAGTGGTTTGAGGAATGGTGCAGAGGAAGCGATCATGATGAGAATTTGTTCGAGGGCAGTCCACGTTGCGATGGAAATAACCAGTGCCCAGGGGTCTTTTGTCGATCCGCCGAATTCTTTGACTAGGGTGGCTTTGACGATCGAAGCAACGCTTGCAAACATCCCCAGACCCATCAGCGCACCAACCAATATCTTTTCCTTTAGCGGCCGCTTCAATTTCCACAGAAACAGCGTCGGCGCTAAAGAAAGCAGCACATCCGTGGCAATATTAATTCCTGATCCAAGATTCGACATTATGAGAATGCCGGTTTGCGGAAGACAGCTTGCGCCATCGATTGTTTGCAACACAGAAGCGTCCCATGATGCTTCAAGCGGTTGGCATTGTAGAAGGATGAAGAATGTGTTTGCGACGCCGTAGCCTATTAGGATAGACATTATGAAGAAGCAGAAGATGCGCCACCAGAGGACGTTGGGTTGGATGCGGAGCATCATCATTGCGATGCTGACTTTGATGAACATCATGGCAATGCCCCATACCGGAATCGCGAGGAATCCGTATTTTGCTGCCCAGATCCGTTGGTCTTCGGTTATGAGGGTTGGTTGGGTGTGCATTTGAGGTATTAAGAAGCCAAAGTCTACACAAGCTGCGGCCTGGTCAATCGCCAGTCAGTAACCAAGGACGTTCGTGTGGAGCGTGGGACCTACCACTCCAATTGTCATACAATAATCCTCCCAACTTATTCTCCAAGGTCTCACTCTTAACCATATCCTCGCTACAAACATAGCCAAGGCGATCGCAATAAGAGGGGTCGTCACACCGATGTGAACTCTGGCAAGGCTTGCCGATCGTTCGGTGATGGGGAAATAGGGACTCCCATCTTCGGGAGGCGCTGGGGGACCTGACATTAAACTGGCGGGATCAACCCAGATCAGGTTCAAGGTTTAGAATTCACAAAGCAAAAAGGAAGCAACAGAAAACAAACAGAAACAACAGCTCGATCGTGGGGACGCGCATATGCATATTTGTATCTAACTCGAATTACCGGGATCTAAAGTGATGAGACGTTTGTGTTACAGACTTTCCATCATCTCTTTTCTTTTCCTGCACCTCAAACACTTTCTCTTCTCGATGAGGCCTGCTCGTCACCCGAGTGGCTTGCAGGCTGCATTGAAGGATTGGACGAACCCCCCGAGCGGCGCAGTGGAGATGGCTTCCCTTCCAGACGGAATTCTTCACTCAAACCGTCATTGGCAACGACTTGCATTGCGACACAAGTTTGTAATATCTACAGGCCCAATGCAGAACTAAATTGCCCTGCATCCTCCTGGTTCAGTGGCTTGAAGTATCACCGAGGTAATGTATCGTCGCTGCAAGACAAGCAGGGGTTCCCTAGCAATGTCGCAACGCTAGCACGCGAAGGGTCGAGCCGCGAAAGTTTTCTCTAGCGGAAAATCTTCCTGAGACGATCCGGACAACCGGGCGCGGAGCCGTCTCCAAATTTGGAGGGCTTGTTGTCCCTTTTCTCGTGGCGGTATTGTCAAATATGGCCCTACAAGCCTGTGTTCGTGAGCATCGTGCGAAAGCTCGTATTGTTAAATATGGCGACCGAAACTGTATGGTTTATATATATTCCCTTGTCATATAATACACCGATCTTGTTAAGAACCGTTGGTTCCTGCGTCGAGTCCAGATTCTCGGATGCGGGAGGCAAAGCTCCAAGCGAGACAGGATCTGTGGCTCCTGGGATGAGGAAACAAGGCTAAGACACAAGAAGATCCGGCTACTCGGTTAAAGTAGTGGTCAGGCCTGTAATATGTATCGACATGCATGGCGCTCCTACCTCCTTCAAATAAGTTCTTAATAGCGGCGAGTATTATCTATTCTAGTAGGTCGAGACTCTTGATAATACTTGATCAATTCCACGACTAGACTCCTTCCCTTTGCATACTACTCTTTGCTTTTTCTTCCTAACCGAAGTTTGTGTTTCTCCAAACCTGTCGATAATGAGTAATCGCTACAACAGTAAACGGTTCCGCACATCTCCACTTGAAAAACAGGCAGTTCTTGACGTTTCATTACGCCGCAATACTGCATTGCATGTATGAGATTCATGCAAATTTTGCAAGAACTTTTGCTCCGTTGCAACGGTTGGTCAGGGCCTCTTGCAGAAGGAGATCTTGACAAATCTCCCATAAAGGTTTTGCTGGTCCCTCGTTCTTTGCTGCAGTTGGGTTTGGGGCTTCTTGACTAAGAAACAATCTTCATTTCTGCTACAGAGATGCGTCACTTGCGAAACAAAGATGTGCTTTCAACAAGGTAATGAATGGTATATCGCAACTATGTGGCTCGCAGATATGGATCCAAGAAAAAATACTAAACAAAGAAAAGATCAAGCGCAGAAATATCTATACGCCTTCTTCCAAAACGGCCAAGCCCCTCTAGCCTCCCTATCCTGCTCACTCATCAAATGCACACGATAATACCGTCTACCCGTCTGGATATCAATATCCTCCAACTTGACAAAGCCCGTTCTATACCAAAGCTTGTGTCCAAGGTACATGACCAACACAATAGGCACAGCCATCAATCTCAAAAATATATTCTGCACGACATCCCCCGCCGTCGCATCCTTTTTCTGTTCAACAGGTGAAACAGCGATCCAGACTTGAGATATCAAGATGAGGCTGTATCCGACGAGGGCGAACCATGATCCAAATGTACCGGATCGGGCGCGGAAGGGAAGTTGTTCCAAGGTGTGTGATGCGTGTGCCCAGGCGTTACGGAAGCGGATGTGCGTCAGACAGATACTGCCCCAAGTAAATAACGTCGCGAGAGCACTGACGGAGAGTAACCAATCGAAGATGATCGCATGCGCTTTCAAATCAACGATAAACGCTAAGAGACCAACGCAGGAAGCAAAGATAATAGCAGCCAAAGGTCGACCCTCCTTATCAACGTAGGAGAAAATCGCAGGAGCCATAGATTGATCCGCAAGAGCAGCAAGCGTTCTCGACGATCCATAAACAGATGAATTTCCAACACTGATCACCGCAATGAGAATAACAGCGTTCATAACACTCGGCAGAACAGTCGTTCCCATCGTCTCGATAGCCACGACGAAAGGTGAGGCTGCAGAGTTGGAAGAGCTGGCGTCTAGGATTCGAGGGTCGTTGTGTGGAACTAACAGACTGACGAGCATGAGGGATACGATGTAGAAGAGCGTTATGCGCCAGAAAACCTGCTTGATGGCGCTCGGTAGGGACTTGCGCGGGTTGGCTGTTTCGGCGGCTGCGAGGCCGATGAGTTCTGTGCCGGTGAAGGAGAAGCATGATGTTACGAGTACGGAACAAAAGCCTTTGAAACCGTTGTTGAAGAGGCCAGGGTCGACCCAATAGCGGCCTCCGATGTAGCTACCCGTAGGCTCGCCGCCGATATTGATGACGATTCCAAGAAGACTAAATCCATTAGCTGAGAATTTGCACGGGTAGGGGAGCACGTACATGAATGCTACGATCGCAGTGACCTTGATAGTCGAAAACACAAACTCAGCCTCACCATAAGCTTTAACCCCAAAAAGATTAATAACAAAAATAGCCGCCAGGAAAATCACCACAAAGACACTCTTGGTGATACCCTCATTCCAATACGTAATGGTAAAAGCGCCCGCGATAATCTCAAGAGGGAGTGTAAACAGCCACTGAAGACAATAATTCCAACCCATGGCGAATCCCCAAGAAGGATCAAGAAAACGTGTCGAGAATGCAGAGAAGGAACCGGCGATGGGGAATATGACGGCTAGTTCGGCGAGGGATTGCATGGTGCAGTATTGCAGGGCGCCGATGACCATGTAGGAGATGAGAACACTGCCTGGACCACCTTCGTGAAGAGCTGTACCTGATGTAACGAAAAGACCAGTACCTATCCATCATTAGCGATGTTCATCCTTCACTGTAGGGCTGAACATACCGATAGCTCCACCAAAAGCAATCATCTGCAAATGCCTCCCCTTCAACTCCCTAGCCAACGCACTCGTCGCAGTCTTAGCGTTGGCAGCTCTAATGTCAAAGTACCGGTTATCACCCGGTATTTGCGGCGGCTGCTCCGAATGATACTGTCTATCCCAACCCTTCTTCATCGCCCGTCGATCAGCCCTTCGAAAACCATCCAGCCAGTCATTCTGTTCTTTAGACTGCTCTTCTGAGCTTGGTACGGATACGGCCCATGTTGTGTCGTTGTTGGGTTGGTGGGTGTGGGACATGTCGTTCATTTCGAAGGCTTCGACATCGCGGGCGAGGGCGACCTCGACTTTGATGTCGGTTGTTTTCTTGATGTCGTGTGACATCTTGTCGAGAATGTGTGGTGCAGTTGGATGGATGTCACTGGGAGGAAAAGGAAGGAGAGTGAGTGCCAAGCTGTGGAGTTAAACGCAAGTAATTAAAGCTGGTCCGTGAGTCCACATGGCAAGTCGGGCGCAAAAAAAGAAAGTAAGAGAGGAAAAGATCAGCAGAGATCTAAGTATGAGGGAAATGCGCTGATAAGAATGAAAGGAAATCGAGGGGGAATTAATGAATTGGACTCGGTCTCCTCGGCCTGACCCTTCTTAGGCGAGTGGCCCGTGAAAGTCGCCCGCAGAAAGGCTGAATTAGCGCAGCTAGTGGTGTCAGATTTAGTGTAGCACCCCCAAAAACCCCTGCATCCATCCCCCTCGCTAGATTGTTTTAGGAGACAACCTCCTTGTGTGGCCGCTGTGGCGTGCTTCCTTTTATCTGGCTGTCAAACTATCTTGGCAGGAGGTTAAAGGGTCTAGCCTCTCTCTTCAACGGTTCAGATTGTACTTCACCGGAGAAGGAAGGTCGGCGAGTGGTGTCGCGTGTCTGGCATGGATGAGGAGGCGAATTGATCTCAGGGGTTTAGCGACTAACGGAGTCCAGACCCTGTGCCACTGAAGAAGTGATAACGACCTCTTTACTCGACATGATTGGGTACGGGTATTGAAGGATCAAGGGGACTTCAGTTCTCGGCCAGATAGATCATAAATCACCGAAAAGTAAACCATCGTGGAGAAATATTTATTCTAACGTCCAAAAGGATCAAGCTATTGAGAGACATTCGTCTTCTAGTCTCCGACATCGGCAATCAACTTTTCTGAATGGCGCCATGGTTGGGAGCTATTGTAGACCAAGTTCCCCTTCTGGAATGACACCCGAGCGCCGCCAAGAGGTCTAATTCCGCCCATATCAATCCAGAATTAATAGTAACTCATCACGTTAGTCATCGACATTGAGTGTAGATGGCTATACAACTACTCAACATTCCACTAGCACATACAACTCCTTCATCCCATTTTACCAGACCTGCAGCCGCTGATGACACGGTAATATCACACAGGCTAGAAAGTAATTGGAGTTTACTAGCTGTTTGTTTACTGCATATCACGTCAGCGTTACAACGGCGCAGCTAGAGTGTCAGGTACTTACAATAAGGATTGCCTATCAGCTTCTTCATCGTCGCGTTCTGTGTTTAATTGGTAGAAACAATACACCTGTGCAACAATCCCCAAAACACCCGCTGCGAACCAAACACGATACGCTCTCCTCTCGAGTGTCTTGGCGCCTTTCCAGGGTACGAAACCGATAGCATTTAAAACGGTAGCGTTATCGCACGTCATGTACACAGCTGTCAAAAGCTGGCGAATCACAGTGATGTACCCCAGAAAATGATCCTGATGTTTTTGTGAGAGTAAGTTCTGAGCAGCGGATTTATACTGCTGGGTAAACTTTCCAACGCGGAGGAGTTTGGCGGTTAGGGAGAGTTGGCGCATGAGGACTTGGAAGCGCGAGATGGTGGATGGGGAGGCATGTTTTTGGGTGAGCAGCCATACTGCTAATCGCGAGGAGAAGACTAGGAATTTGAGGAGGACGTCGCGGTGGATTGTTGTGAAGCGGATGTTGTTGAGCTCGGAGAGGATGAGTGCTACATTCTTGTCCATTCTGGTATCTTAATCTAGTGTTTAAGGTGAGGGCTGTGGTGATGAAACAGGTGAGGCTCATGTTTGTGGGCGGTGAGGGTCGCGAAAAACGTCATTGAAGCCAAAAAGCGGGTTCATTGCTGTGCCTCGGCTGGATCTTGATCTGGGGAATGAGTTTTATTCCCGTTTGATGCGTGTTGGAGATGGTATTCCCACTGATAAGGATGCGGAATTGATTCCAGATCTTATTTAGAATCGGTGGTATCACCTTATTCTGTAAACTCTTGCATGATCGATCTCGGATTCCGTTTAGTAGTTGATGATCTCGATAAAGCTTTGACCTAAACCGCACCTCAACCGATTGGAACCAGGAACGTTATCTACTAAGGACGGGGATACAACGGACATGAGTTACTGTGTCTGGAACTTCGAACATGATAAGAACACAGCACTGCGTCATGAATTAATGCGAGAGACATTGAGCCTCGGGTACAATTATCCCATTGTGGTTGTCTTGTTCCGAGCGTCACACTTACCCTGAACCAGCCGGGAATAAATCCGTTTTAAGGTGCCGCGGGGGCCCGATGGACACGGAGTTCCATGCGTCCAAAACGAGGGCCATTGAGCGCTACTCTGTGACCAGTGCTGTCGATCAACCTTAAGTCAATCCCATTGCACGATTAATGGTCGCGTTTGACCAGGCCCTCGATCCTTCGTCGCATATTGCCCCCCAAGTAAACATTTTGATGGTTCCCAAATGCTTCAGGTACAATTGTAACGATCGCGTCTGACAGGCATACTCCAAGAATGGACCGCCGAAAGCATAATTTGATCACCTTATACCAGCTTAGACTGGAACTTAGACTACTTTATTTCTGTAGACTACGTCTTGGAGGACATCTCGTCTCTTACTAACCTAGCCAACTCAATTAGCTATATTAAGAACAGTAGCTTTCGCACCAAGATTGTCACAGCCACCAAGGCAGTGTCCGTTGAACCGTTCGAGATCAACCACAAAATTACTGACTCGGTGACAGTGCTTATTATCAAGTGGATCATAAGAAGGCTGAGAGCAACTCTAATCCCTTGGCGACCCAATCTTCCTCCCGTGTCGTTTCAGATCCTAACCAATGACCAGCCTATTCCCATCATTAATCTCCAAAGAGTGGACATTGCTAATTCAGCCCTACCCTGTCTAGTCTTGTTCAATATCCACCTCGGTCGGGCAACTATTTTTACTCTCTTTCTCTCTTTCTTCACTGTCGATTGATCGTTGACCCGAGTGTATCGCCATAATCCACCATGCCTACCCTCGAACCCGCCAAAGATCTGGACCCGAATGCGTGGTACCAGCTCTCGGAGCTCGCTGTCGATAATGGGGAAACGGTGTTCCATGGAATGCTACAGCCTACAGCTCCAGGCGGTGATCTGCGAGTCTGGCCAGCGAACAAGAACTCGTACTGGCAATTTGTACGTCCCCAACACCTCCCACTCTCTTAATGTACTAACAGACGTAGCAAAAAATAGGCGACAAACCAGGTCGCTACCAAATGCGATGTTCCGACACGACCGTCAAGAAACAGCTCTCCGTATGCTACCGCCCCGACGTAATCGACGAGAAACGCCGAACGAGACCATGCCTTATGGCGACAGACGATAGCGATGAACAGCAATGGGACGTGTCGCTTTGGGGAGAGGATGATGCGTATAGGATAACGAATGTACAGAATGGGACCAAATGGAATCTGGATTGTATTCCTGATGGACCTGTTTTTATGAGCTCGAATTTTGAGGGGGAGCAGCCGAGGCAGAAGTGGTTGATGACGAGTGTGGGTGAGGTGAACAATCAGATGTACTCTACCATCTACAGTGCGGTAAGTTGCTCGAGAGATAGTTTGGGATTGTGCTGATGGGATATAGCCACCCAAGTCAACTGGTGATAGCACCGCAACAACAGCAGGCATGACAGCCTCCGACGCCAAAACAACCTCTACATCCACATCTGACGCCTCATCAGGAAATTCAAACTCCAACTCCTCCCCCAACAATGATACCTCCAGTAACGAACTATCATCCGGCGCAGTCGCAGGAATAGCAGTCGGCGCAACCCTCGCCGTCGTCGCGTTAGCGCTTGCAGGATTCTTCTTCTGGCGTCGCAACAAGCGAAAATACAGTCCCGCCAGCACAGGACCTTTGGACGAGAAACATAATGATTCACCTATCGTGGTGTCGCCTGGTGATGGGATGGGAAGTTATTACTCGCCTGCTAAGGAAATGCCGCAGGAGCATGGTGTTGCCGAGTTGCCCAATGGGCAGCATCAGAGACATGAAATGGCGTAGTGGGAGAGCCTGAGTGTTCTGTATATATTTTATTGTTGCTATATAGCACATTAGCGACGCGTGTTTTCTGATATCAATTATAATTAGCACAACTATGCATCCGCACGATGTCACCAAGTCCCTGATTCTTGCATTGACCCGTTGGAACTAACGGCTGTCTCATCATACTGTACATTGAATGACATGCGAATTAACTCAAGCGAAGCATTCATCTCACGCCCTTTTGTTGCAAATCTGACTCCGAGTGCAAAATCCTTTGCGAGCAAGCCAATGAAGAGAACTGCTTTGCAAACCTACGCTAAAATCTTACCACCACAACAACGGCGCTTACACAGAATGGCGATCCCAAGTAAGCACTGCCGCGTTAGTGCCTCTGGGACCTTGATATAAAGTCTGAGAAGCTGTCCTCTCTGATTTACGCTGCAAAGCCTCCTAGTTACGTAGCCAAAGCTCAAGCTTCATCATGGCTGCTAACGTGACTACTAGCCCAAGTGGCATTCTCGGCTTCGTAGTCGAAGATGTCAAGCAATCACCAGGAAACTATCTCGTTGCTCTCGGTGTACTGGTTATCAGTGCATTGCTACACAAGCTATCGACACCATCCCTCGATCCTCGCGAACCTCCATTCCTGAAACCTGCATTCCCAATCATTGGTCATTTCTACGGATTAATGAAGTACCAAAACACCTATCTAAAGCGCTTATAGTAAATCTCAACCCCCCTCACAACTACTCTATCTAATATGTAAACAGCGACAAACATCACAGACAAATCGCAACTCTCCCCATCCTCGGCGGAAAACTCTACGTCATCTTCGACCCAGCAATAATCCAATCCGCCTATCGCAAAAAGACCCTATCCTTCCAACCCTTCGCCGTAGAATTTGCACAACGAGAATTGCTGATTTCTGATGAAACGCACAAGAAGTTGAAGGAAACAGATCTTGTGCCAGATTTCTTTGCGGCGATTCATCCTGCTATGACGGGAGAGCATATTCATCGGATGAATGCTAATGCGCTGAACTACATCGCCAAGGATATCAACGGTATTAATAAGGGGCGTAAGATGGAGCATGGAAATGTCTGGCTTTGGTTGAGGGATATTGTTACTATGGCTACTTCTGAAGCGCTGTATGGACCGGATAACCCTTTGAGGGAGGATCCTAGCCTGTTGGAAGATTTATGGTAAGTTTCATGCAAACAGTGTGACTGGGATGCTTATGCTTTGCAGGACTTTCGAAGCCGGTCTCAACGTATTGCTCGTCAACATCCTCCCAGCGATCACCGCCCCAAAAGCCCATCAAGCAAGAGCACGACTCCAAGCTGCACTAGGAAAATACTACGGCGCACAAAAGTACGAGCACGAAGACGCAGCAGAGATCGTCCGAGGCCGCGCATACCCTTTCGTCAAGTACAATGTCCCTGGCGAAGAAATCGGTCATATCGAGCTTGCGCTTCTTCATGTTGGAACTGCGAACACGATTCCTACTCTTTACTGGTTCTTCGTCAATGTTTTCAGTCGCCCTGATCTCGTTCAGAGGCTAAAGGATGAAGTTCTGCCAATCATCAAAATGGATGGAGAGAAGGGTATTGTCGATGTTACGATTCTGGATGATAAGTGTCCCTTGCTTGTTAGTTGTTACAGGGAAGCAATCCGACTCAGCAACCAAGCCGGCAGTAATCGTCGCGTTCTGGAAGATACGACAGTAACAGACAGTAACGGCAACTCCTATCTCCTAAAGAAAGGCGAAAACCTCCAAATTTCCGCTTTAGTCAGCCACAACCTCGATACCTGGGGCGGAGACATCTCCACCTTCAAACCAGACCGCTTCATCGAAACAAAGGAGACTCTAGAAGCAGACAAAGCGAGACGAGCAGCGTTTATACCCTTTGGTGGAGGAAGACATCTCTGTCCTGGTCGTACTTTTGCCTTTGCTGAGAACTTGGGTCTTGTGGCTTGTTTGTTGGCGGGTTTTGATGTTGAACTACCAGATGGACCGAAGTTACCGGCTGGTAAAGATTGTAATTTCTCGCAGGCTGCGTTTCAGCCTGTGAATTATGGGGAGGGGTTTGGGGTTAAGATTCAGAGGAGGGAGGGATGGGAGGGGGTTCAGTGGTCGTTTAAGTCTTAGACGAGGTCGTCAAGATTTCAGAAGAACTAGCCTTAAGAGATGGAGAAATCTAGTCTTTTTATTCTATCTTAGACTAGCAGTTAGAGTACTTCATTTTGGTAACCTAGACCTCAGGGGAAGATTCTTCTGTAACCCACGTGGAGGGTTATCCTTTCCAGGTTCTGGTGGATGCTGCTCTGCTGGATGATTTAAATGGCGATACACAATTAGCAAGAGACGAGTCACCTTAGGCTTTGCGGGAGATGAAGTTGATGAAAATGTACTTGACATGTAAGAATGTACGTAAAATGTATATACAGAAGATCGCAATCGCGTATGTACTGGAGAGGACTCTCGCCAGCTGAAAGCCACTGACGAGATATGCTCAAAGCTTTTGTGCCCTTATCACCGACACTTCATGTTCCCTCAATTCTCCCAATCCTACACTTCCCTACTCAATACAACATCTCTAGATGTAAGTCTTGAGAAGAGAGTTGTAGTACTGGTAAGCAACACCGCTCGTAGGCTCAAAGCTGTACATGTAGTCACCCCACCAAGGACCAGCAGCCCACCAAGTAAAGCCCTTCCAGACATCAGTGTTCTTCTTCATAAAGTCAAGCATGTTCTTAACAGCAGTCTTGCAAGTCTCGTTAGGTCCACCAGCAAACTCTCCGATCATGCCGACCTTCTTGTTATCGCGGAGCCACTTGGTAGCAGCCTGCAGACGCTCAACTCCAATGGTTGTGGAAACACAGTTGGGTGAAGTTCCGGAAGAGTCGGAGTCGAGGTACTGGTGCATCTCGTAGATGAGCTTGTTCTCTGGGTCGGTGAGCGCCTTCATGTTGTCGTTAACGTCGGGCCATGACCATGCGCCGGACCATTGGTTGCCTTCGACGAAAATGTACTGTGTCGCGCCGGCAGCACGGATACCGTTGATGGCGGCTTGGTTCAGGTTGAGCACGAGGGTTTGATCCATGGTGTGGTACTCGTTGTTGGTGTCGAACATGATGCGGCTGTTGCTCTTGAACTGAGTGGCAAAGTTCTTCCACCAGGTCTGGAAGTCGGAGGTGGAGGTGATGATCTTGTCGAAGTAGCGGCCGTAGTTGTGGGGGTCGAGAAGAACGGTGGCGCCCTTGCCGGTGATGTGGTTGACGATGGAAGTGAGGTTCTTCATGTAAGCTTGATCGTAAGAGCCAGTCATGCCGCTGGGGTTTGAACGTTCCATCTTGAGCTGGACACGGAAAGTGTTGTAGCCCTGAGAGATGAGGGTCTGGCACATGTTAGTAATTGTTATGTGACATCGTGTTGGTACCTACATCAACAGCAGCAGGTTCAGGGAAGGTAAAGTGCGTTCCCCAAGTACCAGGAAGGTTCTTCTCTCCAAACTCAGCACCAGCCTCGTTGGTGCCAACCCAGAGGAACTTGCCATCGGGAGTACCAGTGGGTTGAGAGCCACTGCCGGTGGTGGTCTTGAGGGTGGTGGAAGGAGGGTCTCCTCCAGAGCCAGGCTGGCATTGGTGGTACCACTCGTTGACGACGGTGCACTTGTAGCCAGAGACGCAAGACTTGTCACCAGAGAAGCCTTGGCCACCGCATTGGGCCCAGGCGGCGCTTTGGGCGACGGACAGGCCGGTGAAGAGACTGAGGGCGAGGAAGGACTTCATGATGGAGGTTGATGAGGTTGTCGTGCTCAACTGAGGAGTTCAATTGAGAGGGGATGTAATGGCCTTTATATCTCATGGTGATATTATAGTAGAATGGGTTTCTACCCCTGCAAGGTCCCATCTCCCGATGTGCCGTAGTATATTTGCCACGGAAACGATAGCGTAGCATCCGTGGACCATCACTAAAACACTACAAGAACATCACACAGAAACTACAGAGACATGGCAAAGAACAGCTAATACCAAGAATCGGCCCGCACTCCGCAGAGACTACGGGGAATTTGATCCGCAATAGCAAATAGAATTAACCAGTCAATCCCCGGAAAGCATCTCCATCTGGACAATTTCGCTCTCAATGCCGAACCACAATTGACCGCGGAGCAGTAGATTCCGTAACACGGGCAAATACCAAGGCACATGATCAATTATAAAGGCATTGACCCATATTATATGGTTGCCGTATGAGGAATGGAACCATCGTGTGGAGAGCGGAGGTGTTTCCTCCGAGGATTCTACTTTGAGCGCTGGAGCGACGTTGGCATTGTCGGAGACAAGGGCCACAACTCCGCACAAATTGAGAGACAAGAAGGAGTAAAGGTAATTGGGGACAGATACATCAACAAATACTGGGGTATATTGACTTAATAAGCATAATTCTAGCGATGTTACACCTGGCTCCCCGCTATCTACATTGCGAACAAATCATGGAACTTTCTTGTTTTCTTACTGTCGGTTCGCTTGGTGAGGTTGAATGTGACTTTTGTGAAGATAGTCTCAATTAATATATTCGGAATTCAAAATACTAGCAAAGATGCTGTGAATATCCGAAGAGACTGTTGAGGAAGACCTTCACTGTGGTCAACCCGAGGGATTTATGAAGAGCCTAGCAAGGGGATACGGGGAACATATAAGATGAGAAGATACTCGACCAAGATATTAGGCATCTGAACTGTTGTGCTAGCCATAGTTCAACAAAGAGGTACCGGAGATCCGACCATCATGAAGACATCTTGTCATTTGTGAAAGCTCAAGCCGGGCTTCCAACTCGTCCCTGATCTCCAAATTCAAGGTTACCCAGTTTGATTCGGCGAGAAGTGATAAACCCTTCATCAGTGAGATTCGGTATAAACTGCCGATCTGAATGTATGCCTGGGGTATATAAACATCTGGAGGCATTGCTTGCACGCTAAAGTCCGCATTTCGAAGCGTAGTTTTTGTCGCAGTCTCTGCCTCTACCAAGCTCATAGTTGGCTCAGGAAACTCTTGCATGGTCGATTTCTCAATATTGGAGTCCTACATTGAAGATGGTAGGAAGTAATGTATTCGAAATGTTTCGTGTTGTGTGGTGAGCTGGGGGAGCCGGAGCAGGTGTGTGACAGGACCCGTTGCAACTGAGGTGCAGAAGGGCAAGAGGAGGAATTATTTATATACTGGGTGATCCTGCCTTGTTTGACGGAAGGTTTCGTCTGTGCGACGTGCATTTCAAGGTCTATTGTAGAGAGGGGAACTCTACGACCACATAAGATCGCAATAGAAATCTAAGAAACCCACAGTCCTACTGCTGTCGCCCTGCAATGCCTCACAATGGAAGTCTAAACAACACAAACTCTCGGTCCAACCAACTCGATCAACCTCGGCTTGCGCCACTACCTACCAACAAAGAACCGCAGGTATCCTGGCTCTGAAAGCTTTTGCGATACATGGCTTTAATCCTACATCAGATCCCGATCGTTATGCTATCCACTTTGATAGGCATCATGTAATCTTGCGCCTGCAGATTATCTGAGCCAAGCGCGTCATCCGTCAGGCCGAAGAATCGTCTTTCGCTGCTGCGGGCTCCCCTTGCAGGTTCGATCATTGAGGAACACATTCCGGAAGGAATTCGCCGCCCATGCAGCTCACGCAACCCCCGGGGCTAACCTGGCGTAGACGAGCAGACATTGGAGGGTAGGTAGAGTTCGATGTCTGCATGCTGTAGAAAAACGTGAGTGTTATTCTCAGTATAATCCTGGGAGAGTCGCAATATCTGCGAAAGACTTGACGTATTGAGTCACACCCCACATCATGACAGACTCCCGTGAAAAGTAATCGAAAAACTGGTCGGACGTCGGCTATGCCCTAGGAAAGAACGAAGCGGGTCTGCCGTCAGTTCTCTGATGTTGGATCTGTCTTCGAACTCCGCCGAATACATCTTCAACATGAATTCTATTTAGATTCCATAGCTTTCCATTACGCACGGAGGAAGAGATGCACCTCAGGCACAACCTTCGGCATTGCGAGTCAAGGAACTCACCCGGTGGGATATCACATTCTCTCACATGGCTGACGAGAGCTCTGAAGCTTCCATTCCTGACACATGACAAATTCGATAGGAATTGAAGTATATATCCATTGTGACTGAACCATATCGTGAAGACTCATCATTTGCTTTTCTCTTGTATCATCTGATGCTGCCCACATTTCATTTTATCCTGGACCCTGGCTCCGAAGAGATGTCGTCGTCTAGGTTTCATCAATACCGCCGAATTGAATTGGACAATATGGCCCTTGTGGGAAATTCGTCTGTTTTGACTTCCCGATGAATCGAATCTTAACGGAGTCGTTTGCCTGACGATTGGGGTGTCGAATTGTCCAATAAACTCTCACGCGCAACGAAGGTTTTGTTGATGCGCAAACAAAATCCTGAGCGCAAAGAGAGTTCGGAGGGGACCTGAACGGCCATTGTCATACAGAAAGTCAATCAGCCCTATTTCGTGAACTTTATTTGACTATACACGAGCAGGGGAGATTGTTTATATGATGAACCACGCACGACCGGATCCATGGAAGAAGCTGGTTTTGGTTCATGAGTGTTCCAATAGAATTTCTCTTGTCGTTCGTAATTTCCGCGTTTCGAATAGACCAAATTTGAAGATTCTCGTAAAGATGTATGTAGTGCCACTCGCACCATTTGCACATCCCTTGGGACACTCCCAGCATAATCACCCTGTATAAACACTCTGCTCCGACCAGACAGGCAGCGACAAATTGTTGCCAAATTCCATTCCATTCCATGCTTCAGTGCAAGAGGGTCAGGCTTATGATTCCTACGTCCTGCGCCTCAACCTACTTACACAGAGACAAGGTCTATCGTCCCCAAGAACCACTGTGATCACTCCGTTCTTAAAAGCAAGGTCCCGAATGAGGGTTACAGTTTCGAATATTCAAGCTGAAGATTTGTAGAGTGAAATCGATCAAAATTTTCTTCATTCCTTCCACTCTATATAAGGAGTCCCTGCTCTCTTGGACACAATTGTTTCGTCACTCGCAAACATCGCACACACGTTAACATCGCCCAAGCAAAGAGCAAAGACTTTGTTAAGGATCTGTAAGTAATGCCTTCGTAACCTGATACACTGTCCTCCAAGGATTAGGACAGGCAACTTCCACATGTCACCTGAACCTACTAACACCATCCCAGTCTCTCATCGCTATCAACATACAACGCGACACAATGGCTCTTAAAGTACAAAAGGACGCCAACGGCAACACTGTCTGCCGGAGGGATGGCCAGGGACGCAAGATCGCCTGTGCTAAATGCATAAAAGGACATCGCACGTCCATGTGTAAGCCCTCCCATACTGGTAAGTAGGACTCTTTTGTCTGTCGGTATTGATCAGAACTAATTATATTGATCAGAACTGATTATTCGATAGAGGATGTTCAGGTCATTGATAGCGTGGGACGCAAGCAAGGGACCAAGAACCGTCGCAGGAATGGTCGTACGTATCCCTAATCTTTTAATATATCTTTACCGAAGCTAATGTGTTCTTAGGCGCGGCTACGTATAGGGCTGAGAGCCTCCTGCAACAGGCCAGTCAGCAGCCGTTGGGCTCAAATGGCGGGAATGGCAGTGCCAGCTTGCAAAGCATCCCCCAGATGCAAGCGGCCTTCCCGTCCGGGGAAAGTACTCCCCAGTACGCGCAGGGACTTCAGTTTCCCCCTCAGGTCCAGCCTCAACCCAACTGGGCTGCTCCTATAGCGGGTACCCGGGTTCCAGTCCCACAGATGCAGGCCAACCAGCCTGCTGGGTACTTAGGGGCGGCTCCTGCTCAGCAACAGCAGGGGGAGATGGGTCAGCAACTTGCTGAATTCGGCATCTGGCATGATCCCATGCACCAGATGCAGGCCTACCAGCCTTTTGGCTACCCAGAGCCGAACTATGATCAGCTCATACAGATGCAGGAGCCTCAGCAATTTGTCGACATCCAGGGACGTGGCTTTATGGCCGAAGGCCAATGGGCACCGCAGCCTCTTGATCAGAGGTCCGGTGCCACCATGAACGGTGTCCCCTTACACCAGAACATGGCTCAGAGCCAGCATCCTGTCCCTGCCCAACCCCCAATAGTGGATTGGAACCTGGCAGACCCTGACCAGTTCAATAAGAGGTTCCCCTTGACCCCAGGAACGCTGGCACGGGGTACGAGTGTGTTACAAGAGCCTCGACAAGAGAGGGGCCTTCAGTAGAAAGGCCCAGGGTTGATTGGCGCTGGTATCTGTGGGATGGATCATTTGGCAGGAGTTTTTGGCATGGAGTTTTTGGTTACGATACCCACGGTGTGCATTGTCTGGGGTCGAACACATACCCCCCTTCTGAGAAGGCTTTTCTGACGATTTACATTTTCCTTGGACATATACCCCAAGTTCTATCTTTCGAGCGGAGTTGAGATACCCAATGTGTTTTTAATTGAGTTAATATATCGACTCGATGCTTTGTTGTTGAGAGTCTTTTCTAACCGTCATAACCATCAAGAGTCATGTGTCCATCTGGATGTCCTAAGTTTTACCTTCGTCGTTCGCTATGTGGCCTTAGTGGTCGGGTAGCAGCAAACTCTTCAATGTATAATGTTGTTTAGTACTTAATTCTTGGGACATCCCCACTGAATGGGTGAGTCATCGTCAAAGGTTAAATATGTAGTAGCATGTTTTTTTCACGTTTGAGGATACCAGGAGAGATTGATGGTCTCAGACTTAATCTATTCCTCTATTAATGTCTTTTCAAAAAAACACCGAACCCAGTAACAATATTATCCACGTGCCCATAACCCATCAGTTCTATTCCAATCAAGACATAACAAGCGCAGCCGCAACTCCAGCAATAGACACCGCACCAAAGACCCGCGCAAAGCTTGACGAAGCGCCAGAAGTAGCTGCAGGTGAAGAGGCTCCCTCGTAAGAAGTCGTGGTAGCGGTAGAAGTAGCGCTCGCTTCAGCGACACCGGTGCGCTTGGCGTTGAGAATGTCCAAACCAGCAGTGATAACGACAGGTGCGTATTCCAGAGTAAGCCCGGCCAAATCCTCAGACGCGGTGACGGTGGCAGTAGGATGACCATCGTTGTTGCCGCCAATGTTAATCGTAGTGCATTTCTTGGCAACGCTTCTTGACATTTCGCAGTGGAGAGAGAATCTCCAGTCGTCCTCCTTGTCTTCTGAGGGCATGGTGATGAAGATATCAAGATCACCTGTGCTCGCAGCGCCGGGGGGCAGAGTTTTGCTGGCCCATGGACCGATAGTAACGGTGTTGTTGTAGGTGCCGCACTCGTTGCCGTCTGTGCCTGGGGGACAGTTCAAGACATATGTTGTCGCGGTGGCGTCTGCGCCAATGACTTCGGCGACTAGGGACTGGGTGCCGTGCATGGGGGAACCTAGGGACGTAGAGAAGTGTGAGGTAGTCATAATGAGCGTATAATAGAGTAATTTGAAGGGATGCTTCAATGAATGCGATGCAATGCGATGTGACGCTGATGCGTATTGAAGAGCAATGATGATGTTGAAGCACGAGAGTGAAAGAGAGGATGAAGATGGGAAATAAGAAAGGAGATGAGCTGCTAAAAGAAATTGGAAATAGCGACAAGCTACAGCTGCCAAGCCCATGTTTAAAGCAAGAGCGATCCTTCAGTGGGCTAGCCTTGCCGATTGCCGTCCATTGCAGCGGGGCATTCAGGCACCCGCGCGCTCTTGCCAATTGAATGCAAAGGAAAGGAAGGTCACAGGGGACGTGCTCAGGAACACGCGATTCAGGTACAGCGCAAATCCGCAATGTCCCCTCTGTGTTCCCGACCGAACAAGGGGAGTCATGAGAACACAGAGGGGATTAAGTCATTAGTATATGTTTAGAGATTTGATTCTTTCGTACAACAATAAATTCACTGGTCTGGTGGTCTAGTGGTATGATTCTCGCTTAGGGAAAACCCTATAGCATAGCTTGCGAGAGGTCCCGGGTTCAATCCCCGGCCAGACCCATTCTTTTGCTCTTCGTATGTCTTGCTTGATGTACCTTCTTTTTTTGCAATTGGAGACCGGCAGAATCACAAAGTACCTCCATGTGAGGAATAGTGACTATTTCTTTTGCATGCATTGGCTATGGTCCTTGTGCATCCTCAGGCCGACGACTCTACCTTGTAATCCACACTCCTCGCCGTATTCTCCCACTCCCTACAGATCTCCAACGTCTCCTGACACTTAGCCATAATCCTCTCCAAACAATCCGACCCCAAAGGTACACGCAAAGGCACCTTCTTCCCCTCAGCAAATCCAGTTCCCCTCACAAGCTCAATCATTCTCGTAACAGCCACCTCCGGATCTCCAGGCGAAGTAGCCGTCAACACAGACTCAGCCTGTAGCACAGCGTCGTTGAACGGCGCGTACTCTGGCAGACTGCGAGGGACGTGCTGCACTTTGTCGAAAACGGGTGTTCGGCAGTATCCGGGCTCGACCATCAGGAGTTTGATGAAGGGCGCTACTATTGCGAGTTCTTTGGCGAGACATTCCACGGTGCCTGGAAATTAGTCTGGGTCAGTGATGGGAGGTAGGAGTGTTACCTTCTAGTGCGAATTTGCTGGCGCAGTAACTTGATGCACCGGGATCAGAGTGCCAGGCTGATTGGGAACTGACATAAAGCAATGTTCCAGATCCTCTCTTCTTCAGATATGGAAGAAACGCACGGGTGATGTTCATAGGACCATGGAAATTGGCTTTGAATGATCTCTCCATATCCTCCTGGCTATCATCCAGTTAGTCAAATCCACGGCAGGAACTCGTGATACTAACGTTTGCTCTTCAACGGGACCGCTGAGAATGTAACCAGCGTTGTTAACGACTACATCGATTCCATCATAGATCCCCCAAGCCTGTTCGGCCAAAGCCTTGATGTCGCTGACCGGCGCTGTCACATCGAGGTCGATAATCTCTGCTCCAGTGTCTTTCAGGTGGACGAGCTTGGCATCGGCATTACGACCAGTTGCGATAACGTTATTGCCTGCGGCACGAAGTTGGCGAACAAGAGACTCGCCGAAGCCGCTGGAGCAGCCGGTAATGAACCACGTAAGAGGCATATTCTCGAAGTTCTGTATGGGACTAGAGTGTAGTTTGAGAGTAAAACAGGGATGAGTCGCTCTTATATAGATCTCTCCCGCGAGAATGCCTCGGAATGCCTCGCCTTGCATTGGTAGTAAGCATCCAGAAGGGTCATGTCAGCAATAGTGGAGATAATCTGACTACATTTTCTTAGTATAAGAGCCATAAACCTTGGCGTATGAGACATGGAGGAGCTAGTTTCTCACGATCGATCTTTACGCCTTCCTATTCTGGGTTGCGATGAACAGCGACAGAACAGACCAGATATTACCACGGACAGACACCATACACACCCAGAACCTTTCCAACATCCCCATCCTTCTCTCCTCTAACTACACAGGCAACTCGTTCTCCTCCATCCTCCGGCTCAGCAGCCCCTCGGTTACGAAGTGATCCAGCATCACCCGTAAAGTTCGTCGCACACAATCCCGGATCCGCGCCAAACACCAAAAAGCCCTCTGGTTTGAGTCTCACATAGTACATCGCCATCAACATATTCAGCCCAGCTTTGCTCGTCCGGTACTCTGTACCATACGGATTGTAGTAAGGTGAGTCTGGGTCGGAAGCGTGAGTGATGGATCCTGTGCTTGATGTGACGAAGATGAGACGTGGTGGTTTGTGCTCTGCCTTGCGTAGAAGCGGAAGGAAAGCTTCAGTGACGCTCAATGCGCCTACGAGATTGGTTTCGAGAATGGTGCGAAATGCGCCGCGTGTTGGAGGGCTAGCGGTTGAGATTATGCCTGCGTTGTTGACGAGGATGTCGAGTCGACCCCATTCTGATGCCAGAGTGCGAGCTGCATTGTCGACTGAAGTGTCGTTTGTTACATCTAGTTGTATGCTGGAGACCGTTCCTCTGATGCTGTCCAGAGACTGAAGGTTTTCGGCTGCTTCTTGGCCTTTGGCTTCGTTTCGACTACCAATAACGACATGATAATCAACGGAAGACAAAACCAGATTCTTGGCTGTTTCGTAGCCGACGCCTTGATTGGCGCCTAGTGTATGATCTCAATGGTAAGATCCGAGTGCTGCGTGGACATACTCACCGGTGATCAGAACGAGTTTCTTGTATTTCGACATTTTCGGTATGAGCCAACAGCGACTGGAGTGACGGGTTTATGAGACTTTCCAGTGTTACTTGTCGACATATAAGTATCGTTGTGCCTAGATGGTCCTTTCTTCGCTGGTGGTGACGGAGTTAGCGGGATGTCAAGGTTAAAATCCGTCCTGGATGCGGACTATACGTCGGCCGGTGATAACAGCGCGGACTTAACCCACGTTTTATTGAACCGAAGGATTTGATGGCAGCCTCATCGAGTAAATCTCCACGTTGATCAAGCTTGTTTCTGGTATCACTGGAATCGGTCTTGATCTGGCAAGGCTCTACCGATACCGTGGTGTGTCGAGGATTGAATCGTACATCAATCCAGTTGATGATCACGAAGGAGATATAGCTTCCTGTACAGTTTATTTTTTCTCATTTACATTTACCCAAGTTCCTGTCCCAAGCAATGCCACTTCGTTGACTTTTTTAAGAGCCATGTATCTCTCTTGCAATAAGAGGGGGGTGATCTCAAGGAGATAGCATTCCGTTTCCAAAGACCAGCGTCCAAAACAGATCTACTATGATAGTTGAAAGATCCTTCTTGTAGTGGCCACCAAAAATGCAAAAATAACATACAACAGCGGGGATT